TACCGGCGTTGCGGTAGCCGACGGACCTTGCCAGGCGGACTGCGTCGTTGAGCATGGCATCGCGCACCTCGGTGGGCAGGTCCTTGGCCGGGGCGATCTCGACGACCTTCTGGTGCCGCCTCTGGACGGAGCAGTCACGCTCGTACAGGTGGACGATGTTGCCATGGTTGTCTCCCAGCAGCTGGACCTCGATGTGCTTGGGCTTGTCGAGGAAGCGCTCGACGAAGACGGTGCCGTTGCCGAAGGCCGACTTTGCCTCGGAGGTGGCACGCTCGAAGTTCTCCTTCAGTGATTCCTGGTCGCGGACGACACGCATGCCACGGCCACCACCACCGTAGGCGGCCTTGATGATGATGGGGAAGCCATATTTGTCCGTGAAGCTCTTGACCTCCTCGTACTTCTCGACTGCGCCCTCTGTTCCGGGGACGACGGGCACGTTTGCCTTGATGGCAATGTTTCGGGCGGAGACCTTGTCACCGAGGGAGTCGATCACCTCGGCCGTAGGACCGACAAACTGTTCGGGAGGAAGGCCAAAGTCAGCTCGGTGCCAATTGGCGCGAGGCACAAGTAACCTCGGCTACCTGCGGAGCTGCAAGGGCATGTGGCACAGGGGGAAACTTACGATAAGGCCAGCCTTCTCGACATTCTTCGCGAATTCGGCATTCTCAGACAGGAACCCGTAGCCTTCCGCATCGTCAGTTCCGTTCTCTCGCGTCAAAATCGGGCGAGCCGCTCGGGCGAGCGTCGGGGCGCAGAAGTGTCGGTAAGATGGGCAAACTCACCAGGGTGGATCATCTGGGCGCCATGCTCGAGGGCGATTTTGATAATCTCGTCGCCCGCCAGATAAGCACCAACAGGGGTGTACTGCCCACGCTTGCCAATGACGTAGGCCTCGTCGGCCTCTGCCCAGCGGAAACCAAATGTTAGCTGAAGTTTCGTCCACGATGACCTCCTCGTCTTGGAGCAGGGGAATGGTGTAGGATCGGGGGGTCAATGCTGCGTACTCTGCCTGTGCATGCTAAGACGGTCCTCATAACTGCGAGAGTCAGTCTTCCGGAGCTCAATTGGCGTGCAGTGTGCAGCTTGCAGCTTACCTGAAGACAGCAATAGTGTGCAATGAAAGCTCGTGAGCCTGCAAAATAGGGTCAGCGCAGGGCAAATTGGTCAGGGTTTGAAGGTGATGCTCACTGTTCTGAAGATCTATAGAGCCGGGAAAGGCACATTGTCAGCATCCTGCTCTCTGGTTCTCTCTTACAAGAGCTATCACAAGGGGGCCAGAGCCCTGCTCTCTCTCTCTCTCTCCCTCTCCAAAGTCAAGACCTACACGAATGGCTGCAAATGAATGTCAGTACAACACGGCCTGCATCCTCGGCACCCAAGTTTTGGGGCAATTTGGATAGGACCAAAAACTTACGGATTTCACCACGGTTAGCAACTGTGGTAAGAGAGAAAAGTAACGTCAGCCACCTGTTATTGTACTATCCAACTGCAGGATGCAGTGCTTCCACCTGTCGGGCTTTCGACCTCCAGGTCAACAGTCGACCTCTTCGCCCTGGAATTGACTCACCGAGGATCTTGCTCAGCTGCATGATGGTCGAGTTGGCACGGATGCGGTGGATGGACTGGGCCTGCTTGGGGGCCTCGCCCTCCTCGAAGACCTCCTCCACCGCCCTGTCATTGCTGGTCGCGGCCATTGTGTGCAGCTTGGGCGCGGGGGGTATGGTGTCTAGAAAGACTGGGGTGGTTCAGGCGACCGGGCGAGGAAATCTCGAGAGGTCTGGACGGCCCGTGGGAGGAGCGAGTCTGGTCTGGTACTTGTATTCCGCTGATGACTCCTTGTTGTTGTGGGCACCTAGCTTTGGAATGGCGGGGCTATGGCTGTCGGGGCGCGACAGCAACAGCGGGGCGAGCAGACGGGGAGGGGAGCTCGGAGCTTCCCAGGTACAAGTAAGTACACACACACCACCTGGTCTGTCTGGTGACTCGACTCGACCTGCGTTGGTAGTATTGGGTATCTTGGTTTTTTCTTCCCCCCTGGAGGACAGTAACAACAATGGTAGGCTAGGGAGATGGAGGGTATGGAATAATGAAGAGGGAAGAAATAAATGAGCAAGGCCCTGCCTCCGACAGCGGTGAGTATTTTCTGCTACTCGAGCTAGCCTCGTGGTGGTTTACGTGGGGTGCTTGTCTAAGTGAAAAGCGTGGGAGGCTGGCCTGGTCTAATAAGAAGCTACGAAATTGCTCCCAGACGAGGGGGCTTATCCTTTTAGCTCTGGCCTGGACTCGCTTTGGGCTCGGGCTCTGGTCCGGGATGGCTGGAGGGGCCTGGATGGGCTGGATGGGATGGATGCAGGATGAGGGGTTTTGTTCACATGGTTCAGCCCAAGCTATCTTGTTCGGCCCCGGTACGACTGGCTGTGTCATGGCCATGACCACCACCATCCATCCGCCCTTAGACCACCACCCTTTGACCAGCACCCTTCTCCCCTACCACTCACTATTGTCTGGAACATCCACATGGGACCGGTTGCATCAAGAAGTCTTGGACTGTTGAACTTTGAATCCCCCAGTGTTCCCGGCCCTGGCTTGGCTTCCCAAGCCCCAGCTGGCCCAGTCTTTTTGCCCGGTGTGCTTGCTCACATACATGTTTGCAACATTTGACACCTTCATAAAAATAGAGACAGGATGATTGATTGATGCGTGACAGAGAGAAAGGCACGTCCTTCATCAGTCTCGCCCCAGCCATGATCCTGCGAAGATCTCCCGACACACAAATCCGCCCCCGCTGAGACCGTTTTCCCCTTGAGATGAGAGCTTATTCCATCATGATCCCTCCACTGCCAAGATCTCTCGTGCGCCTCCATTACGCAGTGCCGCTGCCTGAGTCTCAACCTCCGGCTCTTGGCTGTGAGACCCTGATGGATCGAAACGGCCTGGTCGAACTGGAATTGTTCCGGGGCTCACCAGGTCGGCCATTGACTCCGGCTGACGCTGGCATATCTGGGATCTACACGTGCAGTATCATCTGGCATATCGAGCAAGGGGGTGGGCGGTCCCGGCTCACCAGCAGCCCTGGAGCCCGCTTCAACAAAACACACATACCCACACATCTGGGTGTTGACATGTGCTGTTGCAGCTGCATCTTTTTTTGACTCAACCCCACCGGTCGATTGGGCCACCGAGGGAGCTTGCGCCCAGTGCCCAGTGCCCAGGTGTCCGGGACCCTGCTGCTCCATGCCCGCCCCATGCCCGAAGGGGTAACGAGCTCAGGAGGACAGCCCAGGAGCCAGACAGCTTTGTCCAACCACAGCGCCTTGGAAGTCTGAGCTTACCGAGGGGTAACTCGACATAGGTCAGTCCTCTCGCCCGTCAACCACTCGGCCTTGACGGGCGTTCGGGCGGCACTCTCCGCGGCTAGCTGCGGTAGACCACCCGACTGCGTGCCTGTATTACGGAGTACACTCAGTGTCACTCACAAGCTCACAACCTCTACCTCTACGAGGACGACGGAGGTTTAACAGCAGGCTGCAGGGGCATCTCCCCATCCCTACTTTGATGCTCCGGCATGGCACCCGGGAGAGTACGCCCACATGATATCTAACAGGCCCGCATAAAGTCCCAAGATAGCGAAAAGATGAGGCAATCCTCGCACAGACAACCACTCATCCTCTCCAGTTCTATTTCAGCGTGCACAACCACCAAACATGGCGGTCTGCATCTTGTCAACCTCTTGGCTGCCGTGTCCTGATACAAGCTCGACCCCTGACCCCCCAACTACCGCACGCCCTGAGGCCCTGGCTCTCTGGGACCCTGTTTCGCAAGGCAAAACAACAAAATGCCCAGGAGTTAAGAAAAGAAACAAAAAAGGTGACTAACTACGATGTATCCCTCACCCACCCTGTGAGTTAAGAATAATAGTGCACCGCCGTTTTTGTTATGCCCGGGATAGTATGGTCGGTTCTCAAGCCCCGTCTCCCGCGGCTGCACGGCTTGCACGGCTGCAGTCAGAAAAACGCGGCATTTTGTCACCCTCGCTTCATCGGTGGGCGCTCGCTGCTGGCTGAGGCGTCGTCCGACCCCCGATCTGGTGGGCTGGACGTGCGTGCGTGCCCATGACCCGAGCACCGCCAGGCGAGGAGGACAAGTACAACACTCAGTCTAGCGATGATTCAGGATTGGCGCGCGTGTATGTGTCATTCCTGTTCGTGGGATTTTTTTGGGGGGGCGTCCCCCTCGTCTATCGCTCTTTTTACGACATTTTTTTTTCTCTGTCATTGCTGGGAAACCCCCGCCAACCTCCCCCGGTTTGTGTTATTTACTCACTCCGGCCGACCTCGGCAGCCAACAACGGGCGAGCGGGTAAGGCTGGTGAGGTGATGGATGGGTAACAGCCCGCTGAACCGGGGCGATGCAATATGACAATGAGGCGTTTTTCCTCCCGCCTCGGCTCTGACATGGCCAGCTTGTCCGAAATATGTCAATTTTTTTTTTCATGTCATCTGGTCAAGCAAGCACTTTGCATGACGTCGGCACACCAGCATCGAGATACTCACAGACCCCGGGCACTATCTGGTGTACTGTACACACAGAGAGCTCTTTTGTCTTTTTTTGCTCGGTGAAACTCGAATGAATAAACGGGGAACCGTTTCTAAACACCATTATGGAGCGTCGTACGCTCAATCTCTCTCTCTCTCCCCCGTCCCTGCCCCTCCTCCTCCGACCATGACTCTTATCTCTGTGGCTGGCTGGGCCATGTTGTGTGTCAACTACTATGTATATCCCCGAGACCAAATTACACAACCAGTCAAAACAACCGGCCCCCTACCCTCCCTCCCAAAACCAAAAACCCTTGGCCAGCGTTCTTTGCCTCGCCTGGGCACTCTGTCGCAACGGCACGATCCGTGAATCCTGGTCCATCCCCAAAGCCAAAAGGGGTGGGGGACAAAGAGTACGTATCGTATATACTACAACACACGAAGAGGCTGGGGGGAGGGGGATAGGTCGGGTAACACGGGACGGGCTCCAGGCTGCCAGGGGGCCCTGATATAATCTGCTTCAGGAAGGCCATCCCATCACCCGGGGCGGCTGAAAACACAAATCATGGGATGACTTGCATACTGCCGCGAGGAAGCGCCCTTGGCCTGCGCGACGGGATACGACAGTTCCTCGACGTTATATCATGCATAAGACTCACTGCTATGCCGCCCGCCTGGACCGCAGAGTGCCTGGCCTGGGCTGACTGAACCAATAGGACTCGCGGGGCCAAGGGGCGCGCTTTCGCTTGAATATACACCTTCGGGACCCGAACCCGGCGACGCAAGCCCGCTCCGCGGTCCCGCCCACGTCCCAGCGGACCCAAGAAAGAGGGAGGTACGTGTTGTCGTCGGTCACTGCGATCTTTTCCCCAAAAAAGAAGACAGTGAGACGCTGGGGAGAGGAGAAGGTCCACAACGAGTGACGCTCTGACGGATGGAACCCCCCGGCCAAGACGTTACGTCCTGTTTGAACAATATCAAGCGGCAAACAACGCCAAGTGGCCAAGAGGCCGAGCATTCCACCGCAAGAGGTTCCGCCAAAGAAAACGCACAGACTTGTGTGTTGTGCCTTGCTGGATTTGTATACGTGCCCTACCCGATATGCTCGCCGAGAGACATCTAAAAGCAGCACGGTAGTAGCGATACGCCTCGGACGCACGTCTATGCCCAGTCGGCCTCCTCCAAAAGTGGGTTGCGTGCCTTCAAAACAGGCAAGTGCCGTGGCCCATCTATCAACAACGCCCTCTCAGCCTCCGTGATAAGGATTTCCTCCCTTCTCCCAAACCACCATCTCGTGCATCTCGCGCGGCCTAGGCCGCACCACGACAGGTCCCCTTCGTCCGTCAAGCTTGGCTGGCGGTGGTCCGCCCCAAAGATTTCCCAAACGGCCTCCGTCTAGTACTGATGTAGCAGCCTCCACCTCCACCTCATGCGCTCCCCGCCCAACGTGACACAGTAGAGCAGCATGGGGGTTTACTTGCTGACGGCGGCCTCGACCTTCTGCGCACCCTCCTTGATGCCCTCCGCGGCCTTCTCCAGGACCAGCTCGCCCGAGGAGATGGCCTTCTCCCGGCCGCCCCACTTGTGCCAGTCCATGAAGCGGTAGGCCTGTGTCAGCTGGGAGCCCTCGTTGATGAAGTGGCAGGCGAAGAGGAGGTAGTTCTTGGGCTGGACGGCCAGCGAGTACCGCATGAAGGTCGCGGAGTAGATGCAGAGGGCGAAGGTCATGGGGCCGGAGATCCTATAAGGTGGTGGGGTGTTGTCAGTAATTTGTGTTTAACTGTGGCGTGGCAGATCACCGGCCGGCTGGGAGGGTGAGAACGTACAGCTCAGGGCTCTTTTGTGTGTCCATCACGGCGGCGATGGGAATACCGAAGTTCGACACCGGGCCCCAGAAATCTGCGCATCGTAGTTATGTCAGTCAAGAGGCTGCTCGAGAGTAAATGCGCAATCACCAGGCATGACCGGTCGCCCCCAGCTCCGGGTGTTGCGAACGAACAACGGGGCGCTGCCACCGCTGGTGCCGGCGGCTACATCACGCTTGCCCTAGCCACGACGAGATTGCCTGTTCCCCTTTGCCGTCTCAGTGCCAGCGATGGCCCAACGCCTGAAGCATCACCAAGTGCAGGGTGCTGGTTGTCATCCGGAGATACCGGGGGATTGTCCGATGACGGCAACCGAAGGACGTTGGGGGGAGACGAGAGGAAGAGGTTCGTTCGGCTCACGTACGTGTGGAGCAGATGTAGTCGGTGTACTTGTTGGAGCGAATCTTCGCATTGATCGCTTTAATGAAGGCGGCCATCTTGACGGTGGGGTCGTTGCTGTAAATTGAGCCCGGTGGCAGCAGCAGGAGGTGATGGTTGATGGTTGGGACGCGCGAAAATGATGTTGGATTGGAAATTTGGCGGGCGCTATCGGGGGCAAGCTATCGGGCCCGGGTTGCCGGGGTTGGAATGCTGCGCTGCACCGCTGAGTGAGCGGGTGCTGCAGGGTCTTCCAAGGTTGGCGGCCGAATCAGCTCTGCATCGATTCCAATTGGAGCTCCTCAGCTTCGGAACCCCGTCCCCTGTCCCTGAGAGCGCCTGCTTTGGACAGTTTGTCACGTGCGGCCCCGGCGTTTCTCAAAGAGCCCGAAGGACAGGACAATCAACAATCACGGACGTATTGGTACAAGATGCAAGATCTGTAGGATTTCAACCGGCAAGAACTTCAAATTCTGATACCCGAGCCATTGGTTCCATCCAGCAATGCATTGATATCCATCTAAGCTATGGTACAAAGGGCTGTTGCATCCGATGCCGACTTTCTCAACTTTTGGAAGACTTTTGAAAACGCCCCTGATCTCCTTGTTTCTACCCGTCTGCTTGCCACACTCGAACAGCTTCGTTGTGATGTTGACGCGCTCGCGGGCGGCGGACTCGTGTGCGGATAGGACGTGGTTGGACATCTTACCCAACTTGTACAGCTTGCGCAAGATGTCCAACTCCATCGAGCCGCGGAAGGATGACCGCGAGAAGCTGCCGTGGCCGGGGTCTGAGGAGGTAAGGCTAGATTGTTCTGTGGTATTATCGTGATTATCGTCGGGGAGGAGGGTTGAAGCCAGGCGGGGGCTGGCTGCCAGGGGCGCCAGGGAATCCAGGAGGGAATTGGCCACCGGGAGCACCAGGGAAACCAGCAGGTGGGAAGCCACCAGGAGGCCCGGGGAAGCCTGGGGGTGCGCCAGCTTGGCGACGGTCAGCAGGGCGCCTCAAGGCGTAAGGACGAGTATAGTACTTACGACCTCCACGTCCAGGGAACCCGGGGGGTGCGCCTGGGAAGCCGCCAAAGGGCGGCGGCGGGACACCACCGCCGACGCCGGGAGCAGGACCCTATGATCTTGTTAGCGCTTGCAGGATGTCCTCGAGATAGGGCAACTCATACAGCGAGGGAAACAGGAGGGGCGGCTCCACGTCCAGCTGGCCGTGCGACACCAGGTCCCGACTGCAGGGTTGAAGAGATTCCGCCTGTTGTAGACTTGCCCAGTCGCGTGCTGGGGTCGGCCGGGGGTGGCGATTCGACCGACAAGGACACAATATGCGCTCCACGGACAATCGTCAGGCCGAGTGTTCGCTTCTCCTCCTGCACGATGGCTTGCGCTGAGCCAGCGGCGCCGGGAGCGGCAGGCTTGCTCTGCTTCTTGATGCGACGGAACTCTTCGGTATCGGCGAGGACGACGTTCATGTGCTGTGAAGATGCGACCTCGTCAGTAAGTGACCATAGTATGAAGTGTATCAACGGGACGTACCTTGTCAAAGGCCAGCATCTGCCCGGTCATCTGGCGGCCATCATTCAGAGTGACTCGCATCCGGTAGTTGATCTAAAAACGAGGGTGTCATCAGCACTGTGCATCGCAGGGGGGTTTGTCGCGTGGTCGCATAGAGGGTCGGGGTGTTGTACATACGTAGCCGGCCTGCGATCACCTTGTGTTAGCCTGTTGATGTCAACCTCGAGATACAAATGTGACGTTTTGGAGGCTGGCACTCACCATCTTTCCCTGCTTGTTGGTCGCCATCTTCGCGACAAGATGCTACAGAGTAGCTTCTTCAGAGTTCTCAAAAATTGGTTTCTTGTGTTCGAAGTCAGGGGTATGACTTCGTGTGTCGCGGTCCCGAAGAGCTTCTTGCCAAAGCTTCCAAGTCCAGCAGACGGCGTGTTGATGCCTCCCAGCTCGAATTTGAGCGCGGCTGCTTGCCTGCTTGCCTGCCAGACGCGGAAGGCTGCCACCAGCACAAGCTCGGGCCACCCCAAAGTCCCATCCAGTCCCAGAAGGCCCGCTAGTCCGTTCTCGTGCTAGCTCGGCCCCACCGCACACTTTGCGGACTTTTCTCATTTACTCCATCTTTTTTTGCATTTCGCCTCTCCTTCGCAACTAACCGACAGCATCAACCCATCGCCTTCGTCAAGCCCCTTCATCAGGATCGCCGACGACAACCAGCCAAAATGGTAAATACGCCATTGTTATGTCGTCCCGAGTCGCTCAATCGCTAACGGACATGCCTGCAGTCTGAGAAGGCCCAGAACCCCATGCGGGAGCTCCGCATCCAGAAGCTCGTCCTCAACATCTCCGTCGGCGAGTCTGGTGACAGACTGACCCGTGCCGCCAAGGTGCTTGAGCAGCTGTCTGGTCAGACACCTGTCTACAGTACGTCTCAACCACACTCTCGGCTTCCAGGGCCTCTTCCGGCCAATTTCGTAACCTAACAAATCCTCCCTCGCAGGCAAGGCCCGTTACACCGTCCGTACCTTCGGTATCCGTCGTAACGAAAAGATCTCCGTCCACGTCACCGTCCGTGGCCCCAAGGCCGAGGAGATTCTCGAGCGTGGCCTGAAGGTCAAGGAGTACGAGCTGCGCAAGCGTAACTTCTCTGAGACCGGTAACTTCGGCTTCGGTATCAACGAGCACATCGACCTCGGAATCAAGTACGACCCCGGTATCGGTATCTACGGTATGGACTTCTACTGCTGCATGACCCGCCCCGGTGAGCGTGTCGTCCGCCGTCGCCGCGCCAAGGGCAGAATCGGTGCCTCCCACCGCATCACCCGGGACGACACCGTCAAGTGGTTCAAGCAGCGCTTCGACGCCATTGTCCGATAAATGGGCAGGCCTCGTGGGGGAAATCAAAACAATTCACTAAAAAGGCGTTTCTGAGGGCTTTCATATGGGTTGCGGCAAGGGACGGTTCGCAAAGGTTCTGATCAAAGGGTTTTCATGGACATTTAGCTCCATCTGACGACCATCAATCGTCACTCTAGCTCGCTCTGAAATCTATCAGTCGAGCTGCGGCCTCAGAGTCCGAACGGCTACCATACCGTCTTGTACACCTCTTGCTGTGATTGCTCCTGCTACGTTCTTGTCTCGGCACTGCCTCTCCATCTGACCAGTCCAGTCCAGTCCTCAGCTGGGGTCTTCTGAACCTAGCGTCGCTTAGGTCAGGACATTGGCCTCTCTTCTGACCCTGAAGCATCAACTCAAATGTAGACTGATAAGGCCTGCACTCTGGGAAACAACTCGCCGTGTGCCCTGTGGTCAACCGCCTGGCCGTGGCTTTGTCTGCGGTTTTACCTTCTTCTGGAACTGCTCCATGTCTACGGGGCGGCCCATGAACGAGAAGTGTCAGCCATGAGGAACGCTACAGACAGGGTCGTGATTGGAACCCATGCAATAGTTCCAATAGTCTGCATCCTCGCATACGAACTTCGTCTTTGTCAGACTGTCCAGATAGACCAGCGAAGGGTTCATTCACCTCTACCCTTGAGGGCTGTCCGATCTGCTCGACAGTGACACGAGTTTCCTCGTTCAGGAGAGTATGACCAGACTGTTGATCTTGCTGTCGAATGCGGCTTTGACGGCAGCGTAGACACAGACGGTGCAGCGCGTCTTGGTTGCGGCGCCTTGCGCACTTGGGCACGGGCAAGGGCGTGGTCGGGCATACCCTTCAGGTTGTCTGTCATAGTTCAGGTACTCGAACCGGTTAGCAAGTGCGGTAAGGATGTTGTGTGTGGACCAGGTCTTCATTACTCCCCGAGGGTCCTCCCACGGGCCAGCAGCCGTGGCAGCTAAAGCCTCTAAATGCGCGGTCGACTTGAGCGCTGAACACCAGATAGGATCTCGATACTCAGTTGACTTAGTAGCACGACTGCAGAAAAAAAATAGCCATCTCTCTCCACGTTGTAGAACAGTACGTGCTCGATCTTGCTGATCATTTTGGAACGGGCTGCTTCAAGCTTGTCTGGAGCGTTTGGGTTGGCCACCACACATCTATGGAGCTGGGCGAGTCTCAGTATTCGTCGTGGTATTTCAGGATATTCCAAAATGACAAAAACCTCGTTTTATTTCTAATACACATACATATGAAATGATTGTGACGCCCTTATACAGTGGTAGACACTCAAGGAACCAGTGCTTTCAAAAAGACATAACGTCAATCAAGTGCAGAGAGAGTACAATGCGTTTACGGGTACATGGCCTCGTCCTCGTGCCGTACAGATAGGGCTAGGAAGCATCGCTCCCAATCAAAAACATCAGGCGAACACTCCCGAGGTCGTGCACAGAAACCTCCCGCTGGGGTGGACATGAGAAGCATTGAGCAATATCGTGTTGTTTGGGACAATTCTTTTTCGAGAGCCCAGGAGTCGGGATGTCCGGGATCACCTGAGTAGGCACGGGCAAGTCTTTGGTCGCCATTGTGTCCGCTCACTGTACAGCTCAATCATAGCGAGGTCAGCGTATTTTGACTTCCAAAGTTGTTTTATCTGTCAAGAACTCGGAATTGGAGATTCTAAAAATCGTCAACACGTACAGCCAGTTTCAGCGATGAGGGGATGATGGCAGACTAGTTGACGTCTTGCCAAAACAGCAGGCACCTGTCTCAGCGCAGAGAAAGTCCTATATCTCATCATTAAGCGTAGCGAGGAGTGTCCTAGAGCGAAGCGGAAGGGCAACGACGAGCGGAGCTTTCTCTATTGCTATATAATCTAACAAAATGTTTCTCATACATAAATTACATGAAATCTAAAAGTCATATAGGGATTGGTTAAATAATGTATCTTTTTATGTGCTCTATATACCCTTAAGGAGTCGTTATCATAGTGTTAAAGACAGAGTGCCTCCAGCGGCTCCCGCCCAGCGAGCCTTTTACCTCCTCGCTACGCTTATTCCTTAGCCAAACAAAGCCCTCGGGTACACATGTTTTGTGGTGTAGATGTACTTAGACACGGTGATACAAGCTAAAGTGATTTTAGGGAGCATGGGTTGAAAAGTCTTGGGCCAGCTGTAGCTTTCGGCTGGAAAGAATAGCAGATCAATAACTGACGGAGTTGTATGTAGTTACAAACGATATTTCCATCCTACCTAGTGTCCGGGAAATGTGCTACCATTCATCTTCCAAACCTCAAAATAACCTTAACCCAATTCACCCGTAATGTCAGATTGGGAGGACCACAGTTAGCCTTCCATGGTTTCTTTTGTTTCCCCTTTCAAGGGTATTGACTCTTGACCACCTCTATTCTCGGAACTCCTCTACTGGTCCAAAATTGTTATATCTAGCGTCTTTTATGGACAAGAGAGAATGCATCTGACTCGGAATGACTGAAAAAGTAAGGTGATGCGGCGTGAGGCTGAGGTTACCTGGACAAGTGGCCGCAGACGTTCTCTATTCTCTTTGCTCTCCATTGGCTTCTTCTTTTGTCTTCCATCGGTGGGTCCTCAGTGTTTACCATTTGTATCAAGGCGACACATGGACTTTATCTGTATATGGATTGGAACGAGCCTACTTCCCTAGGAGTTAACAACGTGCTCAGGACTGATTGAGTCACAGTGGTCTCAAGTAATTATCAGCAACAAATGACTGGTACGACTCATCAAATTGCGAGACAGTTTGCTTCTTGAACAGCCACTCGGGCCTTGCCAGTGCCTTGAGAATAATGACCTTTCAATTACGTGATTTGGTATCAATAATCATTCTTTACAAGTCAATCATCTCATACGTATGGACAGAGGAGGCTTACTGTTCCCACATGGAAGGTATCGGCGAACTTCTTGGTCGAGCCTCAACTGACATCTGGCCAGCCCCTGCCCTTAGAAGCCTCTTGAAAAATGTTTGCTATACCTATCTCTAACAACCTTTGTGAAAAGATCTCACGAGATAAGCAAACCAATGAAGTCATCCGACCAAAAGTACACATTGCGACGCCAGATGGGAATGCTTCATTGTCCATGCCAAATATCATACGCTGCCTTGACGGCGTGCACATTACTGTCGTCCCGGGGCTGCAACAGGGTGCGGCTGCTTTCGGAATGGAGTCCTTTGATAGAAGCGATACAAACTGCACTTGTGATATTGCTCGGCCAACGCCTTCTTGGCCTTGGCCAGATGGAGCCAAGATGTCACCCATGGAGGATATCGAATGGCATCAGACGTAATATGCACAAAGTAGTCCCGTCCATTGGCTTGCAAGAGGCGAGTCGCAACGAGCACATCCTCTTTCTTCAAACAAGGGGCATAAAAAAAGACAAGGGGTCACGTTGATGGCATCTACCGAAGAAACTTGCATGGTCATGTAGGCGGTCCACGCCATGCTTGCATACGGAAACCTAATCTGCGGGGCTCATAATGGATATCCATCAAGCGCTACCTAACACCGGATTGACAAATTCCATGTTCTGCAGATATGCAGGGCATTTGACGTGTTGGCTGCACAGCTGCTGACCCCACCAGCAAGACGGGATACCCTCATCTGTGCTCTGCCTGCTGGCATCGTGACCCACATGTGCATGAACTTCATATTTCAGTCAGGTGTCCATGCCGTCCACTATTACTGCCCAAGAAGGAATCAGGACCATATAGGGCTGAAGAAGAGAAAAAGTCTTCCAAGGCATGGACTCGACCGCTTCGAGGAGAGTGAGACCACCTCCTACTCAGAAGCACATTTCGCAGGGTTTGACCATGCTTTGTTCGAGGTGAAGGAAGTACAGCGCTTGGCCCGGGTATTTTGCAGTTGTGTCTGGTTGCAACCTGTAGTCGGGGACTTGATCCCTGCCGGCGGCGCTGATCGCGGCATGGACAACCCAGAATCGACCTCAGCGGTGCCTCTTAGCATGTGAAAACGAGTGCTTTCTCAATAATGACAGTACACAGTATCAGAATATGGGGCTGGAATGCAGAAGAGTGGCTTACCCGTGGAAAAATGTCACGCGCCGGTTACCACAGCACACAGTATGCAGCAATGGCAGAGGAAAAGATCCACAGCAGAAGTGTGAGCTGACGCGCCTGACGCAAGCCACGTCCGATGCAACCAAGCCCGAAAAGGCCCAGAAACTCGAAACCCACCGAATTGCCAGGCAAGAGAAGAGACTCTGACAACTAGAACGGAGGGCGTGCAGCAGTTCGAAAACTAACTGCTGCATGTCTCCCGGCCCCGCGCCCAAGAACCCTCCCTGAATGCACAATCACGACATGGCCCGGAAGCTTCTAGCCTCCCATTGCGCCGGATCGCTCGCTCTGCAGACACCACACCGCCCCATCCTGAGTCTCCCCATTATTAGTACCTACCCCTCCTCCTCGCCCCTGCACGTCCCCTCCTCCTGAGGTCACAAAAAGAGGAGAGCCACGCCTGCGCAGGGGCCAGCGGGAGACCAAAGGTCTCGTGTGGTCAGCCGTCGAAAGAAAGAGAGTGAAACTGGAGCAGATGCAAGAAGGGCAGCAGTGACAGAAAACCCGCAGCAGGACGAACCCACCCGCGCTGTCAGCATTGGGGCCACGAAGGGGCACCAGCGTCGACGGGCAGGTAGGATGTGCAGGAAGGATGGGCAGGATATGCAATGCAAGGCGAGGGCAAAAGCTAAGGGCAGCCCACTCCCCTGAGGATCCCCGGCCCCGTTTGGGCATGGCGCCATGTCATCGCGGAACGTGTGGCCCAATGGAATCGAGTGCGGGAGGGCCCGACGAGGGCCCGTCGAGCCCAGGGCACGCGGGCTTGTTTGTTGCGGTGAAGGGTTTCCTTCTCCTCGCCTTCTAGTGGGGTCTGCTGTTCCCGTACCACCCCGGCCGCCCTTTGACGAAGAGGCGCCCATCCCATTCCAGTCAGTGACTCTGGGGGGAGTCAGAGATAGCAAGCCTGTGTGGAATGTGTGGGATTGTGGCTTTGGTATATCTGTGCCGGGACCTCCTCACAGTTGACGAGATCAGTCCGGGCTCTCTTCCTGTTTTTTCTTCATCGCTTTGGCGATAGATGTCGTGTGCAAACTGTCTGTGTACCACGTTCCTGAATCTCCTTGATTGCTACTCCATCCACCATACTACACATATCACCGTACTTGCTGTTGTACTAGACAAGGCAGGATCCTTGTCTCTCCCCTGACTTGGCCTGGCCCCCCAGCGATTTGAACATCTGAAAGCAGACAGAAGAAGAAGAGACCCCTCTGCCCGCCATGTCGAGCTTTATCGCCGTGTGCGTCACCTTCCTGGGCCTGACCCTCATCATCGTCAACGTCGCCGTCTTCCTGCAGATGCTGCTCTCGTTCCCGGCCATGCTGAGCAGCAACTCGCAGGCATACGTCCAGCAGCAGAGGAAGCTGCACCACATCCCGTCGTCCCGGGAGGACCTCGACGAGGATTACGCAGTCGCGGCAGAGGAGGAGGACGAGGAGGACGACGACGACCAGGAGTGGGAGACCACGGGCAGGTGGGCCGACGAGGCAGAGGACGTGGAGGAGCAGCAGTACCAAGCCGACGACTTCAGCCCCGAGGCCCACGTGACACCAAGGGTGGTGGTGACGGCAGCAACGGCGAGGAGGTCAGACTCGATGACCCGGGGCCGGCCCCTGCGGAGGCAGCGGCGGCGGAATATCGCACGGACGGTGCTCCGCGTCAAGGACATCGGCCGCGTGCGTGACAGCGACTACGAGAGCGAGTTCTCCGAGACGGAATGGCGGCCGATCGGGGTCGGTGCCAGGAGCAGGGACCGCGCTGGTCAGGCGGGACGTGACTGCAGGGGAGGGTGGACTCGGAGGGGCATGGACTGGACGCGATGAGTGCCGTTGGCGGGTGTCGATCATCCAGCAGCGATGGTGAAGAAATGGGAGATTTAAAAGTTCTGAGTGGGGTTGGAATGGCACGGAAAAGCAAGGGGAAAAAGAAAACTGACCTTGAAGCACTGCGACCAGGACGGACTCTTGAGGAGCCGCAGGGTGGGCACATGCACCTGGGCAGGCTGGCAGGCATGACGACTGTATGAATGTTTTCTTTCTTGTCGGGATACCTCACACCAGCGATGTTGCATTTCCAAAATCATGTTTTAGATAGCATAGCCGGCGAATAGCTAGAGGTGTTTTTGATTCAACTACAATGGCGCGTGCGCCTTCCAAAAAGGTGACCAGGCACCTGGGCAGGTACCTGTCTGTCTCTTTCCTCTTTTGTCGTCACCCATCAGCCCTCTTCTCTCCTTTCCAATCCTTTGCCACTCACACCCGCTTCATCCAGGTAAAGTGGCCCTTGGGGTCTCTTGCCAGCTCCCTCATCGCCGCCACGTCGTCAGCGTCCGGCCCAAACTCGACGATGCCCGTCTCGACCGCCAGCTTCGCATACTTCTTGGCCTTCTTCGCATTGCCAAACAGGTTGTAGTTGAGCGCCGCGAGCACATACGCGCCGTGCACCTTCACGTCCAGCCTCTCGAGCTCGTACACCTCGAGCAGCCGCTGCACCATCTCCACCGACGCCCTGGGGCTGCCAAAGTTGCCCAGCTCCGCCTCCATCTCGTCGATCTCGTGCAGCCGCGCGTCCGACTCGCGCACCTCGTCCTCGCCCATCGTGCAGTGCCGACACGTGCACTTGAACCCCCACGACTGCTGGATGTGTGCCTGCCGCGCCGCGTGCGTCTCGAACGGGTTCATGTACGTCAGCGTGAGCTCCTCCCCGGCCGCGATGTCCCGCACCGCATGGGTGTGGTGTGTCAGGTGGTCGTCGATGTAGAAGGCCGTGTTTGGCCGGCAGTCGTGGTTGAACAGGCTCACGTCGGGGAAGTTTGACAGGTGGTGTCCCTCCTCGCCACCACCCTCGGCGCCAACGTCCATCTGGAACGAGTTGGTCAGCAGGATGTCGCTGACGCGGTGCCCGCCAAACTGTCCCAGCTGTTTCAGGAAGGCTCGCCGGCGCTGCGCTGGCAGCTTGAGCAGCGCTGCGTCCAGCACGCGGAACTGTTCCTCCTGGCTCAGGTCCTCGGGCAGCCGGCGGTGTATCACGAAGCTCGGCTGCCAGGTCATGATCATCTCTCCGCGCCTGATCGTCCGGTTCGCCACGAGGCCGGCCCCCTTGCCCGGCACCTCGGTCGCATAGAAGGGCGGTGGCCCACTCCTGGCCGTCGTGACCTCAGGCATGTCTGCTATCCGCTTCGCATTCTCGGCAGTAGTGATCACCGTGATGCCGCCTGCGAACTTCCGGTGCGAGTATACGCAGTACCCCCTGACGCAGTGCTTCGGGCCCTCCCAGCCAGTCTCATTCGAGCTTGCAGCTGCCTCGGTTCCGTGGCGGGCGAGCCTGTCTGTGACGCCCTCCGGGTTTACGGGAGCTGTGTTGAGGCGGCAAGACACGTCTTCGTCCAATCTCAGGAGCGGGCTCCACGCGCATAGCCCCTTGATGTCCGCGGCCGGGACGCCATCTTTCAACCCATCAACAAATGCCAAGACGAAGAGAAGTACGGGAAAGCGCATTTCATCTGTCGACTGCGAATTCAAATCAGATCCGCTGATGGAGAAAAAGAAGCATGAGAGTTAAGTTCGGGTATGATATGTTCGGATATATTCAACAGGAAACGGGCCTTTGAAGCCTGTTGCTGGTGGCGTAGATGCTCCTCGGGCCCGCCAGCCTGGAGGTAAGCGGGCATGTTTCATCGACGACCAAGGCGTTTCAACCCGGCGGCCAGGCCCGTGAGCCTCCGCCAAGGAGGCCCCTTCCCCGGCCCCATCTATTCTCGGGGGCGAACAGCAAGTCCCGGGGTGCGTTCACTAACCCGGCTTTACGGAGTACTTCTGTTTTTGTGCATCTCTGGTTTTGAGTCCGGGGCCGAGTACCGGGCAAGTCGGGCCGTGTTGGGTTGGCCGTCCGGAATGGCGTCCGGCGGGTGGGGCACGCCGAGTCTGCTTCAGCACTCACCTGCGCGTGTCGACAGCATCCACGAAGCCGACGGGCCGCCCTCGATGAGAAATTCACCCATGACGGGACCCACGGGGGCAAAAAAGCGGCACCAAGGACCAAGTCCGGAAGCCTGGTGCCCTCGGAACCGGCAAAATGGACGACCACGGGATCGAACCGTGTACCTCGCGCATGATGCGATCTTCTCACATGAGAGGATTGATGCTAAGCGCGCGCTCTACCATTTGAGCTAGACGCCCTGTGATGGATGAAGCAGGTTTTGCAAGTTTCTTGATTCCAAGTTTGAGGGAAATCGACGCAGAACGGTCTGGTCTGGCCTTTTCATTCCGACGAATATCATCTTGATCCCAAGGGCCGCCTTCTCAACTCCGGGATCGATTGCGATGCGCCGTCCTGCCTGGTTTCGCTTCTATTCCGTACACGTCCGAAGATATACATGGCGCGCCATCCTGAGTCTCTCGGAATACGACAAACACCACTGCGGGCCGATCTCTCGCAAAAAGAAGCCCGCCTTCAAACTGGAAATTCGACTGAATCCGGGTGGCCTCTGCGACATCCCTCCCGACAAGCTACGCGGCTAGCACTGTTGTGACTCGGGTCCGCCTTGCCCTAGCCATCATGGTGCTTCACAAGCCGCTCAACTAACACGTAAAGCATTCTAGTCTCTAGCAGGCTTATAATTGATGAATATCAGGAAACAAATGGGGCGAGTGGTGTAATGATGGCAGTGCCCGATTCTCATTAATAACGGGAGGTGTTGGTTCAAGTCCGACCTCGTCCATTCATGTTTTTTTTTGTTGTTGTTTTTTTGCATCTCTTCCTATTGGCCATCCACCTTGATAACCACTTACACCTCAAGATAGGGCCCTAATTCCGTCTTCGATGATTTGAAGAGGGTTATATTCCCGAGCTTCGGCTTGCAAGCTCAACGCCCTTATCTTGTACTTGTCCTGCGCCAGGACTCCATCCACAGCCGCCGCGACGGCTTCGGATGTCGGTGGTGACTTTGGAAGAAAGACACCAAGGCCCGAGTATTCAACTCTTCGGCCGATATCAGGTTTGTCAAAAACATCTCCCGCCTGTACTACAGGTACGGCCTGGGCAACGGCATGGGTCAACCCTCCATACCCAGAATTCGAGGCGAAGACGTCTGCGTGCGGGAGGATCGCATCGTAAGGGAAGTAGTCGATGACCCGGGCGTTCGAAGGCAAAACTCCACCCTCGAAGAGACTCAGATGCTTGTCGAGTGTTGCTCCCTTCTGACAAAGCACTGCGATCACAAGTACGTCCTCCCGCCCTGCGAGCCCCTTCAAACACGGTACCAGCAGATCCCTGTGATCCAATACTTCCGTGCCCTGTGCCACAAACACAATCCTCTTCCGTCCCGGCCTATCACCTGAGCTTGAGCTGTTCTCCAATACTTCAGGGTACCAGTCCGGGTACTGCAAATCCAAAGGGATGGGTTTGGGCGGCAGAGACCCAGCAAATCTCAGATGTGCAGGCTCATTTGGCACAGGAAACTCGAAGCTCGGCAGGCCCATCTGGAAAACCACGTCGTGACAGACCGTCGACGCATCCCAGAATGGACGTTTAAACCCCATCTGGCTTTTGTCGTACTCTCCGTACAGCTCATCCACCGACTTACTGCAGTTCATCGCCCCGAGCACCCACCTCGCCCTTTCCTCGGCGATCTCGTCCCATTTGCTCGCGTGCGCCTTCAAAGTCCGCGCGATCCCTTCCTTTGACACATCGTATGGCATCCCGCTGCCCCATGGCGGCCTCTCAGGCGCCGCCCAGAACCGCGGAACCAGGCCAATGCCCACGGTCTTGATAGTGACGCCTTCATAGCCTTGTGGTAGGTCCGCACCCAGCTTCAGAGGCAGCGTCCCTGAGAGACACGTGTCCGACAAAACCACCACCGTCCTCCCCCTCAGAGCATCTCCGCCCCCCAGCCGCGTCCGGATGTTCGCCAGCGCGATCCGTATCGACTCCAGCGCGCTCGGTAGCAGCCGCACGAAGCCGTCAGACAGCGAGATGCGCAGGCGCTCCTCGGGCGTCTTGGCGGCTATGATGTCTCCCCACTTGGCGTAGTCCCCCATGGCATCCCAGAGGCCGATGATGTGTGAAGGGTGGGCGCCGATGGCGGTTATGGCGGGGGACCATTTGTCGTCGCCCAGCATGGTCACATCTAGTCCGCGGGCGATGAGGTGCGCGCTTATCTGGAGGGCGGGGCGCATATGGCCCTCGCGGGGTGGGATTGCGTAGAGGATCAGCGGTGGTGCCATTGTTCTTTAGATGACGGCTTGTGTCTGTATGGCTGTCCTCTTCAAGTCTCGGATGGGTGAGCGTGTGTTGTCCCGACTCGCTATGTTTGGTGAAAGGGAGTGGACGTTGCTCTAGTTGTCAAAGGCGGTGGTGGGTGATCTTTCTCTTGCTGATCAATCTGAGTCTGCTCCTCGGCGCGTTTATCTTCCCTTTGGCCCTGACTCGGACATTTGCATGGCATTCTACGGCTGATCATGTCCCTGATAAGAGAATTTAACGGGCTGTCACTAATATTTTCTCGTGATGCAGGTGTTGATCATTTCCCTACGCGGGCATGTTGTGAGCCATGTCACCGCCTACGGGTCAACCGGGGCCTGTCTATACAAACTAACCACTGCAATGCCTCAATCGTAGATCCCTTTTGAAGATATGACGCACAGCGTGAAGAAGATCCCAAGCAGCTTTTCGATATCCAGTTCCACCAGACCTAATATGCGAGTCATAGCCCATGCGCGAGCCTTGAATTACCTCCGCCGTGTCCGGCTCCAGATACTGATGACGGTAACTCATTTTGATATTCAACTTAGGCATGTGAGTTTTTCAATTTCGAAGACTGAATAAAATACCAACCGTGGGAGTGATAGGCACAATGCCTCATGCGGCTTTCTATTATGTAGCAGGGACTGAAACTACATGGGCGTGTAGTTGTTTCTGGCCCAAGTCGCTCAAGGGTGAATCCACACGTTTAATGAGGGTGAGTTGCATTCCGTTTCACTCATACGTACCTAGGTACTAACTTCACGTATCGCGGGGGAAGCAGTTGAATGCCAGCACTGAGCAGATACATATGTACAATCTGGGGAATCGTGCCAGAGACGGCAAGTACCGTACAGGCAGTTGAATATATCAAGGTTGTCTCATTCATTAATCCTTGGGTCATATAATATGTCTAGAGTTTGTTTCTTCCCCCACACAATAGACAAGTGCGGTTACGGAATCATAGATGGCAAAAAGCCAGCAAGCCTTGTAAGAGTCTAAGCCCTGAACCTTCGGATGTATGCGGATTATGAACGACTACCGTAGGCCCCAAGACAAGGGAAGGCCTGTCTGTCAAGGTGTTAATAGAAAGGGGTCTACGGTGTGCCATACTTGGCTGATAGCAGAATGGTTCGGTGTGCCGCTATCGCCATTAGCCTAATACAGACGCTGACACCTCCCAAGCCGACATTCGAAACAGAAACCGGGGAGGTACGAGTAGTATGCCTGGTTCATCCAGACAGAAGGCACTCTTTAAGTTCATCCTCATCCTGTTCTAACCTCCGCTTCAGCGGGCTTAAGATTACCGCCATCCCTTCTTTCCGGCAACATGTTTACTCCGCGGTAGAGGCAATTCAGGTTATAACACAAGTTGAATCAACTCCGCCCAAAGATCGCTACTATGATCGTCGCACAGCAGATCACCGTGAACACCGTCCGTGCTTGGTGGGCCAAGATCATCGTGGTAAAAACACCAAGGAGGTGCCAAGCGCGGATCATAAAATGAAGCAAAACCAAGCACCCTCCTAAGCTTTTAGCTGCACTCGCTCTTTTCAGAACTAACAGGCAGACGTTTGGGTTGGGGTGCAGATTTGGCCCGGGTGCCGATCTTACGCTGTTGACTGCCAGTGCCTCTGGATATGCGAGTCGTCTGAGGTTTCAACCCCCACCCCCTGGCAGCTTGGCAGTATGCAACCAGTTGACCCCAACCGCCAACCTTGATTCCGTCCCCCCCAATGAGGGTAGTTTCAGACGGGAGACAGCAGAGCCTCAAACCCGGACCTGCATCAGGTCCCGGGACGCTCCCAGCCAGGCTGCAGCGCCACATTCTCCCGGCTCCGCCGAGTTAGAGTTGGCGTGAGTGGGTGATGGGCTGTTGTGGTCGGGAGAGAGGCCCGTCGATTGGACGCCCTGTCCCCTCTGACACCCAGGAGATGTCGGTACTGGGTCCGGCGGTTCACATGCCATCCGAAACCTATTCTTGGTCCAACTTGGCATTGGATCGCCCAACCCATAAAGGATGTGCGCAGCCGTCTTCTTGGGCGGAAGCTTGATGGTCTCGGCTTGTCACTTCTCAGGTTCCTGAATAATAACGTGCATAATACTATATCATTCAGTGCTGAGCACTTCACTTTCTCTGGAAATTCAGCCTGCCGCTCCTTTAGCAAGTATCTTCACTCATTTACAAATCTCACAACAGTCAACATGAAGGCATCCATCGTCAGCGCCTCCCTGTTCGCCGCGGCGGTCTCCGCCCACGGCAACATCACCTCCCCTCCAGCGAGGCAGGCCGGCGCCGCCATGGCTGCAGTGTGTGGACAGGACGCCGTCGACACCGTCAACTCGGACCCGACCATCCCCCTCGAAGATGTGACGGCAGCAACAACACAATGTAAGTCGCACACAACACTGAAACAGTGCAAAGGTGGTTTTTTTCTTCTCCCGCAGACTGACATAAATAAACGCAAACCAGGCGACCTAGGCCTCTGCAGGGGCGCGCAGTTCGAGGACAACGCGAACCAGGTGCAGCAGTTCGCGCCGGGCGAGGTCGTCCCCATCGAGGCCATCATCCCCATCCCGCACGAGGGCCCGATGAACACCAGCATCGTCGACACGGCGACCAACACCGTGATCGGCCAGCCCCTCATCTCGTTCGACTCGTACGCGGACGAGAACCTCGCCGTGCTGCCGGCCAACAACACCAACTTCAGCGTCACCATGCCCACGGACCTGCCCGCGAACCAGTGCGCCGTCGCGGGGGAGTGCGTGATGCAGTGGTTCTGGTTCGGCACGAATGCCCAGCAGACGTATGAGTCTTGTATTGACTTCGTCATGGTCCAGTAATCGGGGCCTTAAGAGATGTATGGGGCGTGTACTGAACAAGAATGGCGCTGCCTGATCGGGGCAGGCCGCGATGATGTCTGAAAGAAGACAGTGTACCAAGTTACGATTTCACGACCGTATCATTTTACTTGTGCTAGTCACAATACTTATGTTAGACTCTAATGCAATCACTGCAATCTGAAATATGAATTTTTAGAAATATCTCATATTTCAAAAATGTACCGCATGAGCACTGGAACTGTTGCGATATATCGGAGGGAACAACGGGCCTGAGCTTGGGGAGAGAAGATGGTTAGGTACGAGTCAATTGTGCGCCGTAGATGATGGAAAGTATTATGCTGGAGTGGCCCGCAAATTTCAGTCTATTTGGTGTCCTCCTTTTTCTGGTTCGGCACTTCAGAGGTTGATTGGGTGCAAGCGGCTGCACACGGACATAAGCTTGTACGGTTTGGCTGGGCCAGCTGGCCCAGGGCGGCCTCCGTGCTTGTTCTGACTCTAGACATCAGACGACACTGTTACAACTACCCGTTTCAGCAAGCGTTTGCCGAATGGCGGCACCCAATATTGATGCCCAGACTGGTGGTACTAGATAGATGTCATTGATGTAGGCGACAAGTAGGTAACAACGGTTCGGATGCTGATTGAGGCGAGCCAGCTCATGTAAAAACTAGTCACTGGACCTTGCTACCGCGCGCTTATCTCTAGTCTATTTTCTGAATCTCGTCTTTCTAAACGTACTTTCTCGGGGTTGAGAAATTATTCACCGGGAGAGGGCGCATGTGCAGAACTTTGTGAGTGTGAACTGCGTTTTGTGAAGTGTCCCTCCTCGGAGAACATATTTGCAACAACTTTATCACAACGCCGTATAAATAATCGCCGCATGAGAAATTGAAGGCATTTGATGCTAGCCTCCCGGGATGGACTCTTTGGCGCCTTCTAGTAGTTCATCTATTCGTCACTGTATAAAGGCGCCACATACGAATGAAATATGTGGGGATTAAAAACGTAACCACTTTTTGTTCATCTCATTCAACTTGAGTCACGCTCATCTACCGGTTGCGGTTCCAATATGGGGCACTGCTAGTATCTGTGGTCACTCAAGTTCTGATTAGAGCGGTGTTCGGCCTGAGAAGCTTCATGTATTTGCGAGCCTGCCTGGGGGTTTCACCTTGAATCCGTGCTTCAACATGCATAGAGTTTTGTACTCACTTTTAAGTTCTCAACCATAGTTACAGCTTCAGCTTATTTGCTGGTGTTTGCATTCCGGATGTACCCTTTCGTGTTCTCGTCGGATACGCCAAAACGGACAAGCGTCAAGGTCAACCCCAATCCGGCGACTTCCAAGTTACACAACGAATCGAACAAAGCGAGGACCTCAAAGTTTGATCCGATGAAATGACCGCAAAGAATTTCGCAACAGAAGGGATTTTACCAAGAATTCTCAGGGCCTCACGCTTACCTCAAATAACCATCCCCGTGTATCAACCCACGCATGTACTAATAAACGTTCACCCTGGGGCGTCTGTTCGCAATGCCGTCATTTCAGTCGCTCCCGGCCGAGCTCCGTCTCGACATCTGGGAGCTCACGCTTCCAGCTTGGGATGATCCTGCGATCCTATTCTGGCACCACGCTGCTGACGAGCCCAACGACCCACACGTCGTATCGCCGCAACCCAGCATCTACAACGTCTGCCAGGAGTCTAGGGTTGTTGTGGACAAGGTGAAGAAATACCTTTGGACGTATGCCGAGAACTCGCAGGGGGACAAGTTCGACAACCTCCTCCTGCGGCCGTACATGCGCCACGACGCCGTCTACATCGTCAAGTCGCAGTTCCACTGGTTCCGGAGGCACCAGCTCATACTCCAGCAGCGCAACCCGGGCCCCGAGGCTCGCGACTACCTCAGGTGCAACACGGTCCTGACCAGGCTGACCCACCTGGCGCTCGACTCGAGCATCTTCATAGAGAACCCGACCAAGGTGCGCCTGTGGTTCAAGAAGCTCCCGAGGTGTCTCTTGCACCTGCGCAAGATCACCATCGTCTTCGGTAAGCAGTGGGAGCGCCCCGTCCGCAGGCCGTCGGAGCTCCTGGGCAAGGGGAACAAGAGGAAGCCGGGGAAGGAGCAAGAGTATGACAATGTCGCGAGGGAGTGGGCATACAAGGAGATCGAGCCGCCCATGGCTCTCGAGGAGTTGAAAGGGTGGTCCTCCGACCAGACGATCCGCCTCGTCCACGACGACCCGGCTTCGAGCCGCAGGTTGCTCGACTTGTATGCCGAGCTGAGGTGCCTGTTGGACTCGACCAAGCCGTTTGACGACGTTCCAGATGAGACGAGATGGAAGTTCAACAACTTCATTCCTTCGTGGGAGATAGAGCTGGCGTTCGCGGAACTGGTCGTCAAGAAATGAGCGTGAGCTGCGACCAAGGCACAGCACGGCTGCCCCTTTCTCATTCAGTTATATACACAGAGGCATACAAAGACTGGGCCATCACCTATCAAGCATCTGAGATTACAAGCTCATCTCGCACTTCCCTCCCTTCGGCCCAGTAAACACCCACTGGAGCTGCTCCATCGACTCGTCCGTGCAGCTCGGCGCCAACCGCAGGCCCCTGCACTCTCTGAACAGCAACGCGGCAGCCAGCCGCAGCTCCATCATGGCGAGCTGCTTACCGATGCACGACCGCGATCCTATCATGAAGGTCGAGAATGCGGCCTTGACCTCAGGAGATGTATCCTTGAAACGGGTCTCGTCGAACCTGAGAGGAGCTCGCTGTTAGCAGGCTGGCAGGAAAGGCCGAGATAAAAGAGACTGGGCGGGTGACTACTTACTAACCACCATTCGGAAAGATCTCTGGAACCCGATGGACGGCATATGTCACTGTGCACACGGTGGAACCACCTGGGATATAAACACCCTCAACTGTCGCTCCGTCCGGAGGACACACCCTGGCGTTGGCCCCCGGGGGTGGGGTCGTACATCCTAAGGGCCTCGTTGATGACTGCGTTCAGCAGCGGCAAGGCCTCGACATCTTCGTCGGTGAAGCCTGGCTTCAGGCTGGCCACCTCATCCTCGATCCTCTTCTGTAACTCGGGCCGCCTCACTATCGCCCAAGTGAGATACGTCAGCGCGGCGCTGGTCGTCTCGGCACCTCCGATCATGAAAGTCGCCGCCTCGGAGCGTACAGCGTCATCAGTCAGCCCCGAAGTCTCCTTGTGGTCGACCTCCTCGACGATCTTGAAGAAGATATTCCTCTTATCACTGTCCTTGTTCCTCCTCATGTTCTCAACGGCAATAGACCCTTGGTCATAGATGGCCTGTTTGGCAGCCGCCACGCGCTTCAGCCAAGCTATCGGGAGCACCCTCGCCAGCATGTCGATCGTCTCGACCGACACATACTGCCGGAGCGGGACGGTCTGGCCCAGAGTCTGCAGCGCCATCTAGAACTGCATTTTGGCCTCAACAAGGCCCTCCAGCATTTTGAACGCCTGGCCGAAGCCGATCCGCGACACGACGTCGCTCACCATGAACTTCCACCATTTGGCCACGTCTGCCGTGCCCTCTGCAGTGGTAATTCATGGGCACCGAGGTGAACCTGGCCCACCATGGGCCTGGGATGTGGCGGCGTGGGTTCGTTAAGCCGGTGATGATGATGCGGAACGTGGCGAAGGCGACGATCCCTACGCCGATGAAGGCGCTGAGGCTCATTTGGGTGTCCGTGTATACCATCTTGTATGCTCGATTAAGTGCTTTTGGTCTCCGCTATGGTCCGCATATGTCTGCTCTGAAATCTTTCGGGCCTGGGATTTTGAGAGTCAATTTGATAATTTGAGAGGCACGTAATGTGCGAAGTATCGTACAAGAGAGCTTGGCCACATGTATCGCATACTCATGCAGTAGAGCGAAGGGAAGCAGATCACTGAATCTATACCCGGACTGGTAGACGTCAGTCGTGCTACCACAACATGGGCAGCGTGACGAGCCGAAGGGCGGTCGGTTCGAGGAGTAGGATCGGGAATCGGAACTGTATGGCCTGGGATTATAGCTCCTTAAGAAAGAATATTCATGCATTTCTCCCTAGTGGCTGACCTAAGAAATGAAGACGCCAAATATTGTGATGGGGCTAATAATTGATACCGGCTCAACTTGCAACTCCAGGGCTGCTTGAGCTGACGATGCAACGGCTTATTGCTGCTGCATGCCTAGGTACACTCACCCCTTCCCAAGAATCCACCTCGCAAAGTTCCGGGGTCGAAATCTAAGTCCAAACCAAAAGGGGCGCCCGTTGTCGACTCCCCTACCTAGGTACCGGCAAGGCGTTTCGGCGCGCCAATATGCAGCCAGGTTCCCACACGAAAAGGCCTGCTACCACTGGCGGCTGGCCTTCGCGTGGGACAAAAAGAAGAGGAGTTATCCGGCGCCATGCAAAAGTCCCTTTGAGAAGCTCCAGGGACGCCGGACCATTCAGTGCCCAGGTAGGTGCATCGTCGAGAAACTGTAACTAACCCCACCACCTCAATATGAGCACATCACCATGCCTCCCTGGGTCAAAGGGACCCTTGAACAGCACTTCCTTTGTGCACATATTGACGGATCTTACTGACTTGTTCGTTTAAATATTGAGTTCATGCGGCGGTGAAAACGAGGCCAAGATCTGCCCACACCCATTCTAACGCCCAGAAAAATTCCATTTGTCTGGACGCCTCCCCAATGCCTATTAGACCACAATCTTGCCTAGCGGCATCTCGACGGCCGAGTTCTCTCGGCCGTATATATCGGGATGCTTTAGCCCGGCTGTGTGTTGCTCTTCCACGATAAACCGTGTAATTTCCTCCCAGGACCGTCCCAGGACCAAAAAGCTTGTTTCACCCTCCGCTGGAGGGGTCACACACATACAAAGATGCGACATACAATTTAGAAAAAGACCGCCATCCCTCGCACATGTGTTCCAATCTCCTGCGTTGACGTGAGTTTGAGGGTAGGAAGTAACCCAGCATGAGCCGACTTCCAAGTTTGAAGCTTGGCATCGAGCTCCATTCAGCCCGCTACCGGCTCGAGAAGCACATGGAAGACAGATCGAAGTCGTCACGCAATTATGGCATCTGATAATGAGAAATGATTTAGATGTGTATTTCGATAGATTTTCCAAGAAAAGGATTCATTCGGCAGGTTTCCAGAGTCAATCAAGGATGTGACGGGTTGTCGGAACCGTAGGCCAGCTCCATTGACTGACAAACACTACTTGTGCCATCTCGATGGCCAACGACAGCTCCGGACTTCACAAATGTCAATTTGCCTCCGGGTCGGGTTGCTGTTCAATCTCAAGAACAGTCCAATGATAGTGCCATCTTGTTTCGACCATAATCCAAGGACAGACTCGCACGGCATGTTTCTTTTAAAGAAGTGGTTTCGTTTCTAATTCCCATACATTTGAATCGTATCCGGCGCCTTCATACAGTGGCAAATGCTCAAGACAGCCTTTCTCTTTAACAAAAAAATACAGTACTAATAATAGTGCAGAGGGAATACAGTACGTCTGTGTGCACGTGGCCTCCGTCTCGTGCCGCACAGACAAGGCTAGGAGGCATCGTTCTTCAGAGAATCATCGGTGAAGTGGAACCAGCTTTCTCCAAAGTGCTTTGATCGACCTCAGCCTGATGAACACGCCCGAATAAGAGGAAGCTAGGTCTTGAGCGTTCACCACTGTATGAAGATGCCGGATACGGGTTATATGTACCTAGGCATGGGGATTAGAAACGGAACCACTGAGAGGAAGCTAAGAACCACTAAACAACTTATAGACCGGCTTTGGCCATATTATATTTTTTATTTAACTATATATTTATCTATTTATTATCTTCTTAACTTTTAAACTAATTATTAGTTTATACTTTAAGTATAAAGTTAATAATTACTTAATATATACCTTTAAACTTATCTATATATAGAGTTACTAACTTTCTTTATAAGGCTTTTTTTTTATTATATTTCTTATATATTATATAAAAGTAAATAAATCTTTAATAATAAAGTAATATACTTAAAAAAGGAAAATTTAGTTTTAAATATTTAAACTTTTACTTTCCTATATAGTATTTATTTAATATATAATAAATAAACTTTACTTAACTTTTAAAAGTTTTAATTTTTATTAAATTTATATAAAAAGTTTTCTTAAATAAATTTATTATTATAATATTATTATTTTATTAATTATATATTTAAAATAAAAATTATAATATATTTAATTTATTTAATAAAAGTAGATTTAAGTAGCTATATAATAAATATATTAATAAGGAAAAGTTAGTTTATTAGGTTTTATATTATAGGATTATAACTTCTTCTTATAGAGGCTATTTTAAGACTATTTTAATCTCATTATATAACTACTTTACTAACTTTAACTTTAATATTATAATAAATTAACCCTTAAGTTACTTATATTAATAATTTTAATATAATATTATTAAAAGTAATACCTTCTAACTTTATTTATATAATATAAAACTTAATTATATATCTATATATTATATTCTCTTTCTACTATTATTAATACTATATTTCTTTAAATACTAAGTTTTAAGTGTTTACTACTATATAAAGGCACTATATATATTTTATATATATGGGGATTAAAAACGAAACCACTTGTAGACCAAGTAAGTCCCAGAGATAAAGGACCAAGGTAGCCGCAACGAGCTTAGAGAGTACGTTTATTGCTCGGCGGGATCGATCATCTTGTCGCGTATCAGCGATCCGGAAGCCCAGTCATCTGATTTTGGCCACCGTGTCGACACAAGAGTTCTGAGACATGATGGATTCGTTTCCAAGAAATGAGAGGGATGGGCGACTTGCCCCGGGTGAGAGAGGAGAGAGAAACAGAGATAGAGAGACAGCACAGATGGACCACTCGAACCCAATATTTCTGACTCTTGCGCCTTCCCTCGGGAGACATGAGCTCACGAAGCACCCACAGATCATCCCGCACTTGCCAGGGAGACGTCAGAGAACTACGGACGCGTGATTGATACCAGCCACCTACATCGGCATCCAAGAGGGCGAAGCTCTCCAAAAAGAGGAAACAGCTCCGCCTTCCCGCCACACGTGATCCCGCGCCCCGAGATCTCAATCTCCATAGACGCTCGTGCGGAGGGAGACCCGTAGCGGGGGTCCTACCGTGTACGGTATCTCCCCCATGAACAGGTTCACGGCGGTATTTTCCGTGAAATTATTCCGGAGATCGGCAAGCCGGGCAACGAGGACCGGCTGTCCCATGGACGGTCTGACAGACGCTCCGATAAGCCATTTCAAGGTGACCCAGGCAAAACGTGACAGAATCGCGCGGCTCCATTCGTCTGGGAAGGGATCTGATCGGCCCCTCAGATTAAGGATGAGCTCTGTATAGGGGCGTTTCGTCTGACACGGCTTGGCGCTGAGCTGACTCGCAAATTCGACTTCGACTTTTTTTCAAGACAGTTTCGTGGGTGCAGTAAAAGGAAAGTGGCCCGAGTCTGGTGAGGTTGTCAGAACATCATCAATTCAGAACGACAATATGTGGAGCAGCGTCTCGCGAGTCTGCTAGAGATTCATGCGTGCAAGATGTGCGCGTTGTCGAGCACTGGTGCTGCCAACGCCACCAGCAAACAGACACGCAACTACACACTTACTCTCACATTAAGACCTTGCGCAGAAGTTTGAGGCTCTTATTCAGCGTTGTGTGGATGTTACCGACCCAAATTGGTTCGTCAACGGGGCGCAATGGGTCACAATGCAAAGCTGGACACAGTCGCCATCTGATGATCTGTGCTGACGACACGTTCTGGCCTGGTCTATTGTCGCGAGTCATCCATACATCCGAACCAGAACCTCTGCGTCCAAGCCCTCTCGTAGTTTCACTGCGAAGGTAGGGCATCGGTTGTTGAGGACAGCAAAAAGAACAACACTCGCGTAGCGCGACCAAGACGCCAATAACGCCAATAACGCCAGCGCCCTTTCAGTACCTAGGTAGGCAGTTGGGGTCTACTTATGTAAGACCCGTGTTGACGGGTCTACCCGCGATCCATTTCGGGTCTGACGTGAACAAGGTGAAGGTTCCGGTTTCCGGGGCGTTAGGCATCGGTCATATCTCGGGCGGACAGTGCGGTGCGGTGGCGTGCAGCTTTTACACCAGGTGTACGCAGACAGCACGGGCTCGCTGGTTTGTGTTATTATGTCGGCAGGAGGGGATAGCAGAGGGCCCGCACCTTTTCCGGGTTTCCCGCCGATGCACTGGCTGCAGCTGTTCCCACATTGGGCACAAATTTGGGACTGCAAGGGCAGAAGCCGCAAAAAAGTGGTGTACTACTACCTGGTTGAATTCACCCATGCCTGGCTCACGAGGAAAGCCATCGGACTCGGCTCTGCTGCCTACCGAATTAGTCAACGGTCTCCAAATTCAATGCGCCTCTGGAGCCTAAATAGCCTCATGGCAGCGTCTGCCGTGCTAGGCAACAAAGAAGTACCGGCCTCTGTCGTGTCTGTCATATCTTTCGTCAAACACTGCCTCAAAGAGACGCGCCCTAAAAGGGGGGATTAGGCCCCACTAAAGCACGCGACGAGATGGGCGCCCCATTGCTCGGTGACGGCGGCATGGCCGTTACAGGCGCTTCACCAAGCTTCCGGACGCCCCATACAGGTCTGCGACCAGGCAACGTGGCCAAGAAGCGAGGGGCTCACAGGTCAGTCACTGAGCAGGACGCGCTTTCCGTCCTGCGGGCCGGCCACAGCCCACCCGTGTACCGCCCGATCGTCGTCATTCGGAGGCTGTCCGGTAGCATGAATTAGGGCCCTCATGCACCATGTCTGCATGGGCAGCATAGTAGTATGCGAAAGAGAAATGGAGCGTGAACAAGAGTTGTTAGGTGAAGGGCAGTGAGAGGAGGAAGGGTGGCACAGTACCGCGGGCGGCAGCAATGGCCAACGGGTGATCCATACTGCAAGTCCAGATACCCTGACAGCCACGGAGATTGGTCGGCTGATGGAGCCTGGCACAGTGTCAGACATACGATGCGGGCTTCAGGCTGACGATCCTGACATGGACTCAAGGTGACTGGCTTCTTTATTAATCGCGGGCATGCCGCGTTAGCACGACCTTTTTTGAGCTTTGGTTGACCCCATAGCTGCAGAGCCGTAACAGGCCGCGCTGGTCAGGGACCAGAGTATCGATAGAAGACGATCAGCAACTTGGGAAGAATCAGTCACCCCGTATCACAAGAGTCCACATGCCCAGGGTGTGGCCGATTTCTTCATCTAGTCGATCACAAATGCGACTCGATGCTGCTGGGGCTTACAACATGGCGACTTGTCAGCGTGAGGGCTGCTGGACAAAGCTCGCCGACACCCGTCCCATGACTTGTGCCGAGCCAACCCAGCCGTCATGTCTTTTCTTTTCTCCGCTGATTCTAGGACATCTCATTTCCGGCGAGTATCGGTCGTAACCCGAACACCGGGTCACGTCGGCGTTCAGAATAACTTGCCAGTAACACCGGAGAAGACCTCCTGACTTTGTATTTGTGTAGCATGGCACTCACGGCCTTGCGGGGACTGGGGGTGGGGGTTGTCAAGATGCTTGAGGGTCCACTGGCAGACTGGCGAAAGCGATGTGAGGTGTGACCTGAGCCATTTGCGGCACCTGTGCGCAGGCAGATGTCCAATTTTGCTTTTCTGGGCTTCATCAGCCAGTGGGATTCCAGTGAGAGAGGCCAAGCGCAATAGAGAGGTGGACAGCAAGGTTTTGTTTGGCGGACACGACTCCGTGAAGAGGCAAACCCCATCTGACACCGGGGATAAGCAAACGGCGCCGATCATGACTAGGAACGACCAACTGTGGAGACGTGTATCGGCCTCTCAAACAGGCCCCCGAGGCCAACAATGCTGTCCTGTACCAGAAAGGTATTCGGCACCCTCTGAGCCTCTGGGGCCTGGCTCGAGAAACGTTGCCCGCCTTGTGAAACCTGGCCGCGATCCTAACACGACCGCCGTGGAGGCGGTGCCGGGGCGAAACAAAACCCAAGGGGCCGTAGCACACCTTGCTATCACGACAGTCACGTGGCTACCCCATCCGTGTGTGGTCGCGGGCTTGCATGACTGAGGTGATGTCATCCATGCTCGCAGATTGGGTTGGAGGCGGTTGGGCAGGCAAACTCTAATTGCACGACCTTCTGCTCTCTTGACTCGCCAAGAAGAACGGAGGGGCGGGCAGCAAATGTCAGTGTTTGCTAGGTGGTTTTTGGGCGGTGCCCCCGTCGTGCAGGCTCTTAGGACCCATAGACTCGTCCTTGGTCGGAATGGTACTGTAGTAGATGCTAATTAGGCTTTTGTTGCGGAAGCTTGTCAAAGGGCATCCCGGCATCGCGTAAGCTGCCCAGGACCGAGTGGTGCTCTTGCCAGGCAGAACGTGCCAGTCACCAGCCGCGGTGTCAGGGCCAAGGCGGACGCGAGGCGAGGCGAGGCGAGGCGAAGCGAGTGCGTGACGCAGGTGGTGAGGAGACTTGAGAGAGGAGCCGTAGGGCCGGACTCTGCAACGAGGGCTGATGATCGCCGGCGTTGCTGGACAGTGCTGGACGGCGATTTTGGTGAATCCGATATGCGGCGCAGGCTGATTGCGATTGCTGGAGACCACCGCGGGTAGGGACGGACTCGGTAATCTGATTTGATTCTTTCCGAGTGAGGATGTGCAAATGCGTCGGGACTATCAACCAGGGGACGCGAGGACGGTCAGCCAACCAGGTGGTTTTGCCAGGCTTGTCAGGGACCCGAGTGGGAGGAGATCATGGAGCATGCTGCCAATGAGGGGAGGCGATACAAGACAGACCCGTTGAATATCACGGTCTGATGTGCCATGCTGTCAGGTTTTGTGGTGTAGGCCTATGTGCTCGGATACTGCAGTGTTGTATGCACAGGGGGACGGTGAGGGTGTCACTGGCGCGACGATCGCCCAACCAGTCAAACCAGCCCTTTGTCAGTAGTGGACAATACAGCCGAACAGTCAATCAGTGCGTGTGTGTGGTGTGTGGTGCGTGCTTGTCTGACTGCGGGTATCGACCGCTCACTTCTGCAGCTTGGAACATGGGACATGTGCTCCTCATGCAGGGCCACCGTGTGCGTAAATGGAGTACTGTGGTACGCAGCGCCTGCAACAGTACTATGTAGTATGTACTTTTGGGTCGGGTCCATAATGTAAATCCCCGTACCCTTTGCCTCCGAGCTCCCAGACACCTACCGTTCTTGTCTGAGGGCTCGGGTTATTTGCGGTTGGGAGCGGTTTGTATCGTCAGTCGTATACACAGTACACACGTACGATGAGCTGGCGCGTCATGAGCTGGTATTCCCACGACGACGGGTCTTCTCGTGTCGTGTCGAGCCGTGTCGTGTCGTGAAGCCCGCAGGTAAATGACGATGTGCAGCAGGGCCAAAGGACCCGACGGTGGACGAATGTGTCTGTCTGTGTGTCAATGTGTCTGTGCCATCTTCATGGGTGAGGGAATGGCAGGATGTGGATGGATGCTGTCGGAGGCTGCAGCACGTAAAAAACGGGCACGCAGGCCGCCCAAATTGAGATCGTCTCCCGAGTCGAGAGAAATTGAGGTTCGAGGGCAGATGGCGAGCAGGAGACGCCAGCACAAGATTGGAGCTAGCCGTATCTGGTTACCTCCCCCCTCTGTCGCGGAGGCAAAATGCAGAGGGGCAGAATCAGACTGACTGAGAGAGGGCGAGAGAGAGAGAGAGAAAGAAAAAATCACTGTCATGTACTCCGTACCCAGTACCCCGTCCACACTCGACTACTGCGGGCCCGGTACGTATTCCGTACAAGAATCAGGGTCCGCCCCTACCTTCCCTTTCTGAGACTGCTGCCCTGCAGAAACAGGAAAGGTCACCTGAGAGGAATGACACGCCTTCCCTGTCGTATCGTGGGTTGAGCCAGGCAGGCAGGTTTGGCTGGCAGGTTTGGCTGGGCAAGGGTCAGGGGCCAAGCTGCCAGGGTCAGGGCGGCGCCAGGCAAGAAGGAGGGGACGAGCCAGCAAGCTGGGTTCTGCTGGGCTGGCAGGCTGGCAGGGTGCCGTGCTGTACGGAGTACCGTGGTAGGTGTCTATCTATGTCCATCTGTATCCATGCAGGGCAGGCGTCTGCGAACCTGAAACACCCTGCCTGACCATGTCAAGATGCGTGTGCCTCCCGCATTTTATCGTCATCACCGCCGCCGGCCTCACCCTCAGCACGCAGAAGCAGCCGCCACGGGACCACGGCAACCTAATCGCCAACTATGTTGCCGTAACGGACTGACTCCCGGCTGTTGACTTTCGGTCCAGCAATTTCGTCCGAAACCGCCAACAGCCCAACAGCCCAACAGCCCGGCCGGCTTGGGTGTGTGCATGGAGCACGAGGGAGCTCGCTCTGCCTCCTTATTAGCCTGCCTGCCTGTTTCGCCGCGGCGCAAATATTGCGTGTCATCGTGACTACTCCCCAGAAAAAAAATCGGGAGCAACCCACAGCAGAAGCAACGGGGCATGCTGCTCGCCAATAGCTCAAGAGTCACCGGGGCTGCCAGTCTGCCAGTCTGCCAGGAGGGAAGTGTGCTCTGGAAATAGGCGCTGCCTTCCTCTTTGATCGGCAACGGCACTGGGTCTGCCGGCCACTCCAAAACAGCATAATCGATGCTGTTCTGCTCGCTTGTCGACATTTCCCCACCGTTGATCCCAAAAGAAAAAGAAAAGCAAAGAGGCAGAAGGCAGGCAGGCAGGGCACGGTGGCAGGCCACAGGATTTTCGATTCGCATCCCCATCTTGCCATGGACGAGGCACAACACCATCCGCAGGCCTGTGCCTCGCATGTCTGCATGTCAACATGTCTATCTTGTGCTCTGCCTTGGCTCCTGATGCCCCTCTCGACGGACCCGGGCTGGGGACTCCCTGCCAGCTCGTGCCTCGAGGCCGGCTGCGAGGCGTGTTTAGTTGCCGAGGTGCCCAGTTGGTGCTCAGCAGACGCCGGCGATCAGCTGTACGGCCCGTTTAAGAACCGCACGAAATCTTGTCCAGCCAGCCAGCAGCCAGCCCAGCCCAGCCCAGCCTGCTTCTGAACGAACCCACCGCTTCTGGCGGTGACCAGCCGAGCACAGGAAGGAGAAGCGATCGGCTGGCAATCCTTCTCGCAGCGTCGCGCACGGTAGTGGTGCAAATAGGGAGCTGCGTGCCTCCCTGCGCCCCCCGTCATGATGTGACGTCTTTTTTCCGTGGGAAACGGCACTGGCCACTGGCATTGGACCGCCGCCTCTCTCTTTTTGGGGGGTGGTGACAAGGGGGGGAGTACCGTACTGCGTTGAGCAAACCGCGTACCGAGATACATTCAAGACCCTCTGTTGGGGGCCCTGGGGGGTCTGATGCCTGGCCCAATCAAGCTTCGAGGGAACAGGAAAAATAGGGTCGGGTCTTGGGGTGACCTGACTTGAGCCGCACTGTGCCCCTCAACGGTGAAGGCTTGAAGCAGCCCTGCCCGCCGCCCTGCTCACTGCGTGGCAGAGCTCCTTCAGCCTCCATGGGGACAGTGTGTGGGGGCACCGTGCAGCGTCAGAGAGGCCCAGGGTCCGACCCAGGGCCCAGCACCCGGGCACAGCACTGTGGTATCTGACCCTGCTCGGGTACATCAGCCACCGAGTACTTTGTCTCTCTGTCGCGCTCTCTCTCTCTGCCTCTCTGCGCATCCTCCACCTCCCCTCCCCAAACTTGCTGGGTTCAAGCACTCAACTCACCACTCACCTCACCCTGTATCCTGCTCTGCCAGTCTGACGCCTACCCAGCAGCAAAACGTCGTTGATTTTAGGTTGCCAGACGACGTCCTGCTCTAGGTTCTCCTCCTCTGGCTTACACGGTGGTCTGTCTGGTTGCCCTCCTCCTCCTGCCCTACTGCCCTGAATAATCTGAGCCTCTTCTCTTCCGAGCCGTGCTTGGGTGTTTGCGACTTGCCAAAGTAGACGCCCACCACCAGGCCAGCACTTGTGTCGCCCGTTACGGCGCAAGTGCAGTGCAGCAAAGCGCAGGGCCGCCGTGCATCCTGTCCCGTCCACGATCCATACGCCCACTTCTACTCTCCCTCCCACCCCACTCGGCGGCTCCTCTTTTTCTTCCAGCGAAGATTCCTTCCCTTCGCCTGCCGTCCTGCCGTCGTGGCCCTGACCAACTTTTCCCGATTCTTTTCTTCTCGCTTCAGCCCTCCAAGCCCAACCTCCGCCGGCCGCCCACCTGTCTCCTCGCGGTACCTTTTTTCCCTTCCCCTAGCCACAGCCACGGATCCCTCCCTCTTTTCTCGGCCAACGGTGGCAAAACATCCATCCAACATCTTGCAACAGTGACGGCCGTTTAAGAATTTCCGCATAACACCATACCTTGGCCACCCGATACAAGGCTGCAGAGAGGCACATGTTCCAATTCGCCGCTCAACACGATTACTAGCCCGACCAATGGTCTCCACTCCACCACCCAGTCTTTGCCAGACACCCGAGGCCACGACTCACGACACGACACAAACTGACCCCCATCCCTCTCCCCCGACCCTCGAGTCTCTGCCGCAACCACGGGCACCCGACAACACCACCACCACCACCACCACCACCACCGCTGGCACTACAACCCACGTCGATAGTCTGGATCTCGACGACAACGACGACGACAACATCACTATCAACGCCGAGGCAGCCAACGCACAGCAGCCCGACCCTGTCTTCCTACCGTCCGCGATGGAGGAAGACCACTCACCGCAAGAACAAATCTATGGCCATCAGATGCCCGAGATGGCCCGCTCAGACTCCTCTTCGGCCTCGTCCATCGACCAGTCCAACAGCCCCCAGATCGTCGCCCCCGTCCCAGTACGACCACGCCTCCCAAGCCGGAAAAGCAGCGGTACTATCATTGTCCCTCGAGAATCAGCGGAAGCAGTTGAACCAACCGATGTCATGATAGAGCCCGGCGATGTGCGCGCAATGAGTCCGCGGAGGACCAGCGAAGACCTCGAGGCACTGGGACGTGAGGCCCGGGATGAACTCCGAAGGTGAGCAACTACCGCCCTGTCCGGCCGGCTCCCGGCCGCACCTCACCACCCCCCCCCCCCTTTACACGTCATTTTCCACAATCTGGGTCATAGTCTGCTGACGCGCTAGCCATCGTCTTTAGGCACGCCAAGGCGCTCCAGGAATCACTACTCATGATATTCAACCGCATCGAGGCCGTCAAGGAGGAACACGACAAGCTGGACAGCAACAACAAGTTCCTGCAAAAATATATTGGCGATCTCATGAGCACGAGCAAAATCACAGCAACGTCGTCGAGCAGAGCCAAAAAGTGAACGCGCCCATCTATCAGCTCTTCGAGGCTGGCGCGGGCGGAGCAGCTTCAACAGTGTGGCACCGAGACGCCGATGGCAGCCGTCCATGGGGAGGAAAAATTAATAGGGGCAAGCGTGACTGTGGGGCGGCATACTGGTGGGCCTTGCCAGCAGGCAGCCGATCTTGCTCGCCTACGTCATGCAAAAGAGACGAAAGGATTGTTGCTGAGGGCCGGTTGGCGGCATGCCATAGGCGATAACGTTACACGACACCCTCGTGGCACCGGAGATCTCGACAGCCGCAGCCGAGTCGCGGATGGGATTGGACGTTCCGTCGAGGCATGATCGCCGGCCGGTCAGCATGGCGTTATTGAAGGCAAGATGGGCAGGAGGTGGCCCTCCCTCTCGGGCTGTGACGGCGGAGCGCAGACTACCACTACTACCGACAACTGTCATACTACTTTTTCTTCTTTCGATCATCCACAACACTCACAAACCAGACAGACAGACAGAGACTTTCACACGGAAAATACCCACGACATGGGGAGCTTTTAGGTCAGAGGGGAGGAGGGGGCATGGCACCGCCCGTTTCTTTTTAGTTTTGGTCCATCAGCCGGGGGTCGACACACATCACACATACCCGTTTTCACTGGTGGTGGCGGCGCACCGATGAAAATTCCTCTTATCATACCACATCAATACCAAGGATCTTCGTCCGCTGTTGTACATCCCCTCCCTGAGCAACAACTGACCTCAGGACACCAACAACCTCGTCAACGGACATTTGCACTTTTCTGCATACAGCCAGCCATGGGGGGCTTTTCACGGGCATTCAAGAGACTGGGGACTGGGTAGCGTCATGTCCACTTACACACACACAGACACACACACAGGCGTCGGCGTTTTGTCATGCATACATATGTTTGCTTTTTCTATTCTGTCTCCCCCTCCCCCCCTCATACGGGTCTTATTCTCTGAGTGACGGCATATTGTACATTTACATCGTTTCTCTTTGTTTTTATGACGACTCATCAGGAGCACGGTGTTTATTTTGAGTGGAGATTAGCTCCACAGGGGAGTCTTGATACCGGCGTCCTCGCAAAAAGAGGAGGCATCATATTTGTCGTTAAATTGACGATAGGGTTTGCATATATCTAGTCGCTTGCCCCCTGAACAGTCGGTGGGGGATGTTGATGGGGGAGCTCGCACACCGACACCCTCGTAGCAGAGTCCACAAAAGGAAATTCCAGCTGCAATACAACTCTCCCGTCCCAAGTTGTAGGCGTAGCAACTACACAATATCATGTCATGTCATGTCATGTCCTCCCTCCCCCTTGCGGCCTGCAGCTCCCGCCCAGGCGGAAGCCACCCTGCAGGGGCGAGGCAGCTTTTCTTGGTGAGGTGAGCACACCGGATAAATGAAGAGACACACTGCTGCTGCTGCTGCTATGTGGTGAGACCGACCGGAAACTGCCCTGCGGCGCAGGACAGCTGCTGATCTCTCTTCTCCGGACGCCGCTGACGTCACCCCGCGTTCCGGCGCTTTTTCTCTGTCACAGCGGTGGGAGGAATCTGGGGTTGGTGCCGGGGGCAGGACCTAATTTTTTTTCTGCTTGGCTGATGGGTCATGTTTGAGTGCATGTACATGTCTACATAGACTACTTACTGTACATAGTGTCGTATGAACTTGCCTGTCGCGGTTTAGCGGTAGGGCAGAGGCAGACGGCGGCAGCTCGACAGGGTCTCGTTCGTCTCTTTTTTTTCCCCTCTCTTCTGGTCGCCCGAAACATGCTGCCCGCCTCTCCTGCCGCCTCTCCGCGCCTGGGTGAATCCATGTCCCGCGGAGGTTGATCTCCTTTTCCCGCATGGTATGTGGCCAGAGCTCGTGGGCAGTAAGTACACTAGACCTAGGCTCGAAAGGGCGCCTGTCTAAAAGTGGCCAGACAGCCAACACCAATCCGGCGAGGGGACGGGGCAAACGCATGACGGCTGACTCCCTCACGTGGCGCGCTCGCATAAGACGCGACGAGCACCAAAGGGGATGGATTCCTCACGTTTGCCACGCAAACATGCCACCGACCACTTCTTTGGAAGGAAGGGAGTCACGCGGGTCCCGTCTCGTCGGTTGTCGGTGTCTCGTTCATTCTCGGCCTCCCTTGATTGTGCCTCTTGTACCTGGTGCCTGTCTGTACCTCTGCTCAACGGGCCAGCAAGGTAAGAATGGCTGGCTGATGTTCGCCCCGACTGCCCGAGCGAGCTGCTCCACCGCCCCCGTGACGGAACCTCTCCTTGAGGGCCGTAGCAAGGCCGAACCGGCGGGCGCGCGGAGAGTCCCAGGAGGGTCAAGGATAGGCGGGCGGGCAAGCTGTCGGGCTGGGCAGGAAACCAGGTGGGACCCAGGGAGAGGGGGAGAGTCGTGGCGTCGTAGTGTGTCGTGTTGTGTCGTGTTGCAGAAAGTAGGTTGTGAGGCTCCGGGCCGATCCATCACGACGTCATTGTCACTATAAACATCCAAGCGGGATGTACTCCGTACACTAGGCACTCGGGGGCAAGGTTACAGGGTCCAGCAGCAGCGGCAGGGAAGAGTTGAGCTGATGGAGAGGCAGGCAGGGCAGGGCAGGCAGGTAGGCAGACGGACGTCTTGCGGGTTCGGGTCCAGTTACTTAGTTCGCTGCGCCCCCTATGGGGACCATGTACAGGCGGGCGAAGCATGTACATTACAGGGCTGTACACTAACTACGGATATACATTACAGTGGAAGAGGGTCACCCTGTTTTCCTGGCCGGGATCAGGGTTGCTCGCAAGCGTCCACCTCTGCCTGTCAGCCTGTCAGCGACCCTCGTCTGCCGTGCCTGCTTTCCTCTTCCTGGATTAGCTCTGGGGTGGGAACAACCACCTCTGCCACTCCAATGTACATTTGCGCACTACTGCACGCCCAAACCTGTGCCCCCCAAGGGGTCCTGTGGGGTTCAGAGAGGCGTGGGAGGGAACGAGGCCCAGCGCGGCGTGGGGTGATAAGACGTAGTCTACCATGACTTATGGCTTTTTTTTTTTACCGTCATGTGGCAGACCGAGGGGTGTCACGGTAAGGACCTAATGAGGACCCTGAATAAAAATCGTGCTTTAAATTTTGTTGGTCCCCTTTCCGCCCTCATTCCTCTCTCCTGATGATGATGATGATGGCCGAGGAACCGTTCAGGCAGAAAGTCCGGATGGACAAAGGGGGGCCATATTTTTTTGGTCCCTGCATGAGACGTCATTACGCGAAAGTTTGTCTTATAACCGGTATTCCCAGCTGAATTCCTTGTTGCTATCCGTTTCTGTAGCTAAGTATTCCGGTCTGGGCTGATTGTATCGTAATGGCAGAGACATGTGATGCTACAATTGGCCGTGTCTCTCGAGGAATATCCGCCTTTCAGAGCCCCAAGTCTCGCCACATTGGACAAGAGAAATCCCCTTTACCCCCGGGACCAGAGCCTATTTGCTCCTTTTCCTCAGCTGTCTGCACGGCACGGCACGCATGTCTGTCTGTCTATCCCTATGCTGTAGCTTTCTACCTGCAGCACCCAAGTCCCACCCGCTGCTACTGTATGTAGAGCCACAGCACAGCTCGCACAGGTACAGACAGTCACGTTGTTCCCTCATGTTACACGAGCCGCGGGCCGTGTGTGCTTCTCCCCTGCTTGCCTTGCCAACTGTCTTGCCCGCTTGCTTACCCGTCGGGTCGACCGGCACATGATGCTTTTTCTCGAGTGACCAGCGAGTGGCAAGTTGCCCCCGCCCGCCAGGCCCCCGCCGTCACACTCCGACTGTGATCCGATAACCCTATGTACACTATGTACGTTTCCCTTTCGTGCGCCCGAGGCCACAGATGTCACTTGTCAGCTGCGTTCGCGGGCTGGCGGTCCAAGGAACCCCTCTATCTCCGTCCAGCCGCGGGCGCGGAGCCGGGGAGAGCAGCTTTGCCCTTGCGCTGTGCGTGTGTCGCGTGGGAGCGGTCTGGTCGTGCTACTTACTGACGATCTCCTCACCGGCTGTTGCCCGGCGGCGCGGGCGGTGTGACTTCTCGGACTGTCTGTCTGTCACTGGTAAACTGTCTACTGGAGGTTCCGGTGTAGCCTCGCCCGGGGGAGCATCCTGGGCTGCCAGGCTGCCTGGACACTCACGTGGCACTCATCACCTGTCCCAGATTGCATCGATTAGCTGTCGCGGTGAGCCTGTCCGCCAGAGATGCTTGATCTGCACGCCATCAATCTATTCGCACTGGCGGTCGTCTACTATCTCCTGTCTTGACCAAGCCTGCACCTGTGCACCCATGCTGTTTGTTGTCGAGTTACAACGTATTTGACTACAGCTACACCATCGCCTGTTGAAATCCGCACGAGCCGTATGTATCAGTGAGAAGTCTCGTCTTAAATACGGAATCATGTCATTTTGATCCTTGACGGCAGGGCGGCGTGAGGCATCGCTTATTATCATACTGTACCGATGACGTTGGTCGTCTTACCCGAGTACGCTTACCGTCATGATCTCCCGAGGTCACCAACTTCTGCATACCAAGCCGACATATATGAGGTTCCCGCCTGCAGCTGCAGGAACTGTATGCGGTCATGAAGTGCCACAGTATGTCCACTATAGACAGACAGCATGAAAAAAAGCAAGTAGAGGAGGCTGCGAGGCAACATCCCTGTTCCCCGGCCGATGACACACGTGGTTAGGCATGAATGGGCTTGCGCCGCATGGTCTTTGTGTGATCTGGTCCCTTGGTTCCGGATCAGACACGCAGCTATATCGTCCCTGGATTTGAAGTATTTCGACATGATGCATATTTCAGGAGACGGGTGGGGCCAATCGTCTGGACAGACGGGAGCTATTGCCTGGGGGTAACTTGGCGGCCTCGGAAGCTTCGAAAGTGGCCTGGGTCAAGCTCATGTCCTTATGAGGATTTGGATTCGATGTGAGTATACTGTATTCTTGGTTCGGATGTTGTTTTCTCGCATCCGCCTCAGAGCTAGCGATCTTGTTAGATGGTTGCTTATTTCCGTCTTGATGGAGGTGCACACAGTACTGAAGAGGCCGTACATCGTTGCACATGTGTGCTTTGCGATCATGTACACACCGTCTTGAAAGTTGAAGGCTGGGTAGTTCCCGAGGTCATCAGCCTGGAGCCACGAGTCGAACATTTGAACCCCTTGCCTTCTCCTATCGAGGGGTGACCGCCACCCTTTGCTTTTGACGAAAGCACCCCGGGCATATAACTTAAGTGACAACAGCGGGTCTCAAATGAAGTCATAGTCCGAACTGAAATGTACCTAGGTAGCTCTTGATGAGCAGCCGCGAGCATTAGCTACGCTCACTTGTCCTGGAGTGAATCAATTGATTTATTTGGACCTGGTTGTCAAAATCTTTGTCAAGGCCACTGAGTGAGATTTTTCCATTAGAGAAATCGGCGTGATCTGTTCTCGGGATCATTTGGCGAAACCCGAAGCGATGTGTTTTATTGCTGCTGGAGAAATACCTCGTTCTAGGCACCAGGCGTTTCATCAGTCGATGTCTGTTTTCAATGTCGGTGGTAAGGTCTGTGTTAGCTTGATGACCGCAACGGCCATGGATCCATGCGTCGCCGACAATGCGATCACTTGTGGGAACTATGCTTGGCTGGTTGGTTTCCACATGTCTGTCATTCCGGGCGTGTAGTGTATGGCCTTTTCAAGGAGACCTCGGGATCTCTTTTCCAGGTTGATAGTGAATGAGGGAGTAACCTAGGTAACCTTGGAACACACTGGCACTGCCTGCTCAAGTGAGCTCCCGGGTGTTCGTGTCAAGACTGCAGGTCTTCCAAACGATCACAAACTGTAAAGGGCAAGGTGAACCCTATTCGAAATGCCGTGCAAAGATGACATTTTACTTTAGTTTGAGGAATACCACCTGCGGATTTAGGAAGACGACTGCCCAGGTGATGAACGAGGGTTATCTCGGCACAGGCCTCTTTTGCCCAATATCGGAAATAAGGTTTCGTCCGAACTGTGAGATAACAATGCCCAGCCTCTCGTCTGACGGCCAACAGGACGACCAGGACGAGGTGGGACGATCGGATTTAGGAAAAGCCCCACTTTGGTCGGAAAACACGACAACCTCCCCGTCACCACGCCGTTGTCACTACCAATGTATCGCTAAAGCCGTCGGTCGACAGAGGCAAACATAGATCCGATTCCCAATGCAGAACTGCTCCCAGGGATCCCGCGACGACTTCTCAATCCGGCTCGCCACTCCACCGCAACGCGCCTTGACTGCCTAGGCATTCGGAATTAGCAGCCTTATTCCAAGGTTGCCTTAGGGTTTGCTCCGCCAGTTCCCACGTCGTCGGGATAACGGCAGGCCCCCGGACAGGGCCAAGACCAAGGCGGACCGGAGTCGTCACTCCTGAGGGCACTTGAGTCGTCACAGTGTGACTGGCTCTCGCCGCAGCGGCGCCCGAGGTCTAGCGAGGCCCCGCAGCCGACCAGGACGCTGCTGCCGCCGCAGCAGCCCGCCCGGGGCATGGAGAAGAACCCAAAGGCGTGCGAGCCCTGCCGCCGGAGGAAGGTCCGGTGCAACGGCCAGACGCCCTGCAACAGGTGTGACCGGAAGCCCGCCGACTGCGTGTACCGGCTGCGCACGCGGATCCGGAAGAGTGCCGCGCAGAGGGCTGCTGCTGCTGCAGAGGCGGCTGCTGCTGCTGCGGCGGCGGCGGCGGATGCTACCTCGCCGAAGAACGTGGTCAAGGCTCCTCCTCCTCCGACACCCGGCTCCGACGGGCGCTCGGTTGTCGTTGCTACTGGTGCGAACGGCAGCGAGCAGCCGACGCCGCTCCCGGTCTCGGCGGGCCATGAGTCGCCGTCTGGTTTCCGCAGGGACGTGCCTGAGGCCGGTGAGGGCCCAAAGTCGGACTCGGCCATCTATCAGAGCATCGCTGCCGTGCCTCAGAGGAGCGATGTCGAACCGGTCCAAGGGGGTACTGCCCGGCTTTTCTACGGGCCGGCTTGTGAGTTCCGCCTCTCTTTCCCAGCACTTGTTTTGCAGCATGGATGTCCTCAGCAGAGTCGAGTTTCAAGCACACGTTGTCTTTCTTTCTCTTCATGCTACTCGAGTCCCATGTGACACCGTGTGAAACATGATGCGGTAGCAACTGACACGTAGGCGCCATGTAGCTCAATTTGCATTTTTACAACAAGTACACCGGGGCATCCTGTCGTCAACAGGTCCGCATGGCCAACAAGACCGTGAAGTCCAGGAAGGCGGCGCCGGTCTAGATCTCTTCCTTCAGCGCAGCTTCTTCTTTGGCACAGCACAGAGATTCGATGCCACGCGGTTTCACCGACCTGCGAGTAGTCTGTTCAGCGAATTAACCTTGGCCCAGGCAAGAGTGTTCCTGGAGAGGTTCAAGGCATGGTATGCTCGCATTTTCTTTTCTTCTTCTGAGGTGATTCAGAGCTCTATCCTTGGTGCCTATGTTTGTTTTGCATCATTTTCCCGGGAATTTTACCCGATAATCGGTCATGTCCTGGCCGGCCGTCACGATATGGATGTAAGGTGGTGTGGACCACCCTGGTAGCGGTATCAGCAGCACGAAGCGTCCGAACAGCGACATCGAGCGAATGGCTGTGCTTGAAACACAATCATGCTTGATAAAGATGCTGTTGTTTTCTCAGATGAGCCATCTACCTTTGACGAGTGCGCCATCCGATTTTCAAGTCTCGTCTTCAATGTGCCAGGACCCGAGCACCATCCCACTGACAAGCGAACAGGCATGCATACATACTCCCATTCTTTACCAATGCAGAACTGGACAAGATGCTTCACCATCTATACAACAGTGATGAGACCCAGCCATCTCAGACTAAAGCCCTCATAGTCGCAGTATTGGCTCTCGGGGCCCTCGCCACGCCTCACACCAACGTCGCAGAGGAGTTGATGGCTAGGGCCAAGTACGAAGCGGTCCTATTCGATGACACCGTCAGCCTGCCAATGATCCAGTTCTCGCTGCTGATGGCAGAGTACCAGACCAGCATGGGCAGGCCAAACCTGACGTACCTCATGCTCGGCACCGCATCCAGGAAGGCCTTTGCGCTGGGTCTGCACCGCGAGGCAGCCAACTCTCTGACACGGTCCGAGGACGCGGAGAAGTGCCGCACGACGCTATGGTGTCTGTACTTCATGGAGAGCTGGTACAGCATGATGGTCGGGCGGGAGAGCATGATGAAGATGTCGGACATCTCGTCGCCGTTCCCCGAGAACCAGCCCTTCATCGTGACCCTGAGCCGCCTGGCATACATTGGCGAGCAGTGCTCCAAGACGATATACAACACACACCGCTACGACTCGCTGCGGAAGCTCTTCGTCGCGGCAGAGGACATCCACGCCCAGCTGCGGGACTTTGCGAACAAGCACGGCATCGGGTCCGCGGGCCTGGACACCAGCGGGCTGCCCCCGGGCGGCGAGCACCCGCTCAAGCTGCTGCTGCACAACCTGTACTACCACACCATCCTGCTGACGTTCAGGCCGTTCCTGGTGGCGGACTACGCGCTGGCGTCGAGCCCGTCGCAGGACGCGGCGAGCGCCATGTGGCTGCGGCAGGCGTGCCGGCAGGCGACCAACACGGCGCAGGACTGCATCATGTACTGCTACTCGCAGCTGCAGAAGGACGAGGTGGCGCGGACGTCGCGGTACCACGGCTTCTTCCTCGAGTCGAGCTGCGCCGTGCTCTTCTTCGACATCCTGCGCCACCCGAGCAAGTACGCCTACAACATCGAGTTCATCCAGATGGCCATCGCCAGCGTCAACCTCATGATCGACGACGAGCCCGTCACCAACGCCCGCAACTCCCTCAGGAAGATCCTGCGCGTCGTCGAGGAGACCATCTCCAAGCAGAAGATCGCCGGCACCACCACGGCCACGACGAGCGGGCTCCCGGCCTTCACCGACCCCTTGCTCCAGACGGCGCCCAACCCCTCGTCCCTCGCGCCCTTCATGAACGGCGGCCAGGACCACGCGCAACATCATCGCCATCACTCCCACCAACGCCAACTGCAGCAGCACCAGCAGCACCAACACCACCAACACCACCAACAACACCAGCACCAGCAGCACCAACAATACGGCACGATCCAGTTCCCCTCCCTGCACGCCCCACCCTCGTCCGCAAACCAGCTCATCTACTTCAGCGACCTGCCCGGATCCCTGGGCGGCGGCGGCGGCAACAACAACAGCACCGACACGTCGATGGGAAACACGCCGCTCGGGATGACGGGGGGCACGGGAGGCCTGGGCGGAGGAGGAGGGGGAGACGCAGACGCGTTCGGCGGGGCCGGCGGCGAGGGGCTGGACCCCCTGACGCACTTCCACTACGACGTGCTGACGACGGACCTGTTCAGCTTCTTCCCGCTCAACATGACGCCGCCGTCGGCCAACGGGAGCACTGCTGATGCCGCCGCCGCGGGGATGGGGGAGTGTCCTCTCGGGAACGGGAGCCCGGGGACGTGATTGCTGCGGGCGGCTGACACTTGGGGTGTGGTCTGTCGTGGGCAGATTTTGAGGGAAGAAAAGTTCTATTGGGTTCTCGTGAAGTGGTGACGGACGGCCTTTGAATTCGCACAGCCTCATTGCTGTTCATCTCGACAGGTCAACGTAGTTCCGATGTCACGTTCACCAGCTGTGCTCATGTCGTTGAGGTTGGCGATGTTTATCTCAAGCACTTGAAATTCCTGCTTTATATTCCTGCTTTGTGGCCTAGTCGAGTTCTTCTTGTAGGATAGTTGTTGAACCCAAGAACATATAATAAGGCGAGCAGATGCGCAGATGCGGTCTCGAATAGGGCATGGGCGCGGCTGATGCGCCTGCTCTCACGTATTGATATGAAAGCCAGACGAAATGCACTGTCCTTCCTGAGTGCCATACACAACGTGTCCGATTCACTCGGCCCCCTACAACACCAGCTTCCCCACCGAGGCTGTTCTGTCCTGCCAGATGATCGAAGGAGTTGACCTTGCTGGCCACCGGCAGCTCTGGAGGAGGCGCAACGACGAGACCCCACGAAAGATGAGCTGTCAGGACACGGCAAGCAGCGAGCTTCACCCATCGTCGCCGTCGCCCCGGCCCCTTTCGGGACCCCCCCCCCCCCCGACCATCCCGTGATCATCGCAGACATGACCGATGCTCGCGCGCCCACCACCTCCGTCCCGAACCGCCCATTCCCGCCCGCGACTCGGCTAGGCCGATACCTACCTACCAACACGGCGGGAAGACGTCGATGGTGATCGTGGCCCCGCCGTGAGCCCCCCACAAGATCCTCGGACACATTTGGGCGAGCACGACGGGGCGAACATCAACCAACGCACTGCATCCAAAGCGGCCAATCCGTGAAGCATTTTGGTGCCCACATTGTGACCAACTTTAGCGCCTCGGGTGCAGCGTGCGTTGCATGCAACAAACCAACAGGTACTTAAGTAGCATCGGCCCGTTTAGTACGCCAGCCACAGGCCACAGCTGAGCAAATGATCACACCGTTGATATGGTTGTTGGTTGACAGTCCTGCATTGAACGCCCGCCCGAGTGGGATCTGCCCCGTTACCGGGCCCGTGCCGAGACTCCGCCTCCAAGCAGTCATTCATAAATACCCAGGTCTGCCCTTTTGTCATTTTGGCCAAGTACTGTGCAGAATCAACACAACACCAACCTCAGTTGATCTTTCAAAATTACTCTCCGCTTTTGATACCCCTCACTTTATACCAGGAACCCCGGACACTATGACTTATTCCGTCCTCATCTTCGCTTACCGCAAGCCCGGCACAACCCCAGAGCAGTTCCGAGCACACTACGAGGGCAAACATGTACCTTTAGTCAAGGAGATCAGCGGAGAGTAAGTCCCAGGTCATCATCTCCACTTCAAAGACCATCATTCTGGCCGTCATCGGCAGCTAGTATGAGATGTAGTGCTCCATTGATGCAGAGCTGGGGGTTAATCATGGCTTGCCCGCTAATAACTTGGTGTTCCTAGGCACTTTCCACTGAGCCATACCCGGCGGTACATTCATCGCACGGCAGGCAAGGCGGCGGACACGGAGGCCAACGCGGACTTCCCAGCGACCGTTCTCATCGGCTCCCAGAGGGACTTTGATTACGATGCTTTCGCCGAGCTGAGCTTTGTCGACGCCGGCGCGTTCCAGACTTTCTTTGGCATCACTCAGCAGCCAGAGAATGCTGCACGGATCGCGGCGGACGAGGAGCAGTTCCTTGATCGTTCACGAAGTAAGTCATACTGGGTTGAAGAGGCATCAGAAGAACAATGGACGTTGTTCGGATCCCGGATATTCCCAGGACCTGCTAACCGGGATGCAAGTGACCGTTGTTGTTCTTGGAGAAACCATTTCGACTACGAAGTAGGTGGACAAGGTGGGCGGGTGGATTGCGTACAACATGCAAGGCTCTTTCATCATAGACAACAAGTGTAGGGAGATGAAATATGAGAGAACCAGTTTAGTCCGAGTCCTTTTTGGTAATCAGCTGCACATGTGCTGCAGGCGCATCATCGGGCAAGTGTAGGCCTTGTGCGGTTCAGAAAGTCGTTTGAGAATACAGCGATGTTCGTGTAGCTCTAAGTCAATGGTCATCACTCCTCAAACGGAGCCTATGAATTTGAATTCTTGAAGGGCCTGACTGATTGCACTGTCGGTCACAGATATGCAAGGCCCTCATGACAACCTACATGAACTTGCTCTTCGATATCGCAGGAAGCTTCAACGGCCTTGCGTGGGAGCAGCCTTGACTCCTGTGCCCGCGATTCCCCCAAATGTAGAGTTGGAAGCGAATTGAGTAGATACTTCATCAGCCCAGCCTCTATTACCTATAAGAAGTTCCACCTCTTACTCCCTAAACCCAATAGGATCAGAAAGTCACACCCCCAGGATCTGTTCTTTAATATAACAATAGGGCACAATAGAGGAGTATATGCCACAAGGAGTACACTATAATATACACAACTAGTATAATATTTAACATATAGAACGAGGGGAGAGGGAGCTATGATAAGCAGGTTTAGAAGTTAAGATATAAGAACAAATAGTTGTATAAAGTACCAAAAAAAGCACTTAACCAGAAACTAGTAACACGGATCAATACGTTGGGGTTTACTTGCCTGTAGAGTTAGCCTATAGGCGACCAGCGTGGCCTGGTTTGAGGCTAGATGGTTGGCTAAGGGTGGTGGCCATAAGGTAATCGTTCGTGATCCCTATTAATATTCTCGTGGGCACCTCGGGGCGGGGTATTGACTCACCCATCACAAAGGTACATTGCATTCCTGGCGGCGGCGCCCAAGATGAGAGACTGTCTGCCTGCCATGTCAGGCGATACAGTACAGCGCAGGGAGGGAGCCCGGCGTCCTCGATGTGGCCCTTCCACAGGACGTCACATTCGCGCTGAGGCTGATGAGGACAGAGGAAGCAGGCGGCCGCCAGGCGGCCCATGCAGTGCAACCACCTGCACGGGCGTTGCTAATTCTGTTTCTGTGCGCGCTCCTTCAGCCTTCAGCAATCCGCCGGGGGGCCAGCTGGAAAGCAAAAAAAGGGATAAGCACGTGGCTTCAACAGTCAGTCTGTTAATTCATGTACATTTCTCTATCACGGACTGTCTGTGTGTGCATGGCGCGGCGTTTATAATGGGCCTCCACACCCGTATTGTCCCACGGACGTGGATGGAGTTGTGATATAGTGACAAGGGCGATGCTCCAGGCAGGGCCTAAAAAAGGAGAGGTAGTTGATGTGATCTTGAGGTACCTAGGTAGCAACCGCGGTGCATACGAGTGCTGTGTCCTGATAATGATGGCCTCCTACTCAATACCGGCGCCTCCAGCTGCGTGAAGCCAGCCGTGCAGCTACCAACATGCAAGTCGTCCGTCCAGTTCTCGGTGGCCCGGGCACGCTGTGGCTTCGTTGAACAAAGCCGCACCCGAAAACGGAAACAAAAAGCAAGCAGACCGGCAGTCCGACCGAGAGGGGGGAGCTCGGCTGGGTGTGGTGGGTGGGCGGGGATCGGCAAGCCAAGACCACATGGGCATTGTGAGCTGTCCACAGGGGATGAGAAGCGGCCCGCCAAAGGGGATTGAGGGGCCGGCCCTGGTTCTCGGAGAGGGTCCAGGGGGACCGACAGTGATGCCGGACTTCAGGAATTATCTACCTGTCTGTGCTCTCAACGGTGTACATGTACAAAGGTTACACGCAAATCAAAAAAAGAACAGAAGACAGTGCAAATTAAACAAGGTAGAACCTTGGTGTTTACGGGACCGTAGGCGCCGGCCGATGGAACAGCGACCGCTTCCACGCGCCCTTGCGAGTGCGAGATGCATGGCCGTCAAGCGCCTTTGATGGAGACCGATGTGTCTGGACTTTGTGCGGGTAGTGATCTGTAGGGATCAGTGAGCAGGGAGTCGCGCGGTTGCGTTAATTACGGATAATCTCCAGTTCTTTCCCAGTCTCGCCCAGCTCCAGTCCAGGCCAACAGACGAGTTACCAACAGGCTGACTGGCTGCTGCTCTCGGCCCCTGAGACGAAGCAGTCGTTCGAGACGCCCGCGGGCTGTGGAGTTTGTCATGCCGGCCAGCGCTTGTGGAACACGCTGCACGGTCAAGACGTAGTGATGTGTCTACGATTAAACTTGTAGGGATGGATGCTGGATCTTCCCGGTACCAATGTGCCATCCTGTGGGCATTGCCTCCAGGGCTGACAAGGCGACCCGGCGTGGGCGATGACAAGATCGACAGGGTGTTGTCAAGCGAGGAGGGAGAGTTCGCCCTGGGCAGCTACTCCATCGTCAGGGCAGCAAGTAGTCTGTCTTTTGAACTCGCGGCTGCCCTACTCGTCCGCACGTGTAGATGGTGTATTGCCGGACAGGCAGACAGGGCGCGTACCGCAGTACAGATACCACAGTTGGCTGCGTGCGTGGCTAGGGTGCCAAGCTGTTGGAAACGGAGGGGCGGAGATTATTCCAGGATTTTCATTTTCTGGCGGCGCACGGCGTGGCAGGGTGGCTGCATTGCATGGTGGGTGGGCTGCAGATGTCATCAATCATTTCTGCGGTGCTTGCGAATCGGCGATTGTGAGTGTTGGGTCGTGGAGATTTGTTTTCCTGATCCTGCAGAATGGCAATCTGGCCGGCAGCTACAACAGCTACACCACCAATCGGGCACCCCCGCAAGCGGCACACCGGCACGTCTCCTGTGAGCTGGGCCGAAGCTAGGGTGCTAGGCAGTCCTCGGGCCTGTTTTGGTGCGTTGTTTTGGGGGCCGACGTCAGGCCATTTCAGGCCAAGCGCCAAGTGCTCAGGTGCAGCATGTTTACAAGCCTCGGTCGGGGCTGGAGCTGCAGCTTCCTGCCTTGCTGTCTTGCATGATGAAGAAAGCACCGCGGCACGGGTTTTCCGAGCACTGACGACGATGGACTCGAGAGGAGAGCGGTGCTCGTGATGCACGACAGCTGCGTCCCTCGTGATACCTGCCACCAAGGTGGATGCTGGCATTGTTTGGGTCATGTATCGTATCTGTGCTCGGTGGCGTCCCGAGAGATCGAGACAGCCGAAACCCAATTCACGACAGGGCCAGAGTTAATTGTACCTTCCCCAGCAGGTCGGGACTGGCAGGCACAGCGAAGTCTCCGTCATTTGAGTTTCGGCCGTGACACGGTGCGCCTGTCTGGACGCTACAAAGGCTGGGGCAGCCGGTTTCCGGGGCCGTCACGACCCCCCTGTACCATGGCGTGGGTCTATCTCTTGGATCTCTACTCCGTACCGGTCTCGCAGGGAGCGGGCGGCATGTTAAACTTTGCATCTGGTCGGCGCTCGAGGAGGGTTGATGCTGCTTCGAAGAAAGAGACTGACCGTATATACGAGATGTGCAACAAGGACTGTTTGTTCCGAGATGGTGGGACAGGCTGGGCTGGCAGGCTGGGTATGAGTCCCTAGCGTTTCAAGGCTGTGATTGGGATGGTGTTCTGTGGTGGTGGTGATGGTAGCGTTACATTTTGGTGTTGCTCTGTGGTTGCTGCCGTCTCGTCTCGTCCCGTCTCATCTCAAATTTCCATCTGCTGTTTGTTAGTGCGCTCTCTTTTCTCCCCCCCATTCCAATGTGACGTCAACATTGCAGAAATAAAAACGGGGAACACATTACCATAGCTCCTGCATGGCAGGCATAGCAGGCATGGCAGATCTTGGTACCAACTGCACCACAGCTGAGCACAGCCTGGCCAAGTCGGAATGTCTGATCACTCGCCGCCCACTGGCTCGCACCTCTGGTTTCTGTGTCATGTTCGTGCATCTCCCTTTTTGTATGTGTGTGTGCTTCCAGGGCATCTTGCATTGTACGCCTCACCGCCAGCCTGCCTGCAGTCAGCTCTCGTACCGTACCGCCCGTCGTCCCTCCCCTGTCCGTCCTTGTTTGTAGTCGGCAAGTGCCCAAATATCTAGATGGCAGTTGCCGCCCCGGTCTCCATCTTTGACCACCTCATTCCGTCTTGTTGACGAGCGAAAAGAGGACAAAAGACGTGAAATCGGCAAGCCAGTCCACCGACACATTTACCCCCAGCCCCATAAAGTGGGCATTTTCTACGCTGCCAACGTCAGTCAAACCCACCCTGCCTTGGCTTTGTTCCAAATGTTGGACAGGTTGACGGGTTGATGGTTTGATTGACACACCAGCAGACCAGCAGAAGGATCACTGTTGGTGCAGGATTAACACACACACGTATGCACACTCGCACACAATCATCCAAGCAGTGCAAGCCGTCTAAGCCGTCTAAGCCGTCCAAGCCTCCAAGACCGCACCTCCCAAGTCCACTCCTTGCCGTCGATCCTCCCAGCCATCCTATCGTTGACTCCATCCTGCCAATTTCCACCCCACCGACCGAGCATCAACATCAACATCGTCGTCACCAGCCTTGCCGCCAACCAAGCTCACAGCCTGACAAGTCGACCACCAACCGAGACCAACCGAGACTACTTCAGTGCCTCGAGCTTCCGCCCTTTTTCCTGACCCCATCCTCACTTCCCCCATCCTCCCCCCCCCAGAGAACAGACAGAGACCAATACTGTTTAATTTCCCTCCCTCCTCTCCGTTTTTTTGGGGGCCCTCTTGTTGGATGCCCCATTTTCTCTGATCAATCTTGTTGTTCCCCACCACCCCTGCACTCTTGTGTGCCGTCCTCCTCCCCCTGCTCCATCTGGTCTGGCCTGGCCTGGCCCGTCACCCCGTCCTGCCCGTCCGTCACCGTTGCATCCTGGTCACCATTCAGTTCCCATCCTAGTGGGCCCGCTTGCGTCTTCTCGAAGCTCTTCATTGCGACTGCCGTCATCACCACCACTCAAAAGTCGAGGCATATCCCACCTCTCATCCGCCCACCTTCTTTCGAGCTCTCTGTCCCAGACGTGCCTGCCTGCCATTTTTCGACGTCGTGCCGTCTTCGAAGTCAAACCCATAACCCCAACCCACATCGTTGGTGCGGGTTCCTGCATTAGGCAACGCGTCTCAAGGTTAGGTTTGTGGACAAGGTCGCACCCACGCCAACGTCGCAGTAAAGACCATCGTCAGTATGGCCTCGCCAAGATCGAGGCTTATTTCGGGCGCGGTCGCCACCACCGGCCTTGTCGCCTCCGCTCTGGCTCAGTCGGCAGCATCCACACTCAGCTTCGAGGTCTCTGAATCGGCCCCCTCAGGCATCTCCCAGACTGTCGACCTTTCCTTTGGCGGCTTCGGCATCGAGCCCTCAAACCTCTTTGCCTACACTGGCCAGGATGAGCCAAACCGTCTGTCCATAACCCTGCTCGAGAACCTGGGAAACTACACAGGCAAGCCACCCCACATTCGACTCGGCGGCAACACCCAGGACTACATGATCTATGATAAGTCCCAAGATAAATGGGCCCAGATCACCAACCCAGATCAGAAGGGGGATGGCAACATCGCGTGGGACAACATGCTCATCGGCCCCCGCTTCTTCGAGGCTGCAAACAGGTTCCCTACGGGCACCCCCTTCACCTGGGGCCTGAACCTGGCCTACAATGAGGACGACTACATCGACAAGATCGTCGACATGGCCAGCCAGATCATCGAGCGATGTGACAACCTGGACATCGTCTCGTTCGAGATCGGCAACGAGCCAGACCTTTACAGCACCAACGGCTTCCGGAACGGCTCCTACGTATCTTCAGTCTACTCCGAGGAGTGGCACGAGCGTGCTGCCGCTGTCTATGAGCAGGTCCTCAAGCCTGCTGGCCTGCCCACCAACTTCTTCGAGGCCAGTGGCACATCCCACACCAGTGGTACCACCTTCGAGATCCAGGAGATGGACAAGTCCGGTGTCGACTCCAAATTCAACGGCGTCGAGTACCTATCCAGCTGGAACCAGCACTGCTACTCCTACTTCGTCAATGTGACCGAGGGCAAGGCCCTCACCATGGACCTCATCATGAGCTTCGACTACGTCGAGTCCCAGTTTGCCGACTGGGTCACCCAGATCGAGCAGGCCCACGAGACAGGTTTCCCCTACGCTCTGCGCGAGATGGGTATGGTTGGGCCTTTGGGCGTCGCCAACGTCAGCGACACCTTCGGCGGCGCGCTGTACACCCTCAATTTCCTCCTCTGGGCCGCCTCCATCAACATGACCAGCGTGCAATTCCACATGACCGCCAACAGCTTCACAACCGCATGGCAGCCTCGCGCCAACGCTGGCGGTGGGCCTCACGTCCGCCCCATCTACTACGGACATGCCGCCTTCAACGAGATCATCGGCCCCACCTGCGCCGCCCAGATCTACCAGGACACTCTCACCAACGTGCCCTCAGGCTACAGCGAGTACGTCAGGGCTTACTCTATCTACCAGGGCGGCTCGCTGCAGTCCATCGCCGTGCTGAACAGCAAGGTGTCCAACACGACCGAGGCCAACAAGGCCAATGTGACCGTGTCAGTGTCGCTGCCGACGTCACTGGCCGGCAAGACGGTGCACCTGGCGCGCCTGACGAACGAGGGGATGGACGCCAAGTTCAACACCACCTGGAACGGTGTCAGCTTTGAGCAGGATAGCGTGGGCACGCAGACGCAGGTCGACGACACAGAGGAGACGGCGACGGTCGGCGACGACGGCACCCTGTCTTTCAGCGTGCGCGACGCCCAGGCTGTCGTGGCCAACCTTGAGTCGCCCCTCGGCAAGGGCCTTGAGCCCGACGAGACTGCATGCGCCGCCCAAGCGTCCCGCAGCCCTGGCACCCACAGGAGCACCGCGGGTTCGTCCTCTGAATCGTCGTCCTCCGCATCGGCTACGAGTAAGCCTGACAGCAGCAAAATCTCCGGCGAAAATGACAGTTCCTCTAGTGACGGCGCTGACTCCTCTGCAGGATCACCGGCCCTGGCGACAATGTCGACCGGTGCCCTTGTGACATGTCTTGTACCCTTCGTTTCTCTAATCACGGGCTTCTTCCTTTTCTAAGGATCTTTTGTCCCACACCCCTTACAACTTTTATGATCTTTGGCTCAATGTCTTTTCCTACTTCTTTTCCATCACTCATCTCATCATCCCGCTCCTATGAGTGGGCTCATTTGTTGCGAAGGACAGGGGCAGAGCTCTTGGATGAAGCACAGCTTCAACAATCATGACGAAAGGCATGCGTTGGCGTACACGTGAGGGCAACAGCATTACGGCCATATTTTCTTGTTTTTCGTTTACTTTACACGCCCCGAGTTGAGGGAGGCATCCGATACACACGTACGCATTGCATTGGTTTGGAGTTACTCGCACCAATTGTTTCATTATTTCGGTTTTTCTCCGCGAGAAAGCATATGCGGCTGTTTGGATTTGGAAAGATGAAACGCGATGGCCTATCCCCTCACAACGACATTTGTTTTACTCAGGCTACCACCTGCTAGAAGTTGAGCATCTCAGGATGGAGGACAGGAGGAACGAGGATGGGTCGTGAGTGTGCGGATTTGTTGGTTAATCTGGAGAAGACCAAGGATCTTTTGTTGACAGACAGATCGCCGGCTGAGAGAGGCGGACGCAAGAACAGCCGCGGGATAGACGTTTTGCAGCATGAAGAACATACACGAGGCATAGAATACCCTAGGGTAGACTCGGGCTGACTCAATAATGTCGAGACTAATCGCCAACAAGGCTTCTACATCCATGGATACGAGAACTTCCCCACTCTTGGGCCTGACGTGATGTGACAATTATATGTTGGCACGCAAGTGGCCATGTGAGTTAATATCAAGGTGCACACGAGATAATTGCGATGGCAGCCAGCCAGCCAGCAGCCCTTGTCGCAATAGTTATCCATTGGAGCTGAATGGTCGCCCGCTGGCTTGCCCAGGTATCCTGGAGAAACCCAGCCTGGTTTATGTTTCATGGTACGGCCCGGCGCTAACTACAGTACATGGTCATCCTTTGTTTCGTATCGACTAATTGTTATTAGGCTTTCTTGGCCCTTTAGTTAGTGGTGATTCCCGGGGCTGAGGAAACCTTGAGCTTTAAGATCCCTGTCGGGATTGTGCGCTTTTTCCTTTCTCCCCGTCTATTGTTAGGAATCATGGATGGGATTTGATGTGCTACGAGTAACTCACGTGCATGCTGTGCATATGCGGAATCATGGGGCGTGAGCGCTGTTTACGGCTGTCGCTACCTAGGATCGTTAAGTAGTTCAGGATTGATGGCTATGCAAATGACTTCCGAAGCAATTTCGCCTTGGGCCTTTCTGCACCCTGGGGCAATGTCACCATACAACTTTGAAGTACCTAGTTACACTGTTAATGTGTGCTTATACTAAAAGACAAGATATAGAGAAAAAGGTGCAATGCTGCTCATATGTCTTTAATCCTCTTACTGAATTTGTATGAGAGGTTATCTGCCTCGGTAGGTAGTCATGAATGCGCCACAGACCCGTGTCTTGAATCCGCACGGCAAATTGATATCAGATATGCTAGTGAATGATTGCTGTCACCCGTGAAATCCATCATAGAATCAGTCACGCCTTCATGTGTAAAGCGTGATGGAGTTAACTGAGATCCAAGATTCTGTTCTAATCGGGAATAAATGTAACTTCAATCACCACCGGGGTCTTTCCACTCAGGTGTGTCTATTTTAAAGGCGGGTTCCTTGCCAGATCCTGCCTGAGCTTTTTCATCATCAGATTCTTCTTCTTGTCTTGCTTTTCCTTCTTCTTCAGCAAGTCCTCATCCTTCTCCTTCAGTTTGAGAGGTTTCAGACTGCCCGATTTGCCCTCAAAGATAGGCCTCAAATACCGTTCATCACTCATTCCAGCAACAAGGCCTTCTCCAACAAAAGCCCTGAGTCCTGCAACATCTCGGCTATACTTTCCAAGCTGCACACCGGGCCGCCGAGCAGACTGTAAGAAGTCGATGGCGAGCTCAGCCCATACGAGGCAGCCCTCAGCGCTGGTCACTCCGGCAGCGCGGCGCCACTCAATGGTAGCCTTTCCGCCGTAGTACAGATTAGTGAAGTTCCAGGCGTAATACCTGTCGGGATGCATGAGATCGGCAATCTCGACAGCATTCTCGCAAGCCTTGATTCGTTCGAAAATCTGAGCAGTTGGGAGATTCGCCAGCTTAGGGTTGTCGACTGTGTTGCTTTTGATCCATTGATTACCTCGGCGATGTTCAGGGACGATAGCTTCAAAGGCGTCTTCGAAGTAGACGACAGCCATGCAGATGCTTTTCAGTTCCTGAAGAGACCACGCGCCCGCCGCAGGTGAAGCATGAACGTGGAAGCCACAACTCCTGTTCGACTCGAAGACATATGATTCGCGCATGGTTTTGAACAGATTCTGAACGTGGGCACGCCACAGTCCAGTAGAATCATAACGCAAGATCGGAGAGACGAACTCAACGGCGTCTAAGAAGTTGATTAGGTGTCAATCCAGTAGAAGAGGGCAATATGAGAGCCATCTGACGTACACTTGTTATTAGTCTTCGTAGCTCCGGCAATAGTGGCATCGTCTGTCAAGGACCAGTCTTTATACTCGTCTCCTTCCCATGCCCCATCGATGTCGGGATGCATTTTCAAGTACTTATCAGTGTCGATCTTCGCGTTGTAAGACTTGACCGCCAACTTTGCAAAGGCCTCGAGAGACAGCTGTTTGGCGTTGACATCTCGCTGTATGAGGAGAGTTTCAATCTCAAGGCCAATTCTCATTTCGGGGGTCGACATGTTGGAAATTGCGGGGACTCCTTGTACAAAACTTCTTCAGTCAAAAGAAATACAGAACCTATGCTTCGGTGGACAGTGTAGGCTAATTGCTACTGTCGTATGAGAATAAAGTCGAATGTTTTCGTGTCTAATATGATAGTTCAAAGTACGCTGGGGGGCTTTATTGAGTGTGGAAAGAATCGCAGAACAAGTGCCAACAATTTAAAGAGATCAATCTTTGTTAGGAGGATATCAACTGAGACCGATACTGAATGTTGTGTGAAGCTGAGATGATGTTGACATCTAGGTGTTGCGGTGTCAGAAGGCGACTCAAATTGGTGAAATATATACTCATAAAACAGCACAAGAGCTGGTTGAAATCTTGGAGCATTACCGTAATGGCCCCTTCTACGACGGGCTATCTCTGAGACGGCCCTGTGGTCAGCCCGGGACAGATGTTGGGCAACTTGTCCTGATCTGTGCTATTTTCGGAGGCGTAGCGATAACAGAAAGGGGAATACCTCTGGCGCAATGTGATGATGGAACATGACTATTATGTTCCCGTTGCTTGCATCTGACATCATATTTGCCCTGCTGAGGCCCCTCCGACCCAGTATCTGACCTTTGAGGCACACCGGTGGAGGCACTGAACGGCGCAGGCACCTTCAACTCAATAGTTCCATCATTCACGCCCCATTGCCGCATCCAAGGAGTTAAGTGGCGTTATATGGAGCTGACACTTTTAACTGGATTTTATCTTCTTAGATTAATTATAGCAAAGCTGACAAAACATGACCTACTATTTCGAAACAGGCGACCTTGTTTGCCGTTTTGTTCGGGTCCGTCTCTCTCAGCCCAAGGGTCGAGGATGAATCCTTCATCAAAATAGGAATTTATTGCACTCATAGACAGATTCACCGCTGTTGGCAACATTTTGGAGCAGGATGTTCAACCACTGCCCGTGGTTGATCTCAGCTGACCAAGCCGACCCTCGTAGCGGTCTCCATCGACGTCGACATCAGAGGTGTTATAACAGACCCATGCTGGGTGGAGTGAAGGCTTAAAGCATAGTGTAAAATTTTTGTTTTGCGAAGCAGACATGATCCTGTGAAGTCGGCCGTGTGCCAAAGTACCGTTGGCCCTGCTGCGATGGCCGGGCCCCCAGGCATCCACCCACCCCTCGGCTAAAAATAAACGAAAGTGGTCTGAAAATGCGAGATAACCCCGCCACACCTACAAGGCATCCATCATCTACTAGGTACTTACACAGCTTTCCTGGACACCCTTTCTAGCACTCAACACTCACTGCCCGCACAAATATCGCCGCTTCTACCAGCGTTTTCTAACCGCTGAAAGTTTCAAATCTACCAAGTCTCGAGCTGTATATCGTTTAGGTGTCATCTGAGCAGCAAAACGTTTCATAGCCAAACATGGAACCTTCAGAATCACCGACACTGCATGCCGGGCCGCAAGACAACAGCCAGGCAAGAGCAGCCAACCAGTCATCCCAAACCCCGACGCCTTCGCTGATGCAGCGGAAGTTCATGGCCGCTGATTCAGCCGAAGAAGAATCAAAAGCAGACTGGGACCGGCGCGCAGCTGCTATCCAAGAGGGAATGAGGGAGGAACGCGAGCGCAAGGAGTTATACTTCTTCTATGGCTCTCTGATGGATCCAACGCAGCTGCAACGTGTTCTCGGCCTCAAGGACCGACCAAGGAATTTAGTCCCGGCCGAGATCGTTGGGTATCACATTCGGATGTGGGGACCGTACCCAGCGCTGATCGATGGACCCCCCGGAAATGTGGTCAAGGGCATGGCATATGAGGTTGAGGGTGAGAAGGCAAAAACCAAGTTGGCTGATTATGAGACGGACAATTACAGAGAGCACACGTGCACCATACGTCTTGAGGGAGGGGCTCAGGTATCCGGCACAACTTTCGAGTGGGCTGGAGATGTGGATGATTTGAAAGACGGCAGCTTTGATCTAAAAGACTGGCAGATGACACATTTGTTGGATGAGTAACTCATAAGTTCTCCCTGCAGAACTCATGATTATTTCATCGTGCCCAGACTGTTATCACTCAGGTATAGATGTGAGAGAAGATGGGTTGCAAAATTAGTGTCACTGTCACCAGCCAAATTCAAATGCTATCAAGGGTCCTGTTTACATATGTAGACATTGCATGTGGATACGACGAAATCCACTCGAGTTTAGATAATCAGCCAAGGGACGTTTAAGCCAGACGTACCGAGCAAGATCATCCGGGTATCCTCTCCCGTGGTATTTATTAAGCTATTTACCCTACTTCCCTACTACAGCGCGTCGAAGTGGGCCGCCCGGGGCTCACACAGGCGAGCCAGCGTCACTCGGCCCCCGCCTAACACCAGTTACCGCAAAGACGCCGCATACCAGTATCGCATTGCTTTCAGATATCGTAGCTGTCTCAGGCATTGGTGAAAAGGGGTTATACATTCTACGAACTCATGTCAACCTTGAGTGCGACCCCGAGTGAAGTGGCACGAACCAAATTGGGTCACAAGAAGATTCTGGTGACCGCCGGTCGTAGTTGGCCGGAGGCAACAGTTGAGGCTGCAGGGCGAAAATAGTCCCAACACACATAAAGGCGCCCAGCATGCCAGTGAAGGTACCATGAGACTGCCAGTGCGGACCGCATCACAGGCATCACAGCGGCGGGAGAACCCGCGAAGCCCACTCGGCGAGCCTCAATTTAACCTTAAAACAAGGCTCTGCGTCGCACTCAGCTCGGAAATACTTGATCTGGCCTCCACATCTAGTATTGGTATCATGCCGTGTCATGTAATGCTGTACTGGAAACAGCCCCTGGGAGAGCACTTCAGAATCCAAAGTCATCGTCTCCCATGAGCAACTCGGGTTTATCCCTCCCAACAGTTAAGCAACATATTCGTTGATTCCCAGACTTGTAGTGGTGTCAGCCCCTTTTCTCTGACCCAGGGAAAGAATTTGCGGCGGGCTTTTCTCGCGCATACGTGGAGGCCGAAGAGCGACAATGTGTCAAGCGTATCTGCTCTGTGGACCAACGCCCGGCAACAATTTTGCAGACGTCACAAGCGGGTCAATTGCACGTTTTTTCGTCTATGCGGCGATAAGATCTTGGCCACTAATACAAGGCCGAAAGCCAAGCCCCTGAGCTGCCGGCAGCCTGCGGCGCCAGGCCCCGGTAATGCAGCACTGAACCCACCGAGTCAGGCCGGCATTCCGGTCGAGAACTCTTCTGCCACGTTCGATTGCCCTCGGAGAGCTTGGGCTTCTTTCCACAAAAATGGGTCTTTACGTCTGCAATTTCCACAGCGGAACGGCAGCGGAACATGTCCTTGGGCGTGGGGCGCCATATCTTGATTACTGGACTAGTATGCCCGAATGAGTTCACAAAGACGAGAATTGATGTGCCGGGCACCCCGGACTTACAGACGAAAAATTGGTGAGGAGACTAGGAAAGTTGCCCCTGAGGCTCCGTGCTGTCAGGCCAACAGCATGCATGTACGATGTAGTATCTATCTGGGGCACTGTATCGGTGAGTGGGAACCATCCCAGGTCCCGCCTGAGACTCTTGACCCATAAGTGAATTTTGTCGACAATAATAATAAGGCCCATCCTGAACACTGGTTGTTTCCAGCAGAGCAAACTTTGCAGCCTCTTTTCCGCGATTAGACACACTTTATCACACACTCGTATCTCCGTTTGCTACGCCTCTATTCACCCCCACAGAAATACATACTCTCTCATATACACAATGGCAACAGACTACAAGTTCGAGGGCTGGGCGGCGCAGGATGCGGCGGCCATCGAGGGCAAGATGGTGTGGCAGGAGTTCAAGCCCAAGGAGTGGGAGGAGGCGGACGTGGACATCCAGGTGACGCACTGCGGCATGTGCGGTTCTGATTTGCATTTCCTGCGCAACGGCTGGGGCGTCACGACGTACCCGCTGACGGTGGGCCACGAGATCGTGGGCAAGGCGGTGCGGGTGGGCAAGGACGTCAAGCACATCAAGGTCGGCGACCGCGTGGGCGTGGGCGCGCAGGGCGACAGCTGCCTGGGCCGCTTCGGCCCCTGCCGCGAGTGCGAGGACGGCGAGGAGAACTACTGCGACAAGATGGTCAACACGTACGGCGCGCCGCACTTCAACGGCGGCATGGGCCAGGGCGGCTACGCGACTTACCACCGCTCCCCGGCCCACTTTGCCGTCAAGATCCCCGACGGCATCGAGTCGAGCCAGGCGGCGCCCATGCTCTGCGGCGGCGTCACCGTCTTCGCGCCGCTCAAGAACCACGGTGTGAAGGAGGGTATGAGTGTTGGTGTGGTGGGTGTTGGCGGCCTGGGCCACTACGGCGTCATGTTCGCCAAGGCCATGGGCGCCAGGGTTGTCGGCATCTCGCGGCGGGCCAGCAAGCGCGACGAGGTGCTCGGCCTCGGGGCGGACGACTACATCGCGACGGCCGACGACGCGGACTGGACCACCAAGCACGCCAAGAGCCTGGACCTGATCATCTCGACGGTGGCGTCGTCAAAGGTCCCGCTGGCCGAGTACATGTCGCTCCTCAAGAAGGGCGGCAGCTTCTGCCAGCTGGGCCTCCCCGACGACGGCGCGTTCCAGGTCTCGGGCATGGCTGTCGTCTTCGGCCGCACCAAGTTCGAGGGCTCCCTGATCGGGTCGCCCCAGGACCTGCGTGATATGCTGGAGTTTGTGGCGGAGAAGAACATCAAGGGCCTGGTCCAGGAGAGGCCCATGAAGGACGCCAACCAGGCCGTTGTTGACCTGGAGGATGGCAAGGCTCGTTACCGATACGTGCTGGTCAACGAGACTGCTTAGGGGATATGTGTTATACGGCGCTAAGGATACGGGGAACGAACACTGGAAGCACTGCATGGCGGAGTTGGTATATGCGGCTAATAAAATAGACGGCACCTGGGGTTTAGGAAAAGTAATTACCCTGACTCGACGATAACTGCAATATAGAAGGGCATGCATGGCCTGATTTACTATTTTGATGCGGCTGAATAGAGAGCCAAAGGTCGTTATGAAACTATGACTTTGTAACCCTAGCATATGTTATTACATGACTATATTTTAGATGCATATGTTCCTGCATGTGGGAACGAGGGCTCCACCTCACACTCCTTGACAGTTAGGAACACCCTAAGACGATGTCAGGTTTACCAATAACAATTGGCAAAATACCTAGGAATGATTGGAAAAGCCAATCACGACCATGATGTATGAGGGGCTATGAGAGTGCGTAGAGCGTATAAGCCCCGAAAAATGGAGGCTGGCGGGTTATCCTGACTCTTGGCTGCTTGGCAGCTGGTATACCTTGGTATACCCACTCAGACGGGAGAATATCGCTCACCAAGGCCATGACTGCTTATGCCGCGCGACAATAGAAGCAAAACTCGGTTACACAATGGCGGCGGCGCAGGTGCCACCTCCAACCTTGGAAGCCAAGAGCCTGCCAACTAAAACTGCCTGGCAGCGGGAGCTCCCGCCACGCCGACGTCAGCTCCTGGACGGAAGAAACACCAAGTGACTGACAAACAAGGCAGGCAGGCACAGCAGCTGGCTCTTGCCCCCCTTCCTGTCAATCACAACCTCAGACTCCAAGTTGGCTTCCTCGACACACAAACGCATTATGACTGCCCCTATCAAGCTCGCAGTCTTCAACACTCACCCCTACGACAAGAAGTTCTTCAGCGCGGCGCACGCCTCGCATGGATCATCATCATCATCATCACCCTCAGTTGAGCTAGTCTTCCACGACTTTCCCCTCTCCAAGGAGACCGTCTCGCTCGTCACCGGCGCCAAGGCTGTGTGCGTCTTCGTCAACGATGATGTCTCGGCTCCCGTCGTCGAGGCCCTGCACGAGGCCGGCGTGAGGGCCATCCTGCTGCGCTGCGCCGGCTTCAACAACGTCGACCTGGAAAAGGCAAAGGAGCTGGGCATGTTTGTCGCCAACGTGCCCAGCTACTCGCCCGAGGCCGTCGCCGAGTTCGCCCTCGCCCTGATCCAGACCCTCAACCGCAACACCCACCGCGCCTACAACCGCGTCCGCGAGGGCAACTACAACCTCGATGGCCTGCTGGGGAGGACCCTGCACGGCAAGACGGTTGGCCTCGTCGGCACCGGCAAGATTGGCGTTGCCCTGGCCCGCATCCTGAAGGGCTTTGGCTGCGCCCTCCTCGCCCACGACCCCTACGAGAGTGATGCCTTCAAGGAGCTCGGGGACTACACCGACCTCGACACCTTGCTCTCCTCGTCCGATATTGTCAGCCTCCACTGCCCGCTCATGCCTAGCACCCGCTACATCATCAACGCAGACACCCTGCCCAAGATGAAGAAGGGCGCGATGCTGGTCAACACGAGCCGTGGCGCACTCATCGACACCAAGGCAGTCATCAAGGCCTTGAAGAGCAAGCAGCTGGGCGGGCTGGCGCTGGATGTCTACGAGGGGGAGAGCAGTAAGCATGGGCCCTTTCCTCCCAGCTCTGGAGCATCACTAACACGTACAATCAGAGATCTTCTACAAGGACCACTCGGGCTCCATCATTGACGACGATGTTCTGTCGCGGCTGACAACCTTCCACAACGTCATCGTCTGTGGCCACCAGGCCTTCTTCACTGAGGAGGCCCTCACCGAGATCTCAGAGGTTACCCTGAGGAACCTGGACGACTTCGTTGAGGGGAAGCCGTGTGCGAACACGCTCATCAAGGATCAGCCGCCGACATCAGGTCTGTTCCCGGTCCGCACGATATGAGAGGTGTACCGTGGGCTACCCATCCGCTCTTGAGACTGGGCGGCAGCCCAGAGAGAGGAATGCCTTGGCAGCGATGCAATGTGCTCAGACGGTCACATATGCCGAGTGAATAAGAAGTGACATTCTGTTGAGCTTCGTGACAATGCAACCACCCAAAAATCAATCAGCTCATTAGTACTTGCAAAAGAGAACACCGCACCCGTAAACCAAAAAACCAACATCATGAACACAACACAAAAGACCGAGGATCCCAAAAACCCGAATAGCTTCTTTGATGCACTGACATTCCACTCGCCCCATATCGTCATTATTGTCTGTCTCCACGCCCAACTGGCTTCTCACTTTGTCCCCCTTTAATACCTTGCTTAGGAGGCGTCCCCTTGATGGACTCACGCCCACCGCGGACATTTTCCTGTTGACCTTGACCGGAGGAGACTTGGCTGGAAGCGGAGTCAGTTGCGCGTCGGTATTCATTTCGGCCGTCGTTGCGGCGGCCCCTTTCTGCCGTGGGCATGTGCGCAGCCTCCATGCCCTGCCGAAAGCCTTCCCTCCGCTCTGCGTCGAATCGCTTCATTTGATATCGCAGGAGCTTATGCTTATCCATGAGCAACAGCATTCGGTCTGCCATCTCTGCCTGGAGCTGTAGGTAACACTCTAAGTTTTCTTTCACGACTTCTATTACCCGACTAACCGTCCTTGCTGGGCCCAGTAGCTCGTGTGGGCCGCAAACAGCTTGTGCCAATTGCCGTAACTCTGTCTTGTCTGCCAACGCTTGCATGCGAAGAGCGGAATCTAACCTGTGAGCAGTCCTGGCTTGAGCTACTCCCAGCCAAGCCATCACTTCCAATAGATCGTTATCAAGTTCTTTTAGGTCGCAGGAAAGTACTCTCGGCGCGCCAGGCGCGCCTTGCTGACGCACTCGCGCAAGACATCTTTGCACTCGTCGAAGTACGTCATTCTCTTCTTTGACGTGAGCATCATTCTCCTCCTGCAATAACTGAACCACGGCCTGAAATGCCTGCTCTACTTCCGCGGCTGCATCAGCGACGTCAGTTGGGCTCTTGATATTTTTCATCGTGGCGCGGCCTCTCTCAAGACGCACCTGCGGCTGGATGCCTGCTTCGCTCTCCGCTTTGGTTCTGGTTGGGACGGGGCATCCCGATGATGTTCGTGGGCTAAATTTAGGTGGCAGTCGCTCTGTGGTCGCAGTCTGCGTTGCAATTGTTCCCCGAGATGTTTTCTCAGCTGCTCTCAAGCGGTCAGTCTCGCGGGCGGGGCTCGGGAGATTTGAAATGGGGGCTTTCGATGAAGCGAAAATCGCATTTGGGGGGGCGAGGCTGGGGACTGACTCTTCCTGCTTCTTATGCTTGTTGGTGTTGCGAGGGGCTATGGAGATTCCAATGAGAAAAACTTAGAGCTGGGGAGACACGAGGCAAAGGACTCACTTCTTTAAAAGATTGAAGAAAGGAAGGGAGAGGCTGATTTAATAGTTCTTCTTTGACTGGCTCTCCAGAGGAAGCAGTCGATACTTGAGCACCGTCACTCGAACAATCCAAGACAAGATAAGATGCACGGAGCGCTTTCGACCACAAAGTTCTCGTCGCAATTGTATGCTGGAAATCTTGTCACAAAACTCAGTGATTCGCTGCTTCCCGAAATTCCTGTAATTAATACCTTTCATTGAGTTGGAAGGTATCTAGAGAGGATGGCTGGGCTCTTATGAATGCTGCCCTGTTCAATGTTGGTCCACTCCACCTGGCCTGCTGCTCCAGATCTGCCCAAGTGGCCGTTCAAATACTACTTTCTCCCACCCTTGAACCCTCTTCAAACCCTTCCAAAACCATCTGGGCACGCGATGCAACTTGTTGGTTGGTTCTAAAAGCCCCTTGGCTCAAATGGGACGGCCTTCGTTCGGCTGACTTTTGGGGACCGGTTGGTTGGTCGCTACCAACATTACCATTTGCCATTTTAGCTGTGTATTTATGGATGTCCATTGGCCTTCTATTTAATGTCTGTGGTTTTGGCCGTCTGGCCTTCTGGCCTCATTCTGGCCGCCTGGCCATGCTGTCTGGCCGCCTGGCCCCCAAGCTTGGACCTGAGGTCTGGCCCAGAGGTCTGGCCCTCGGCCCTGCGGCCTTTGTGAGCCTTCTGAAATGGCTCCAACACGTAGAAAAGAAATTCTGTATGTTTCAAATGAGAATTAAAGTTTGAGTGGAATCTGAGCTTGTAAGTTGCAGCTCACCATTTGCATTTTCAGCATCCTACAACGACTCACGGGTACAGAAGACCCTTGAAAATATCACGCAGAAATTGCGATAGCAATGATCATATTAGGGTCACTTTTATCTACTGCAGGCCTACTCTTTCACCTCCCCGAAGAAGGGCGACTTCAGAAACGCGCCCGCACACGGAACTGATTGGGAAAGTACAAAATCCCAGCCAAGCCTTTGGGCGCTGTCAACACCCAACATAACTGTGTTATCATTGTAATTATAAAAGCCGCACCTGTATTCCATGCTCCACCAAGTTCATCCGAGCCCTATTTTTATGGGAAAATAGCACCTGAGACAACCCCCTGATTTTCCTTGCTAACCTCTGCCCTTGACCACCCAAAGAACTAGGAAGGGAGTGCTGCAGGGCTAGCAGCCCCACAAGTTTCAATCCAGACAACGGTTTTGATTTATGTGCTTTTGCAGCAAATCCAACACGGAATTTCGCTCCAAGCCGACGTTTGAAGCCGGGATCCGGCCATGAGGCTGCCCATTATCACCGACTTCGTGTTGGCCCTGCTTCTCTGGCTTTTCGGGTGTTGACTGGACTCCGCCCATCTCGCTCGCTTGTTGTTGTTTTGTTTTTGATATGATTGATGTTTCAATTTGCGTGATTGTGTGCACTTATATGTGGCAATGATATGCAGGTCGTAGGTCGTAGTTTGCAGATTCAGGATTGATTGTTTTCAATGCTTTGACTTGTAGAAGCCAGCCGTGCTAAGGAAGTGAAAGAGGTCGGCACGGTGGATATATTTATACCATGTCCATGTATGAGTCTTCTTTTAACGTGATCGGCACCTGGTATTTGAGTGAACTTCTCATTCAGCCCCTGGTTTCTGTCACGGTTGCTTTGACAGTCTCATGTGTTGCAATGGTGGACGACTCAAGGCACATCCCATAAGCAGGCTGTTGCTCAGAATTCTAGAGTAACTATCGTGACCACACACCAGTTTCTAGGCACCTTTAAAATCCCACCAAGGCGCTCGATCAGCACCACCTCTTCCATATGAATATGAACTTTGCAAGGATGTGTGAGTTAGGCATTCAAGACTGTCACGCGACACGCTCGGTAATAATGGGCACATGTCATGAAAAGATATAAAAAAAGCAATGAGCCTGTAATACCTTGAAAAAGGAATGACAACAACAGTACAGAGGTAATACAAGCTGACTTGAATCGTCCGACACAAGTAGCCCAAGACTTCAAGTTGTGCTCAGATTCGGATATCGCCCGGTCAGAAATACGACTCGTCCGGCCTCGACGAGCGTAGGAATAAGCCACAGGGACTTTGCTTTAATTTGTTGGTATTTTCGAAAGTGCGGCGGTGATATGCTAGTACTACCCTAATCTACTTTAGTAGGTAATGCTCGTAGAGGTAATTAACTCTGACGGCTCGAGTTGGCTCGAGGAGTCGGCGTTGAAATGCACTGACTTCGTCCGTAGGGTCGGCCCGGAACTAGCTCCCACCTGGGCTCGAATTCGCCGCAGCCAGACGACAAATTCGGCATTGACTGGGGGTGGTTGGGGGTCAAAAGTCCCCGGGAGGTGGTCCCCGGGAGCCCTGGAGACGGATCGGGCTGGGCCTGGCGATCACGGGATATCTCACGCCCAAACTCTGGCAGCCCATGTACAGAGTAGATGGTCTCGCCAACTTGTCTGGTTCTGATGTGCTCGTCCTTAATGGGCAGGTAGACATGGCATGCGAGTAACTGCCCCAACTCTGACTGCAGTGGCATCCGTCACTTATCCTTCGCAGTCACTCGAGAGGATCCAGATTATGTTTCTCAGGATAACTGGAGTCATGGGGTCCGCGAATGCCCGAGCTGATTATGAGTCTCACTATAGATTTACTATGAAATCGTACTTGGTCCATTTTAGGTTACATGCCATTTAGAGAAGCGGCTGAGGTAGACTTGCGCTTACACAGCACCAAGCCACCCACAAAAATTTTCCCGAGTCGCGATGCAGGCACGAAATCGCGTCATCGGCTTAAGTGGGCCCCCAAGAAAACCATGACATATATTAATTCAACCGAGCTTTCGAAAGGGTCACCCACTTTCTTGAAAGCAGAATCCCGGAATCCTAACGGGTCGTTCGGCGTGGTTCTTGCATGGCTTTCGCCGGCTTAAACTACGTGGGTGGGCTGTTTCGGCGTAGTTAGACAGCATGTGAACATGCGACTCGCGGGAGGCAAAAAGACGTGATTACCAGACCTCCTTTTGCAACAGCTGCCAAGATGGGGTTGGTCATTCGCTATATAGCGCATTCCTTCGCATCAGCCTTATGGCCTTCGGCTCTTCCGACTCCTCGCGTTCCCGTGCATGATTGCCTTGTGTCTAATGTGCGTGTGAGACTGGATGTGTAGCGTCCACGGTATAAGCCGCTGCATATGCATATAAGGTAGCCGCTTGGGACGCATGAGGTCCACGGCCTCACACTCCACATTCCAGACAGGACTGTGTGTTTCTTCACCTCGCGGTCGTCCGACAACTGGAGTACATTCCGCCCACAATGTCGCCTTCGAATCAATCCAAGTCGAACATCTCCAAAGATGGAGATGTTCACCAAGTGGTTGGTGACGAGGAGATGGGTTGGTCTCGTCTGAGTCTCATCTATCATTCCCTCTCGACTGACGCCCTGCTACAGACAATGGCCGAATTTTCGATGCCCGTGAGGCGAAGAGACAAATCGGCATCCCGACTGCCATCTTTCTGATTGTGAACCGAATCATTGGCACCGGCATCTTCGCCACTCCCAGTACAATCCTGGGCCTCTCCGGCAGCGTTGGACTCTCGCTTTTCATGTGGGTGGCCGGTATGCTCATCGCCCTGGCCGGAACTGCCGTGTTCATGGAATTCGGCACAGCAATCCCCAAGAACGGCGGCGAGAAGAACTACTTGGAATACGTCTGGAGGAAACCCAAGTTTCTGACCACCGGGCTTTACACCGGCTATGTCATTCTGCTGGGCTGGGCAAGCGGTAACTCCGTCGTCTTTGGAGAATACATTCTGCACGCCGCCAACGTCGAGGTCGACCGATGGAACCAGCGCGGTATCGGGCTGGCCTGCATCACATTCGCATTCCTGATCCACGGACTCGCCCTGAAATGGGGACTGCGGCTCCAGAATCTCCTCGGGAGCATCAAGGTCTTCATCATCCTGATCATGGTCTTCTCCGGCTGGGCTGCACTAGCCGGCCACGTCAAGCTCGACAAGAAACCTGACAACTTCAGCAATGCTTTCGAGGGAACGACAGGGAGCGCGTACGGCGTCGTCACGGCCTTGTACAACGTCATCTGGAGCTACGTCGGCTACAGCAACGCCAACTACGCCCTGAGCGAGACCAAGAACCCCGTCCGGACGCTCAAGATCGCCGCGCCCCTCGCCGTCGGTGTCATCGGTGTTCTGTACATGCTGGTCAATATTTCGTACTTTGCCGCCGTGCCCAAGGAGGAGATGCTAGCTGCCAAGCGACTGGTTGCTGCGTCGCTGTTTCGCAACGTCATGGGACCAACTGCCGAGCGCGCTCTGTCTGTCTTCGTGGCCTTGTCCGCGCTTGGCAATGTTCTCAGTGTCATCTTCTCACAGGGGCGTCTGGTGCAAGAGCTGGGTCGCGAGGGCATCCTGCCGTTCTCCAAGTTCTGGGCCAGCAACCGGCCCTTGAACGCCCCCTTCCCCGGCCTGATGTGGCACTGGCTCATCTGCGCCATTACTATCCTGGCACCACCGCCAGGCGATGCCTACAACTTCATCTTGAAGTAAGTTTCCTCCAACTGCGGCCACAGGGCACGTAAAGATACTAACCATTTTCCGTGCAGTCTCATCTCCTACCCCCTGGCCATCATCAACGCCTTCGTTGCGGCCGGCCTGGTCTGGCTGTACATCAAGCGGGATGAGTGGAACTGGCACCCTCCTTTCAGCGCGACTCTTCCCGTCGTCATCTTCTTCATGCTCAGTAACATCTACCTCGTCGTCGCGCCCTTCGTGCCGCCTGAGGACGGCCAGAACGTCTACGAGTCCCTGCCCTACTGGATCCACTGCGTGGTTGGATTCGGTGTCATATTCGCCGGTGGCGTCTACTGGTTCATCTGGGCGAAGCTGCTGCCCAAGATCGGAAAGTATGAGCTGGTGCGGGAGACTGTTGTCGATGACATAGATGGTTGGGACAGGGCGGTATTTGTTCGGAAGCCGCTTGGGTCTGTGATACCTGATGACAACGATGTGCCTCATTATGGTACCACATAGAGTAGTGCTCAGCCCGGATGGCAGTACATCGCAAAACATAATTAGATCTTGCATAGTTGAATACATCGTTTGGGATATCATGCGCCCAACCCAAGCACCCAGAGAGAAGGCCTGCAGATTTAATATCCCTCGCGGCACGAGATCTGCGTCCCTTGGTTTTGTGCTTTTATACTACAACGACACCTGATAGATTTTGTGTTGAAAATGAAAGAGCTCATCGGTCTTACTTCACTTGACAGCACACCGTGCCCAGGTGTTGCTAATTCTGATAACATTAAACTCTACCTGTCGTGGTTGAACTATCTGCTCCTTAACTAGGACTTCAATACCCCCACCCAACCCATTGGGAACTCCGGGATCGAGCCGTATTCAAACGACCCCTGGGGGTCATCAAAGCCTCCACGACATGGTTTTTGCAACTTCAAGAAGACCGTAATTGCTGCGGTCTCTCACACCGTTCCGCACATCAACAGGTATCAGAGGAGCACCAACATCGGTCCTGTAACTTTCGTACTCTTAGCTTGACCCTCCATCAATATGAAATAACCGTGTACACATTCATATGTATACGCGGATTAGGAACGAAACTACCACTGACCTTTCAACTTCCAATGTTTCTAGAGCCTAGCGTCCCGTGGGAAGCCACCGTTCGTAAAATCGGTGTAAGAACCACCATCCTACATAAAAGGCGAAGGGATCGGGGGGTATCGAAGAAACGGGGGCCAAATGGCTCGCTCCATTCTGAACAGCCGCAGGGGATCGAAGCGGCAGGGGTAAAATGGGTCCAGGCTGAAAAGCCGCAGGGAGATGGATTGGAGCCGGAATTCCGGCGGTACCGGAGCCAGCTGCAGCAGGTGGAGGCCCCTGCTCACTGTTTGATTGAATATTGCGCGTCCAGCTTTGGTGTCGGTCGTTATTCCGACCCATGTCCCATATGTCAAGCGACCTGAGCGACGGTAATGCTGTGCTTCCACGCGGCGAGTTCTGCTGTGGGTATCCGCCCCCAGCCTGTGGTCCCTGGCGTGAGCTGCCGGCGCCCGAGTTGTGTGTGTCGTAGGCCTCGAGGTGACTGTCTTGGCCGTTGGGGACAGTAGCGTAAGTCCTTGGGGGTGAGGCACCATAAATGTCGTCAGGTTGATCGTTGGGTTCTCCATTCTGGTAGCCGTTTTCCGATGGCGACCGCCCGGTTGAACTTCTATCTGGCATGATTGTATCTTCGGATTGATCGCTTTGTTGCATTGAAGCCTCTTCCTCTCGTGCTTTGGTTATTGCTGGCTGGATATAAGTCGTCCAAACGTCTCTCAGATCATTTGCAGTAAGCGTAAACGTCTCAGACCCGAACCGCGCATGCATCAGTTCTGTGATCTGCTCCATTGAATACTCCCATACGCGTTTGTCTTGGCGATTCACAGTTCTCACTCCTATGGTTTTGAAGAATTGAACCCATTCAGGTTTCCATCCGGGAACATCTGGAACCTAGGACAGTACTGCATGTTAGTTTTGGCCAAGAAGGTTGTAGTACTGTCCGAAACACTCACCCCTTGAAGCTCTTGAACCTGACTTGCTGATGCTCCTGCTTCAATAGTAGGAATGACGGAGGGATCCGTTGGATGATCGTCGTTGTTCATGGTAGCAAGGTTGGGCGCACTGCGTTGACGATGTCCTGAGGGCATGGTAGGTGAATTCCTGTTTCCATCCATGTTTGCAGGAGTGTTGGATTGTTTGTACGGAGGGCTGCGAGCTTTTGCTGCTGGGTGTCTAAAGAATTGAAGGGTCGCTATGAGCAAAGTTGTTTGACGAGAGCAAAAGATTTTTAAGGTTGGAAAATTTGGGAAACTCTTTAGTACTGAGAATTTTGGGACTCGTGGGTACAGCATGGGCTTCAGTAGACAATTGTTAGTCTCTCACTGTAAGATCAACTTTGCCAGATGGTCGCGTGCTATAAACTTTGGAATGTCAGATGGTAAAGATTCTTCAACATTTGTGTGGTTATAACAGAACTGCTCCCAGCCTAGCGTTGTCCATGTTGTGTCGGTCTGTCTAGCTCTGTGCTAGTTTGCTGACGGTGCTTGGAAAAGTTCTGTTTAAACTTATTGAATGAAATTTTTATGCAGACTGACAAAAGTAATTTTTTTATTCGGTTGTGACTGCAATTTGTGCAGCCCACGCTGCACTACACAAGCCGGACTTTAGATGTGGAATTGCCACATTTCTCGAAATGGACCGCGGGACCATCACGTCAAGAAGCAAGCAGTCCTCTGAATCAATTGGGTTCCTTTGGCCCTCGGGTAAGGTCGCAACCAGCTGAAAGCTTAACTTCAATGTTGGACAAACACAAAGTTGGCGATCTAATGTACGCTTGTTTACATGTCAAGATGTTAAAACAATACTAATACTAGAGAAATTTCAATGCCTTATCCTGCAGCAGTTCAGCTCCAGTGCCCCTCTTCAACGTTCACTTTTCCTGCATATGTTTCTGACCATCAGAATCCAATGGAGGTTACTAATGCATTCCCGTGTCCCGTATCATAAACTACCAGCACTTTTTTGGGTAACTGAGTACTTGCTTCAAGCTCGACGCTGACCCGAAAGCCCTCGGACCACTATTAGTACTTTCCGCAAGAACTTCCCAATCTGCACAATTACCCAGGTAACTAGAGATTGAAACCGGAAATGCATTCCCCGAACTGGCGGGGAGCTGTCCGGACCTACCGTGCAAAGTGAGGAAGATTTTAACAACAGGAAGGATTGTCCACTGGCGGTGGCGGACTCTGTCAAAGTGGTATGCCGCTGCTGAAATGGGCCACACACCCATTAGGTAAGGAACAAGAATACCTAGATAAACATGCAACCTTGCTTCGGCCAGGTCCCATAGGGGATCCTAATGCGGCAACTGAATCCTTGTTGCACAGATGTGGCTCCATGAATTATACAGGGACGAGAATCTTGTAACCCGACCATGCGTGTACAAACCCCCAAATGCTTTTGGATATGACTACACCGTTCTCCGTCACGTCGGACCGGCTGGGTACCTAGTAAGGCCTGCAGATTCCCATTTTCAGCTAAATCGTCTATATGCGAATCCTAATGCAGGCACAGGCAAAGTTCCGCAAGCTATGACAGCCCCCATGCCATGCATGACCCACAGTTACATGAGACTGCTCCGCCCGCCGACCTCCATGCTCCCCTGGCCATCCCTCATCTCCCCGCTGCGGCCCACGACGAACTCCCTGTAGATCCTCTGCAGCAGAGTGCGCTGCTCGCGCCCGATACTCGTCCTCGTGCCGTCGAGGGCCTTGACCAGGTGCCTCCACTGGATGATGACCTCCTTCTCCTGGCCATCGCCGCCGGGCCTGGCGGCTCCGTCCCCCCCGGCCCCCGCGGCCCCAGCCTCCGCGTTCGCGCTGGGCCCGCTCCGTAGCAGCTTGGCCCTCTTCCTCGACGCCTTGAGGCCCTCCAGCTTCGAGACTATCAGGGCCTGCTCGGCGAGCTCGGACGACCTGTTCGAGCCGCGGGGCGCCGGGCCCTCGTTGGCGCCATCTCCGCCGTACCGGAACTGCACGAAACTGTGCGGGAGCGATCCGCCCGCCTTGCCCGCGCCGTGTCGCTGTCCGGCGCGCCGGCCGCTGCCGCCTGCACCGCCCGAGATGTCCGTGTCCTTGAGCACATCCTGGATGGCTTCCAGCTGTGCGTTGGAGACCAAGGCCTGGAGGTCTGCGCCCGAGAAGCCATCCGTCCGCTTGGCGATCTCCATCAGGTCCTCGTCGGACCCCAGCACCGCCTCGCTGAGCTTGGCCTTCTTGCCGACAGCCCGGATAATGTCCACTCGCTCCTCGAGGTTGGGGAAGTCGCAGAGTATCGATTTGTCTAACCGACCTGGCCGGAGAAGGGCGGGATCTATCAGATCGGGCCGTGACGTCGCTGCGAGGACGTACACGCCCGAAAGCCCCTCCGCACCATCCATCAGCGTCAAAAGCTGGTTAACCACACGATCTGTCACGCCGGTAGAGTCGTGACCACGCTTCGGTGCTATAGAATCGAATTCGTCGAAGAATAACACGCAAGGTTTGGCGGCCTGGGCTCGTTCAAATAGGTCGCGGACGCTCTTCTCTGATGCACCGATATACTTGTTCAATATTTCGGGCCCCTTCACGCTGATGAAGTTCAGGCCACATTCCCCGGCCACGGCGCTGGCCAGAAGAGTCTTGCCGCAACCCGGGTAGCCGTACAAGAGGATACCAGACCGAAGCCGAAGTGGGCATTGCGCGAAGATTGGTGCGTACTTTGTCGGGTACTGCAGTGTCTCCAGCAGGACTTGACGTGTTTCTGTCAGGCCTCCAATGGATTCAAAAGTTGTTGTAGAACTCTGCAGTGTCACATTGCGCAAGGACGCCGGCGTGAATCCTTTGAGAGCACTCTCGAAGTCAGCCCGGCCTAGTGGGACGGCAGAAACATCGGAGTCGCCCGTGTTGTCAGTCAGTGACCGCATGATGGCCTCGTTCCTAGCCCTCGAGATGAGCAGGTTCAGGTCTCCCGGCATGTAACCGTCAGTCTCTCCTGCTATATCAAGAAGGTCGAGGTCCGGTTGAATGGAGAATCCACTAGGGGGCGGGGTGGAATCAAGCCTAGATGGCGGGCTTGCTCCATCCATCCAAGCATTCTCTTCACCAGCCGCGCTTCCATTGGCTGTTGTAGGGCGACTGCCATCGTGAGTTGAAACATTGTCCTCCTTTGCTTGTACCGCGCCTTGCATGGTGATGGCTTCCATGATAGTTCGTCGGGTAAGTTTGTCCGGGGCTCTCAGAGGCACAATCTCTCGCACTATATGGCCCCCAACGAGCACGTTGTGTAGGGACTCCTTTCCTTGGGCAGTGGCCAGAAGAACTATGTTGGAGTCTTGGCCACAATATTGGCGAACCATAGAGCAGATTGCCTCGCTTACTTGGCGACTGCGACCGTTCTCGTTGCCAACTTGCAACTCTGTCTCAACCGGGCAAAGACGGTCTAAATCGTCGAGTACCACCAGCGCTTTGCCCCCAAGTCGAGCTCCCCAGCTTGCGCCCATGAAGAGACGGTTCAGGGTCTCTTTGATGGTGCCAATCCTGCTCTCGTCGTTCACAAGCGTACGACACCTGAAATATGTAGTGTGGAAGAGCTGTTCTTCCCGCAAGAATTTCGAAACCGCCAGCGCAACAGATGATTTCCCCGAGCCCAAGGCACCGGTGAGGAGAACTGAAGATGAATTAGAAAGGTGGGATTTGAGCTCATCAAGCAGGGCGTCGATGCCAACCAAAGGACCGACATCAGGTGGCACGATGGTTGATTCGGGTTCTGAAAACCATTTTGGGCGAGGAACAGGAGCCTGGATGTCGAGGGGAAGTTGCCAGTCAGAACCCAGTATCCAATGGGCAGGTTCCTTTGCGGAGCTCTGAGACGAAGGTGGCGGGTGGAACTTGATAATTGCTCCCTCCCAGCCAGGTGGCGAGTCCAAGCCGTCGAACGTATTCAATACTAGCCCGTCTGTCAAAGGCCCGTCAAACAAGCTCTTTCCACGCTTTCCATCATAAATATGCTTTATCCTTTTCGCGGCCTCTTCCCGCTCGGACTTGGACTCTCCGCCGAATTTCAGACCAAGAGCCTGCGCTGCAGAGTCACTGGTGAAGGGATATACCTTGAGCTGTTGCACTGATGGCCGGTCCTCGACCTCGGCGACGGCCTTCAAAATCGACTTTTTAGTCAGAGGCTGTGCGGCTGGTTCGATTTTGACAACACCTCCTACCAGGCCCTCGGAGCCAAACGCAGAGCATAGTACTGTTGACAATGCTGCCGTTTGCCCGTTGGGTGGATCATCCCACGGCAAGAGCTGCGCAACAACCCTAAGGCTGGATCTTGATATTTCAGGTGCATCCTGTCCTTGGGGCTGCTGTCCTTGCACCGGGGCGGGCTCCTCAAGCGTGGATGGTCTCATGAGGTGCACGGTGACCCACTTGAGCCCTCTGAACTCGTTTGACACCAAAAGTTCGCGGTCGACCCAGATGCTCAACTCCTCAACCCCAGACTCATCATCAAACCAATCGTCACAGAGCTTCCTGTCAAGGCCTCGCAGGAACAGGGCAGGTTTGCGCTCCTCACGCTGACTCCTCCGCCTGACCGTGCTGGTTGAACTCTTGCCGCTTCTCCTCGAGGTACTCGCCACACTGCGGTTTTCCCTGCTGCTCCGTGAGGATTTTGGCCTGACCTTTGGGGCGACAATGACCTCGGCGTCGGGGGCGATCTTGGCGAACGGGGTTTGTGCTGATTGCGCGGGCTCGAGAGACAGGATCTTGATATTCGCAGTCGAAGTGGGCGATAGATGGAGCGTCAATGGGTGCGGGCTCGACTTGGTCCCGGACGGCGGGGTATAGGCGGGATTCGGCAGGGCGCGAATCTGAGACAGAAGGTTGAGCTCCAGAAATGTGGCATGCAGCTCGATGATCTCCCAGTCATCGGGTGTCAGCGGCTCGATGTTGACTGTATGTGCGAGTGGGGGGTCGGTATGGATGGTCGCCATGACCTTCTGGCCCTCGTGCAGCCCCAAAGTGCTGGCCAGAGTCGGATCAAGCTCGACGAGGGGAACATCCTGCTCCCGCAAGCCCGAGCCGCCCACTCCATCTCTCCCAACTATTGAGGCGATTTTCTTCTTGCTGGGCATGCCGGTCCAGCCGAGATAGACGGACTTCTGGGCCGAAGGGGCGGAGGGCTTGTCGGCGGGGGACGCATCTCGGTAGCTGAGCTCCACGACAACATTCTGTACGGGCTACAGGACAACGTCAGCCGAGTATATCTGCCAGGGCAGTTTAGGGAGAGGATGGCGGCATACGTACTGTGTTGACAGTCACGAGGAGAGAGACCAGAGACGCTGGGAGGTTGACAAGGCAGTTCTTGAGATGGACCAGCGAGATCTCGGCGGCAGTGGCCTTGCGCTGAGACATGGTGGAGGGCGGATGTCTTGGACGCAATTAAAGTGAAGATGTCGAATGCGCATTCATGTCGTGGTATCAGGAAAGAAGTGGAACGTCTGGTCTGGATCTAGTCCCCCCGGGAAGCAACGGGGAACTGCGCACACACACAGAGCTCAAGCATGGCCGTTCCGGTTACGGTTGCGGGACGAGACCCCGGGAGTGCATCTTGCGATTGCCATGTGCCTCGGCTGATGGGCAAGTACCCCTGTACTCCAGGGGAGCTCGGGCCACAAGGTAAGACTGCCTTGGTCTTTGCAGGGGCTGAAGGAGGTACTTGACCGTCCGCCGTTCATTTGCAATCAAACAGTCTGAGACGGTGAGTTGCAAACACAACTTCTCAGCTGAAGTACCCCCACTCCCCCACGAAACCATGCCTTTGAGCGCGTCCCATTACGCGCCGGACAAGCTAGCTGTTTGAACGCGACGCGTCTGGAGGCTGGAAAATCAATTTGAACCCCTGCTTCCCAATTCTTCCCTCAATTGGTATCACCTCTGCTCCATCTCAAACAGTGACGGATTCGCGACTCATTTTGCCCCTCCACCACCTCGTCGCGACCTCGACTTTCTTCCCCAAGCACAACCGACAACACCACCATCGTTGGATTATCGACTGAATCGCGTTTACTTTCCCCCAACGACTAGCAAAGATGGCGCTTCTTCAGTGGAAGGCGCCTGTGGACTATGAAGCGCAATTGTGTATGTGCAACCCCGTGCAGACTGACGTCGCATAGTCATTCATACCCGCTGCCCCGCAGCGCCGCAGAATATGCAGCATACTGACATTGTATCCCCTGCGGCCAGCCACCTTCAAGACCTTCCTCGAGGACTTCAAGGCGTCCCCAGCAGACTCTATCGCCCATGCGCTCGGTGGGATGAATATTGAGGAGGAAGACCTGGACGACGAGTACGACTTTATGGACGAGGACGACGAGGATGAGCAGCGCCGTCGGCAGGAAAGGGCCAACCGCAAGAAGCCCTACCACAAGTATAAGGACCTGATGCAACAGCTTGCGAATCGCGACATCGACGAGGTTCTGATCGAGCTCGACGATATTGCCCAGGTACGCACCACGCCAACAAGTCTGTGTAGCCTACGTACGGCCACACCTGCTGACTTTGTCATAGTGGGAATCCGAGATGGGCGAGGATGTTCAGGCATTGAAACTTGTCAAGTCCATCGAGGAGAACACCAAACATTACGTCGAGATCCTGTCAAGGGCCATAGACGACTGCATGCCAGAGCCTGCTTCGGAGGTCACGTGCGTATTCCCTTGGACGGCAGAGGGCGAGGAGGAGTTATAGTTGTTATCATATTGACCTGGCAACAGATTCAAGGACGATGTGTTGGATGTCTTGATGGCACGCCGACAGGCCCGGAACCAGGAGCTCGCCGAAGGCGCAGAGGCAATGGGCGACCCTACCCTGTTGCAGGACAAGTTCCCGGCAGAGCTCACCCGGCGCTACACCCTCGTCTTCAAGCCTCGCTCGTCCACACAAGACAGCCCAGTAAAATCCCTTTCTGTCCGGCAAGTGCGCGGCGATCACCTTGGCCACCTCATTACCATCAGAGCCATTGCCACCAGGGTGTCCGACGTGAAGCCCTTGGTTCAGGTCACAGCCTACTCTTGTGACAGGTGTGGCTGCGAAATCTTCCAGCCAGTCACTGCCAGGCAGTTCGGTCCACTCACAATGTGTCCCTCCGCGGACTGCAAGGCCAACCAGACCAAGGGCCAACTTCAGCCCTCTTCCCGAGCGTCCAAGTTCCTGCCCTTCCAAGAGATCAAAGTGCAAGAACTCCCTGAGCAGGTACCAATTGGTCAGATCCCACGATCCCTGACGGTATCGGCGTACGGAACCGCGGTTCGCAAGATCTCCCCCGGCGATGTCGTGGACATCTCGGGCATCTTCCTCCCCACACCATATACCGGCTTCAAGGCGATGCGGGCAGGCCTCTTGACCGATACTTACCTCGAGGCACACCACATCGTCCAGCACAAGAAGGCGTACGAGGATATGAGAGTGGACCCCAGTCTGGCGAGGAGAATCGACCAGTACAGGCGATCAGGGCAGGTCTACGAGTATCTCGCCAAGTCCATCGCACCCGAAATCTACGGCCACCTCGATGTCAAGAAGGCTCTGCTGCTCCTCCTCGTAGGAGGCGTGTCGAAGGAGATGGGCGACGGCATGAAGATCCGTGGCGACATCAACGTCTGTCTCATGGGCGACCCTGGTGTGGCCAAGTCTCAGCTGCTCAAGTATATTTCCAAGGTGGCTCCCCGCGGCGTGTACACCTCTGGTCGTGGTAGCAGTGGCGTCGGTCTGACCGCCGCTGTGATGCGCGATCCTGTGACGGATGAGATGGTCCTCGAGGGTGGTGCACTCGTTCTTGCTGACAACGGTATCTGCTGCATCGACGAGTTCGACAAGATGGACGACAATGACCGGACGGCCATCCACGAGGTCATGGAACAGCAGACCATCAGCATCTCCAAGGCCGGCATCTCAACCACCCTGAACGCGCGCACCTCGATCCTAGCCGCGGCCAACCCGCTCTACGGCCGCTACAACCCCAAGCTGTCCCCCGTCGAGAACATCAACCTCCCCGCCGCCCTGCTCTCCCGTTTCGACATCCTGTTCCTGCTGCTCGACAACGCCAACCGCGATAACGACGCGCAGCTGGCCAAGCACGTCGCCTACGTGCACATGCACAACCGGCACCCGGACATCGGCACGGAGGACGAGGTCGTCTTCTCCCCCGACGAGGTGCGGGCCTACATCTCCCTGGCGCGCAACTACCGCCCCACGGTGCCGCAGGCCGTGTCGGAGTACCTGATCAAGACGTACGTCAAGCTGCGCGACGCGGCCAAGAAGGCCGAGAAGCGCGGCAAGCAGTTCGCGCACACGACGCCCCGCACGCTGCTGGGCATCGTGCGGCTGTCGCAGGCGCTGGCGCGGCTGCGGTTCGCGGAGGAGGTGTCGCAGGACGACGTGGACGAGTCGCTGCGGCTGGTGGAGGCCAGCAAGGACAGCCTGCACACGGAGCAGCAGGGCGCCGGCGGCAGGCGGGCGATGAACGCCAGCAGCAGGGTCTACAACCTGGTCAAGTCGCTCATGGAGACGGGCCAGTGCCGGCCCGACGACGCCGGCGAGGACGACGACGAGTTCGGCGTCGAGCTGAGCATGCGCAAGGTCCGCGACCGCGTCATCGCCAAGGGCTTCACCGAGGACCAGTGGCTCAACACGCTGGAGGAGTACACGGAGCTTGACGTGAGTTGCTTACGCCCTCTCCCCCCTGATTACTATACTACAAGCGATTTCTTTCCCATACTGACATTGATTCTCCCTTCTAGCTCTGGCAAACTGCTGGTAACGGCTCCCGCCTCGTCTTTGTCACAGCGGCCGAGAATGACAACGAGGAGGACGACGAGTAGATGGGTGTCTGACTCATGAGTATGAGTGGGTTCGAATTTTGGGTTTTCGCATTGGTATATCAATGTTTTTTCGACGGCGTTTATGGGATAGGGTGTCTGTCTCGTCTTGTTGGACTGTGTATGACTGAATGCATCCCGTGGCAGATGCGGTTGCACCAAGGTGGTAATCTAGACGCGTGAGCATTGAATCGATTGTTACTGCAGTCAACAATGAAGTGCATATAGACCATTTCAGGTCGAAGGCCGTACACTGTGTGTATGTGTGTATTGAGCTGGAAGTGGTTAACACACAGCTGATTGATCCAATGTTGCATGGAGTCTTGGTGATAATCACCACACCTCACCCGCATGTCAATCTTGCATCGAAATGCCAGGTCCTAGTGTACAGATCATATATCCCAAGCTCGCGTTCCGATTTCATGCACTGCTATGCGGCGTCTCGATGAAGCGGTATGGTCAGAATAGTAAATCTACTCTATGCATCCCATCCCACAATGATACATTTCATTTACAATGCAAAGCCAACCAGCCGAGCCTCATCTTCTTCCCTCCCTCCTTGCCTGCCTGCCTGTCTGCCTGCCTGGCAAGCAATTCACCCTCAGATCCTGAGGCTCAACAGCCCGGCCCTCTCCATCTCGCCGATGATGCCGTTGCCGCCCGTCTGCCACTTATCCGTGACCTCGCGCTCGTCGACGCGGGCGCGCAGCATCCCGCTGGCGGCCCAGTACTCCATGAGCGCGCGGGCCTCGGCCCTGGTGACGGCGGAGACGTCGAGCACCTGGATCCCCGTGCCCTCCATGACGGCGTCGGTGCGCGCGTCGTACCGCTTGCCAAAGGGGTCGCGCGGCGGCAGCTCGGCCTCGGGGGCGCCGCGCTGGCGGGCCAGCTGGCGGGCGAGGGCGAGCTCCATGCTGGGGTTGCGGGCGGCGTTGGAGCGGCAGGTGGCGCCGACGACGGCGCCGCCGGCGGGGAGGGCGGTGCGCCCCGCGAGCAGGTCGGCGAACATGCGCACGATGGCCAGGTCGTGCGAGTGGATCGGCTCAAAGGCCGTGTCGCGGTAGTCGGAGACGCGCATGGTGAAGGACAGGCCGTCGAGGGCGAAGAGCAAGGGGGGGCGCGGGTTGTCGCCGGCGCCCTTGAGCGTCAGCTCGTGCCACAGGGCCGTGAAGACGGGCCACGCCTGCTCGGTCTCGCGGGCCGACTCGATCAGCGTGTTGAGCGAGGCGCCCTCGGCCACGGGGTTGGTGAACTGCTCGTAGGAGCGGGTGGTGTAGATGCGGTCCAGCACGGCGCGGTTGGCGCTGCGGATGTTCTGCATCAGCTTGAGGGCGTAGACGGACTGCATCCACTGCTGGGGGTTGGTGCCGGGGATGGGCGCGTAGTCGGTGGCGGCGGTGGTCAGTTCCTGGGCTGGAAAAGAGAAAGAGGAATCATTCAGTCAGTCACTGGTACAGGTACATCCTCATCTTGGTTCGGGACGGCAAGGGAGGGCAAGAGGCTCACCTTCGGGGATGTTGATGACAACCCATCCGTTCAAGAAGGCATTCGCCATGGCCTGCAACAGCACCACGCTCTTGCCCGTGGCCCTCTCGCCCGATATTACCACCCGCAGCGTCTCGCCCTTTGCCGCCTTCTCCTTCATGCCCGCGCACAGCTCCACGGTCTCGGGGCGGACCAGGGTGTGCGGGCTGTTGAACAGGCCCCATGTCTGGCTCGGCTTGAACGCCTCAATGGCCCGCAGCTGGTCGATGGTCTCCTCGGGGATCTTGAACACCTTCCCGGCGCTGTCAGGAGCCGCCATGTTGTTGGCGTCCAACCTCGGGGCGCCGTGGACGGGGATGGCGTTGTTGTTGGACAGCACAATGCGCTTGCGCCACGCTTTCCTCTCGCCGGGCCCTGGGGTTTTCCCTCTGACGATGTCCTTGGGCTTCTTGAACTTGGACAGCTGCATGCGCTTGCCACGCTGGTTCTGACCTCCACCGCCGCCGCCGCCACCACCCTTGGTAGCCTGCTGGTGCGCGGTGGTCGAGAACGTCGCGGAGGGTACTGTCCTGGTCTGCAATATCCTCTCGGCTGCGGTCGTCGGCACGAGCTGCCTGGTGGTCGCCGGGGCTTGGTTGGCGGTTGTCGAGGGCCGGAGGAGGCACCTCCAGCAGCTTTGCGAGGCCATTGTCACGGGTTCGTCAGTCCTCCTCGTCCTTGGTGGAAGCGGTCGTGTCGACAGACCCCTATTGCATGGCCGTGGGGCGGGATTGGGCGGGATCGAGGCGCGGCAGCTGGAGCTCGCTTGGCCGATCTGAAGAATTTCAACCTCAACCCCAAGCTCGAACGCCGGCCCATGCAAGCGACAGGCGGGCGCTCGGGCCACCCTGCAGCAGGCCAGCCAATCACCCCTGGCCGGCTCCACTAAAAAGTTCAGACTTCCCCAGGCCAGGAACCAAAAGTCAAGCACGCCAAAGAAGGAACGCCTTTTGCGAATCACCTCAAAATTCGGGGCGCAGCGACAAGGGACGACTCAGAAATACCACGGATCAACCCCCACAGCCAGACTCTACCCAACCAGAACACACACACACACACACACACACTCACACGTTCACACCATGTCTACAACCACAAAACCAAAGCTGCCCGTGGTGGTCGACAAGCCGACGCCCTACACCTTCGACCTGGGCCTCCTCATGGCGACGGACCCCAACCCCCTCGAGCTGGACCCCTCGGACCTGGAGGCGAGCCTCGCCGCCGTCGCGCGGGACGGCGCCCAGGCCCTGGTCAACCAGCTCCTGACGACCTGCCCCATAACCTCGTCCAAGACGGACGGCGTGCTCCTCTCCCTGCCCGAGGCGTCCACCCCGCTGCCGCGCGAGAAGCCCCTCCCGGCCCCCAAGCCCCCGACAAAGTGGGAGCAGTTCGCCGCCCGCAAGGGCATCAAGCCCAAGACCAAGGCGCAGCGGCAGAACCTGCGGTACAACGAGGACAAGGGCGAGTGGGAGAAGAAGTGGGGGTGGAAGGGCGCCGCCGACCGGTCCTCCGGGAAGGTGCCCGACGACTGGGTCGTCGAGGTCGACGAGAAGAAGGAGGCCAAGCTCAAGGAGGGCGAGACGGTGCGCGGGGAGGGCCGCCGCGAGAGGAAGGAGAAGATCCGCCGCAACGAGAGGAAGATGCGCAGCAATGCCCGGCACGCGGCCAACAAGAAGTAAGCAAGCTGCCTGGTTTGGGTTGGGCTCACGCGGTGGTCGGTCGAGGCGTTGGCCTTCCGCGCGGCATTGCACGCATATTCACACGAGACGGAGTTTTGGGCGTCCGGGACCGAGGAAAACCGAGATTTTTGTTTCGACCGCGAATACCTCAGATCAAAAAGGTGCGCGTCTCTTCTGTTCTTTTAGGGGGGTGACCAGAAGAGTAAATGCCTGTTACACATCCTACCATTCGAGACTGCGGCGCTGGAAAACCCCATCTGAGCCAGCCCAGAATACGGCATCCGTTTCCCCCACGAGTAACCCACGGCCCACGCAATCTGCCCACAGGTAACGCCGTGGGAGCAGCCCGATTTCCCCCTCACAAGCTCCGCCGTGCACCAACGACAATGGGACCACAGGCAGGCTCTGCTGTTGTGGATGAGGTCGGCCGCTTGTTGAATGTCATGTCAGGCTTGATATCAGGCTTGGGTCTGGTGGTGTGTGGGTGTTGGCGACAAACGACGGACTTGCGAGGTAACCCAAACAGTGGTCATCTCAATGCCCAAGTCAGACATTTTCATCATGTTGGAGGTGCTGTTGGCTGGACCAAGAGGATGAGCGCATCTCGCGATGCCTGGAAGAATCCTTGAGTTGTTTCCCTTGGCAGGGTTATAAATAGCATAGGGTGAATCATGTTGCATCGAGTGTTCCATCGGTCTTGCTCCTAATCACAAGGCTATAATCAGTTGCACGCTGTCCGTGCCCCAATATGACTTGAAGCAGATGATGTCTTGTTGTGTTGTTGGTGTGTGCTTGTCTCCCTACCCCCTCCTGGAGCATCTCGGCCAAGAATGGTTGTAGTTGATGTTGGAGTTGCGAGGTTCGTGCAAGAGACCTAAACATAATGTTCCACGGCACAAGACTCGATCGAGAGCACGTTTGAAATTGAATATTTTCATTCAGAGCCTCCGCCTTTCTTCAGCGGGGCCCAAACCACCGACCGTGTCTCTCAGAGTCCACTTGCTTTGCCTCAACTTCCTTACTATACAAATCCATCTTTGCCGCGACCGCCGTTTCCAACTCCGGTTTGTGAAGAACCGTTTGCCATCCCTCCCTTTTTGCATATTAACCCAAACAAGCAGGTTTCTGACCTCTCCATTCCCTGGGAACGTGGAGGGGAGATCCGGAAGACGCTAAGAGGCACAGCAGTTGTACTACAGTGGCCTTCCAGTCCGTTCGGTCCTCCTTTCAACCCTCCATGCTCCCACCTGTTCCAGTCCGACGCGATGAGGGAGATACTTCGCAGGAGCGCAGGAGTGGCCCGCTGCCGCCCAGAGTCGCGAGTCGTACGCAATGTTGGTATAAATCGTGCGTTGGTAAACCCCTGCGAGCACCCCATCGAATTCCATTCATTTTCAACGCTGAGTTCGGGGAATAAATCCGCCAGGCCAGGGGGAAAAGCATCCCTATCCGCAAAAACAAGACAAAGCAAATCACAGTAAGAAAACAATGCACCTCAGCCTCTGCTCTGTGGTGGGTGCTGCCCACCGATCCAAATGCCTGTGGGGGGTATACAGAACAACATACATGAATAAAATAGCAAGAAAGAAAAATCAAGATGCCTCTCAGGGCAGCTCCGAGTATGTAGCCTCTCCGTCGCCTTGCGCGACCATAGTCCTCGACCGGCACCGGCTTCCGAGGCCGCAGAAGCTCACGGTCCACGAACAAAGGGAATTCGTCATTGGCGTCTCACGTCATGTAGGAAAGCCACCTGGCCCGGGCATGCTGGGCGCCGGGATCCAGGCCTCGACCTTGCGCCTGAGGGCGAGTAAGAAATGTTCGGAGAGGCGGCTTCTACCGAAAGCATAATCGTAGCGGGCGTTTCTAGAACCCGAGTGGTGACAGAGGTTTGATTGGAGACAGCGGCCGCATGTCGTTCGACCCTCTTGGTGTTGCAGTCTGCCCGTTCGTCGGAGCCTCAGTGTAGAGGTGAGTCGTCTTGGTCGTCGGGATCCCATTCTCCTGCTGCGCGCCATTCTTCTTCTTTAACCGGGTGCTGTCCCCGCCTTGCTGCGACTTTTTGCTGCTGTCCGAAGAGGAAATGTTGCGTTCCCGGTCATCTCTCTCCACCGTTGGTGAGGGTCGCCGCTCGGGTCGGGGCTCGGATCGAGGCTCCAGTCTTTTCTTCACGCCAAGGCCTGGAGGCGGCGGCGCGTCGAACAGCTTGTACTCTTCCTCGATGAACTTGGTCTCGTTCTTGCACCCTTTCCAACAATCCCTCCAGTCACAAACCAGGAACTTGAAGCAGAACGCATCGATCTTCATGCACGGCTGGAAGCAAATGCACAGGTTGCGAAAGTCCATCTTGTTCTTGTCGGCGTGCGCCAAGAGGAGACTCAGATGACATGTGATGGCGAAGAGCAGGTAGTAGTTGAAAGGGGAGAGGTTCGACAGCTCGTCGATGAGCATCTGGGGCACCTTCTCTGCGCCGGCGCATTCGCGGGCGATCCGGTCTTGTGCCTCCTTGGGGAACAGCTCATCGGGGAGCTCGCGAAGCCATGCTTTCAGCATCGAGCCAATGATGTTGATATCATACAGGTCTTCCTGGTTGAAAAGGTCCACGTCATAACCTGCACGATACATGTCAGTCAGCTAGGGTTCAGTCTTCACAGCCGTTCATTCGCTCCACGTATCGACTCACGCTCGTCGAAACGCCTCTGCCATTTCTTTATTTGGGGCCCACTGCCTGGCACCCGGTATAGACCCTCAACGTCGCAGCCCTTGTAGTTCAGGTAGTCGATGGCCCTCCAGGGAAACGCGGGCATCCAGAACTCGGTCTTGTCCCTCGAGTCCTCGAGTCTTTTCGATATCCGGGTAAGGCGCGTCTGCTCGACTAGTGGGAGGTTGATAACCTTCAGGACGTAGTGCTCATCGTCGATGACGGGCTCCTTCTCGGTGGTGCTGCCGCTGCGACCGCCCTTGCCGAAGAGGCCCTTGCCAATTGACTCTGCCACTCTGCCACCCTCCCTCTTGAGGTTGTTGAAGAAGGAGGCCGGGCCGTCCTTTTGTGAAAAGTGCTGTTGCGACCGGCTGTGATCCCTTTCCCGATTCGAGTTCCTGCTCGTCGAGGCGTCCCGCGAGGGGACACGGTCACCGCGGTCGGCGGACTGGTTGCGCGACGACGAAGACATGGCTTCCCGGTAGGACCGGTCGATGGTGGGTGGTGCAGCCGCGGACTTAGCCGGCGCAGCGATGTGCGCACGCTCCGGTTCGGGTAGCGGGGCCTGATTGTTGTAGGGAGCGTCCCTGAGATCCTGCGGGCTCGGGGTGTGGCGTGGGCTGCGGCCGTCCCTGTCGCGTTGAGACTTTGTCCTGCTCAGCAGCGTGAAGGGCTTGGGCTTGGAGCCTTTTCTTGATGAGGTGGTGGTGTTGGTGGTGGTGTCGGGCTTTTCTTGCGACGAGGCCAGCGAGCTGTCGGACCTTGAGGGTAAAGAGGGGGCGGGTCTCGGGTCAGATTCTACGTGGGATGCATCTGCAATTGGAGACAAAGGAATCATCAGCACTGAAAGGGCATTGAATCAGGAGGGCGCCGAGTGGTGGTGGCACTGCAAGTCAAACCGTGTCATGGGAGGTGATGGCTCAACTGCAGGGATCTGATTGCACATGAGTTTTAATGACTGACCTGTTGATTGTTTTGGGCTGTGTTTGGTGGGTGTTGGCTGATCGGTGCTCCTCATCACTGCGTCGCGCCGTGGGTCTAGTGCGGCAGGAGTGGCAGGAGTGGCAGGAGTGACAGGAGTGACAGTGCTGGTGGTGTTGGTGTTGGGCTGGCTGTGTGGTGGCAGGGGCGGGCGGTCGGACGACGACTTGGCCGACTTGGTAAAGCTGAAGAAGAAGCCCTTCTTGTTGTTGGTGGTGGTGGTGTTGTGGTGGTGGCGGTGGTGTTGGTCGTCGTCGTCGTGGCGTGGTCGCTGGCCGTGGCTCGACTTGAGGCGCCTCCGGTCAGGCTGCTGCAGGCGAGCTGAGGAGGGCTTGTCGTCGGGCTGGGTGATGGAGGTGGTAATGGGTGGGAAGGGGGCCGGGTCGTGGAGGGGCTGCTGCTGGTTCGACTGCTGCAGCTCGGCGATGTGCTGGGGCTTCCTGGGGGTGGAGGCGGCGCTGGTGGCCCTGGTCGGGGTGAACTGGGTCTGAACGGGCGTGCTAACAGTCGTGCTAACAGTCGTGCTAACAGTACTACTACTAGCAGCGGCAGGCGAGTGATTCTGCAGAGGATGGGGGTGTGGCTGCGGGTTGGAATTGGATAGTGAGTAGAGATTCTTTGGAGAGAAGCGCGAGGTAAATGGAGAGCGAGGCGACCTGGGCGATGACGAATGGGCGGCTGTTGCAGGAGAAAGGCGTGGTGGATGTTGGACTGTTTCACCAGGACGATCTCGCTGCTGGGTTTGGGGTTGGGCGAGGGTGGTGGCCGCGGCCGTGTAGGTCGTGATTGAGGTGGCCGTGGCCGAGGTCTTGGACTTGTTGTTGGACCACCTGCCGTCAGCCTGAGCCTGAGCCTGAGCCTGGGCCTGGGCCTGGGCCTGGGTACCTGGACGGATCCCTCCTGAGCGCTGCTGCTGGTGTTGGGCCCAATCCTCCTGCTGCCTCTGCTGCTGCTCCTGCTGTTGTTGCCTCTGCTGCTGCAGCTGCTGTGCTGCTTGATCCTGCTGGCCGTATTCGTACGTCGTCAATGGCAGGAGCTGCTGCTGACCCTGAGACCTAGGCTGGGACTGGGACGAAGACTGGGCCTGAGCCTGAATCTGAGTCTGAGCCTGAGCCTGAGCCTGCTGCAGCACGAGCGGCTGAGGAGGCACGGACTTCTTTCGTCCCATGACGGTGGCGTGAGGTGAGCAGCCTCGTACTCCTGGTGCGGTGCCCTGCGGTTTGGTGGTGCAGTGCAGTGCAGTGCAGCGGTCGGTGCAGGGCAGTCAATATGGGCGGCCGGTGTGTTGGCGATGCTGCCGGCAAGAACCCTCAAACGGATGCTCGGGCGCCCCGTCCTGGATTGGTGGGTGTTTGATGCTGAGGGCGGGTGCCGTGCTGGGGGTGTTAATGCGTGGGATAGGTTGAACCCTGACAGGCCTGTCTCCGTAAGTAAGTATGTATGTATGTATCTCTTTCTCTATGTGCCTGTGCCTGTGCCTGCCTGTCTGCCTGTCTGCCTGTCTGTCTGTCTGCCCGCCTGTCTGGTCTGTCTGGTGGTCTGTTGCTTGTCTCGAATGTGGGCAGCAGGGCGGCCAGGGCCAGCTCTCCACTCTTCGCCGTGCAGAGCAGAGCAGAGCAGAGCAGAGTCGAGATGAAATCAGCTTGTCGACCCTGCCTGCCCTCTCTTGTCAATCACTGCAGGCCGGGGGAGCCAAGAACAGCCGGGTCCTCGCCAGGAGCCAGTGAGCCAGGGAGCCCAGGAGCCAGGAACCCAGGCAGGATGAGCTTGACCCTTTGGGGGTTGGTGGGCTGGTGGATTGGGGGGGGGTGGGCGGGGGCAAATGAGAGGGCGGTCCTGCTTGTGGCGCATGAATCGAAACAACTCCCCTGTGCCGGGACGAGGCAGCGAGCAGTGCCGATCAAGGGTGTCTGCGGTAGACTAACAGTCTGACAAGTACTATTCAGGCTATTGTAAGATGCTGCTGCCCTGGATGTTTTGGGTTTGAGGCTCGGGCGGCTGGACCGAGCAGGGCACGTCGATCACAGCCCGGGTGACAGGTCCTGACAGCCCGGAGAATTGACTGATTGACTGACTGACTGACTGATTGATTGATTGATTGATAGACTTGCTTGCTTGACAGCTTGACTGGCAGATGACCGGGTGTGGCTGGCTGGCCGGTTGGAATGATCGACCGGAGAGGTGCGTCCTCTCTGCTTGGCCGACCGTGGGGATGGATTGTCTGGCTCGGGTCGGGTCAGATCAGATCAGATCGGACAGATAGGTCCTCAGCCGTGAGCTGCTCCCGTTTGATATTTGGCGAGGGAGGCTCAGCCTGCCCCCAACTGGTGGATGATCTAGGAATCTGGGAATCTGGGAGGTTGAGAGACGCCTCCAAGGCTGGGGGTCCCAAGGTCAGATCCGTGTCGGGGGGGAATTCCCAGGCTTGGCCCGACCCCGTGGGAGCCTCCAATTGATCCAGCCTCGTGATTCCAAACAGTCGACCGATCACGCCTGGGGAACAAGGCTCGAGAGGGCTGAGAGGGATCTGGGGGGGTGGGCGAGCGGTGGCTGCTTTGCGTGGTTGTTCGGACGCCCGCACGAGACTGTTCAGGTTCAGGGGTAGCAGGCAGATGGCGGGCGGCGGGCGACGGGTTGCGGACGGCGGGTGACGAGCGGCGACTCCAAGGCTCCGACCCCGAGGTGGGCAGCGGCGGCGTTGTGCTGATGCCCAGGTGTTCCTGAGGGCACCCTGCTGCCCAGGAGATGAGGAGTTGCTACAAATATCCTCAGATGGACCGGGTGAGGTCGTCAAATTAAGATGAGTGCCGGCGGCCAGTTTCGAAGAACCCCTTGGATGTTGTCATCTCAATTATGGGTATCGGATACATGGGACGAGCGCACCATACGAGCCAGAGCCAGCGAGAGCCAAGGCCTACCGTTACATACTAACATACGAACGCCCAGAATAAGTCTTCCTTCTTTTTTTTGTGTGTGTGTTTTCCTCTCTCAATGATGTTCTGAAACAATGTTCCCAGATGTTACCCAAAATGCACGCTGACGGGTTTCTTAATTAATCCCATCAGCGTGGTATGATGGATCAGCTGGAGACGGGGAATTTCCCAGAGATGCGATTTCGATTTCAAAACGTCCGTGCCAGGGGGTGGGCTCTGCCACCGGCCGGGTCCAAATACCACGCGTCGAGGCTGACGGGGTACGGGGTACCGAGTACTTACTTGTAGGGACCTGGGACGCGGAAATAATCCATGTCCTTGAGGGACGCCTCGGGAACAGCCTACTGTGTACCTAGGTACGGAGTACAGCCTGTGCCACAGTAACGTTGAACCGTCTTCAGCCGACAGCCCTGGAGGGCATGGACCAGCAACACGACTCGAGCCGGTCGACATCTCTAGCGATTTGCAGCCGTTCTCGTGTGCAATATGCAATACTCATACACTTGTGAGAGACAGTGGGTGAGGACCACAACTCCAAGTCAATTAATTATCCAAGGTAACGGTCAATACATGGCCTAATACTCCCCGTATCTATCCACATTAGGCTTATTAGCTATCCAGGCATGTACTCCGTAACCAGGCCAGGTCACATGCTACAGCATATGGATCTCTCTAATCATATAGAGTTCAGCCATATTAGGGCCTCTCGTCGGCCACGTTTGGCGAGTCAAGACGGTGGCAGTTGGGCATAACTAACCCAAGTACTGTTACGAAATACTGCTAGTTCACACATCTGGGGTCCGGCTGACCAGGCACGCACTCGCACGGGCGGCTCGTGAAGGGCATGTACCCCGTATCAATCAGCGTACCACCAGCCTTGGAATACCGCGCCTGCTGACGGCATACCAATGCCGGCGCCAACAAAAAGAGGTCATCAATGTCTCGGGCCCTGGCCAGCCGTGTCTACAAGCGAGCGGTGTGGATGCTAGCCTTCATTTTGCTCCGGCACACGGGCCCAGATTGACTTTCTGCAATGGCCGTCGATCTGCCTTGCTGCATTGTGCATGTTTGACCATCTCGAGAGTTTACGGTAGTCACCCACAGTGCTACAGTAGTCCTGAAGTCTACTACATAGTACTATGCAACAGCAACACCGATGCATATCTGACATGTCAAAGGCATTGGGGTTGTTGTCTATGGGTCAGGGGCCCCGGAAGGGTTCGAGTTCAAATGTTACATCGCGGCAACACTGGCAGACTGGCAGACAAAGTATTATTATTGTCAACTGCGAGTGATTCGGATGTTGCCGCTGAACGTCTTGGCATAGGCGCCGTGCTGGGCCCTGGGCCAACCCATGTCTCGCATCCATTGTCATCTCGACAAGGCCATGGGAAATACCGCGAGGTGCTACCGGGCAACGTGGCCGGGCAGAGACAAGACGCAGATGATGGCCAATTCAAATCGAAATCGACGACAAGATGGGGGCAGCCACGGCAGGGCCCAGGCCAGGCCTACACAGAACATGCTCCCCTCTCCCCTCTCCTCCTCCCCTTCTCCCCTCCTGCCCTCTTGCCCTACTCCCATCTTCCAATGAACAAAAGAGAAGAGAGGCGCAACGTACTCCACACCCACTCACACGCCAGCACCCACACCATCTATCTCGTCGGGCCGGCACATGCAGTTGGGACCATCCCGCCCAGGCGCCATGACCGATCGCATCATCAGGCTCGCTCGGCCTTGCGGGAAGGGTGCGGAGCATTCACAAAGAAAAGAGAGGGGCCAGCCAGGAGGGCGCACACCCATCATGCCAGCATGAAGCCGACGCCATGCCCAAAGAGGCCTAGGCCAGGCACGCCTCAGTTTTGAAACATGTGCAGTCTCCCCCCTAGCACCACCACAGGTCCAAGTACTGTGAATGATCGGGGCATCGGGCACCCATCCTTGCCAAAAATAGAGCGGTCAGCATTCTCGGCTCCTTTGTGCATGTGTGTTTGTATGCTCCGTACTCGTCATGCAACTGCAGCTTGCTGTGAAGTCCACGGTGCTCGGATTCGCATCCATGAGGCAATCACTGGCATGCGGTAGTATCCGTAGTACCTGCTCAAGTACCTACGTACCTACGTACCTATGTATCATAATCTGCAGTCGACTGCCAGTACGGTAACATGGATCCAGAGCCCTGGAAGGCCTGGCCCCCGGGAGCTTCTTTGGACCCCTTGCAAAAGGACAATTGCTGGGTACCTGCGGCACTCTGGCCTCCACATGCAATTTACTGTACACGCTCCAGGGCCTCTCTTCCCAGCCAAGCCCGTCCGTCGTCTCTCGTCTTTTGCCCCGTCCGTCATCATGACTTTTTCAAAAACAGGTGATACCACCAAAGCAAAGAGAAAGAAAAAAATCCCAACCAAATCCCTCGTCGGATTTCCCCCAAGGCAGTGAGTGGCTGGCTGGCTGGCTGGCTGTCTTCTGCGCTGGACGATCCAGGTCGCGTGATGTGCGCCGCTATGCAATGCGGGCGAGCATCGTTGTGCAAATCGCAAGATGCGGATATGCGGGATTGCACATCCACAACATGCACCGCCCGCTTGGCCCCAGCCCAAGGGCCGCTGGCCCAGCCCCGATTGCTGGCTGATGCTGCTGCTGCTGCTGCTGCTGCTGCTCCTGCCTGCCTGTTCTGTGTGTCCCCCACTGTTTTTCTTGTTGCCGAACCACTCAGCCCACAGGCCGAAGTATCATGCGAAGGCAAACTCCACTCCCGCGCGTCGCCTTGGGAAGGTAACGAAGGGGGTCCAGGGAGCGATCACGCCCGGGAGGAACGGAGACTTTGATAATATGGCGCAACCCCAAACTGGCTGGCTGGGTCTGTGTGTTTGTTTCCCTCTGCTCAGGATATTTGATGACCAAGGAACAAGGTACCTATGTCTGTCGTGGTCTATCCGTAGTTGCTTCTCACCATAGCCACCCCTGTCCACACTTCGCACGTGTAGCAGACCTTCGAGCCAGGCCTGGCTGTGCGTGTGAGGACAGCCATGAGAAGGTGCACTTCCGCCGTCGGGTGAGAAGCAGAGTGAAATAGTCCGTTCAGGTTTTATCCGTGACAAGGTTGTTGTTGATGGTCTCGGAGTGAGTTGCAGAGTAGCAGAATCACATCTGAGCGCTGCTATCACAAGTGTCCATACTGAACAGGGGGTAAGTATTTCTTAGCAGCCGCCCGGCAAGTTTCTTCCCTTCAGAACTTGTACGCACAGCCGGTTCCATAGTCCCTCCCGATACGCTCGAGCATAAGAGTCCAAGCCTTTAAATGTCTGCAAAAATACAAGCTGGGTGACAGAATGTGTTGATAGGAATGACAGTAGTCACACATTCATCTCTCAAGGATGAAGGTGAAACAGAGAAGCAATGCCCATGACAAGTCTTCCACAAAGCAATGCGATCAAGCATGCTTCCCATCCCCTTGCTCGTGACCCAGAGCTCTCTCGCTTTTCGGCCACATAGCATGTTCATATCGAAGTCCACCAGTCTTATGCCAATCTGAACACATGCTGCGCATTTGTGGGAGGCTTCAACCGGGGGAAGGCGATTTGCCATAAGAGGTGGTGCGCCTGTGTCTGCGTTTTGCAAGCGCTCTCAAGTGGAGACTTAGGAGACCTTTAGCTGAACGCAACACTCTTCATTTTTTCCACTCCTCTTCAACGAATCTAGGAAATATTCAGATACCTTGCGTCGGAGTTTACAGGGTCTGAGCCCCGTGATGTTTATCATGATCCTTTCCTCTGCGAGTGCTGAGCTTATGGGAGTCTCGGGGATCGATGACAGGCGCGAACCTTGAAGACTTGACAAGTTGGGCATACAGTCAGGGGTCTCTTAGAATCAATTGATATAGGGAAATTCACTTAGGGATAATTCTTCAGAGAACCATATGTCTAATAGCATGGTTCACCAGGGGGGCAATCTTGGGAGTCGACAGACTCTACAGGCGCCGGGAAAACGCCCAAGTCACCCGGTCCGGGCCACTGACGGCTCATAACCCAAAATTCAAATGAGCCTCGGAGTCGGTAATTCAAAGAATCTCATCTTCAGCAGATTTAAGGACTTGGACGCATTGCATTCCTTGGATATTGTGATGTCCGGCATCCTCTTGGGGACTGTTATGAGAAGGCTTGTAGACAGCCAAGCCTGGAGAAGTCTCCCAGGCCTTGACCTCGCAACTCCATGCATGGCTTGCAAACTTCGAATAACTAATATTTTCTTGCTTAGAGCAGCTAGTCTACCGTCTCTGGAACTAGAATCTCGGTTACGTGCTGCAGCTTCGAGTATACATCCCTCCGAGGCTTTCATTTGCATTGCGGGATCAACTGTCACGGTACACTCATTGACGAGTCAAGACCTAACCTGTCTCATAAACGCCGTGGCTTCGCCGGTGGCCTTTGATCTTCAGTCTTCCCTCCTGGTGCAACAATGAACTCACAATATTGACCAGCCTACCCGCGCTGTGACTTCAACGACGGCAGGACAGTCGCGAAGAAATAGAAAATAGGGCTAAATATAGAGGCCATTTGGTGCCCCAGAAGCTGTTTTCCACCAAGACCAACAGCGCAAAATATACCTCGTCGAGTCACGGGCGGCGATTCATTGCTAGGCCCATCTGTTTGCGCCCGGGCCTCTGCAAGAGATCTGTTGTATGAATTTGTTTCTAGATTTGCGTACATAAATGTGCAGTAGTTCTGTGCACTTCATGTTAATGTTATGACAAAATATACATGTCGGTGGCGTCTGGATTATAGGAACCTGAATCAAGGTGTCTCTTGCGCTATCACTAGGTCTTTTCTCATTTCCGGGTCGCTCTTAAAGTTCAGAGTTCACTTTCTTGTCTTTCAGCTTCCGTGCTTGGATACAGAACCAGAGTTGCGAGATTTTAAACAATTAGTCACGACATGGTAGCAAGATTAGAGACAGCAGAGTGAGATGGAATACGGTCGACCTGAACAGCTGGAGATCATGAGGGCATTGTAGAGAGTCGTATGTAGACTTTCTGACATGAAAACAACGCAGAGCTGCTCAAGATCGAAATCGAAGATCAACGGGACAGATGGGCGTGAACACTGGCCGTTCAAATCCTTCCCAGCAGTTAGAGTCAGTGGGCACTGGGGAATTGGGTGCCGATTTCCCAGGGTTGAGTTGGGACCTTGGAACTTTGCCGAGTGAGTGCGTAGGGTCCCACTGCGAGATTGGCATTTGGTAACACTGAATCCGGTCTCATATGATATGTCATAAGTTGAAATCAGATGAGGATCTTTGACCGGTGAAGACTCATGATCAAGTGTCGACAGTCTTCTAGAACCGACGTTGAGAGCTGGCCAAGATGCCAGAGTGTGGGGCAACCAGACGGGCTTACCTAAAATCTCCCCGACTTTCAACGACATGCGCTAGTGAACACGCAGCCCCCGTCCTTGGCGACCACATCCCAGTCAGTGCAGTCAGTCACTCAGCCAGAGAACCAAGCCACCTTGTCTCGCACTCGCCCGACAGCAAGTATAAAACCACCCGCCCCGACAATGGCCACGAAGCTGGACGCCCTCCCGGACGAGCTGCAGCTGGCGACGGCCAACCACGTCAGATACATCCAGTCGCTGGACACGCGCAAGGACGAGTATGACTACTGGCTGACCGAGCACCTGCGCCTCAACGGCGTCTACTGGGGCCTCGTCGCCCTGCACCTGCTGGGCCACCCGGACGCCCTGCCGCGCGCCGAGACCATCGACTTTGTGCTCTCGTGCCAGCACGACTCGGGCGGCTTCGGCGCCGCCCCGGGCCACGACGCCCACATGCTATACACCGTCAGCGCCGTGCAGATCCTCGCCATGGTCGACGCCTTTGACGAGCTCGAGGAGAGGGGCAGGGGCAGGGCCAAGGTTGGCGAGTGTGCGTTGGTGCTTTGCCATTCCTTTTCTCTCACTCACTCACTCACTTCCTCTCTCTCACACTCCATCTCCTCTCACCCACTCACGTACTCTCTCATTCATGGAACAATAACACATAATTTGACGCTGACACCCCCCCACAGTCATCGCAAGCCTGCAGAACCGCGAGACAGGCACCTTCGCCGGCGACGAGTGGGGCGAGGAGGACACGCGCTTCCTCTACGGCGCCCTCAACGCCCTCTCCCTCCTCGGCCTGCTGCACCTCGTCGACGTCGACAGGGCCGTGGGCCACATCGCCGCCTGCGCCAACTTTGACGGCGGGTACGGCGTCAGCCCGGGCGCCGAGTCGCACTCGGGCCAGATCTTCACGTGCGTCGCCGCGCTCGCCATCGCCGGCCGCCTGGACCTGGTCGACAGGGACCGCCTGGGCCGCTGGCTCGCCGAGCGCCAGACCCCCGGCGGCGGGCTCAACGGCCGCCCCGAGAAGGCCGAGGACGTCTGCTACAGCTGGTGGGTCCTCAGCAGCCTCCAGGTCATCGGCAGGGCCCACTGGGTCGACCGCGCCGCCCTCGTGCGCTTCATCCTGCGCTGCCAGGACCCCGTCGCCGGCGGCATCGCCGACAGGCCCGGCGACATGGTCGACGTCTGGCACACGTGCTTTGGCATGACCGGCCTGAGCCTGCTGGGCTTCCCTGGCACGCAGCCTGTCGACCCCGTGTATTGCATGCCCAGGTCGACGATCGAGAGGGTCCTGGGGAAGTCGTTCTAGAGCCAATCGAAGCAATTCACACACAAAAGCATGCGTGCCCGCACCAAAAAAGAATCATGTCTCATCCCCGCATTGTTGCCCACGTTCGATCAAGACACCCACTCCTCTTGCAGTCTAATAACCTACCTCTTTCACTCCTCCATGGGGGTCAGGATACTCGGCAAGAGGAGAGGAAGCAGTGATCCGTTTACCTAGTTGGTCAACCCAGCGCTCCCCATGGGTGCCATCAACCAAGCAGCGGACCGACATACCTCATCTCACGAGATTTTACCTAGCCTGAACATGTTGGGCACGTTCTTATTCTTGATGTTGGGCGCAGTGAGCTCATGGGAAAGGCCGGGGCCGTTTTCGCAGATATCAAGAAAGCGCGAGAAATCCTGGCGTATGGTTTAGCTCAGAATGTTCTCGGTCACTGACTGCCGTGGGAAAAACATGCTATCTCGCCAGGCTATGCCACCAAAATTCAATCTGGTACTCATCTTTGAATATGTGAAACCGCACCGGGCATGCATGATTCAGGAGGCAGCATAGGTGAATGAGATCACGAAATAATTGACATGCGTAATTTACATCATACAGTAGTCTTTATCTCCACGTCCACATCCTTGCATTTTGGCCGTGTGTTATGATCGTCTCTCATGGCTCGAACACGGTGGCCGCCCCGAGCCCATAATCAACCGAACCGCCAAACCGTAGAAAGGATGGTGAAAAACCATCCCGAATGCCTGCGTCTCCTAATCCACCCATATGCATGCCGAAGGAGAAGGACAACCACCCGCACTCCATTCACCGCCTCCCACGACACGGCCCTCTAGATAAGCCCAGGCGAGTCCACGATGGAATGAATTTTGGGCACGAAAACAGTGGCCTCGGCCCGCCGGGGTGCATTTTTCTCCGGGCTCAACCTGGGAGTCGTCTCACGCGGACAAATAGGTCTGGGCAGCAGGTGCATCAAGTGGCTTCATCAGACTCGTGAATTTGAAGAAACTCTCCCCAGCCCTCGAGGGTAGAAACTCAGGCGCCCTAAAAGCTGCCGCCAAATGAAACAAGTTTGTTTGGGATATCATTGACAACCGGAGGCTGCATCTAAAAACCAAATCCGGTTGGTTGAGGGGCAAACCCAGTTGGCTGAGGGGCAAAGCCGTTGGGGGCACCACCACCGCCACCGGGTCCAGCAGTAATCATGAGGCGGTTGCCGAGAATGGGTGTGTTGTCCTCGACCTTCTCCTGCTCCTTCTCCTTGGCCTTCCGAGCCTCGTTGTCAGACTTCAGAAGCGCAAGCTCCTTGGTCTGCTGAGCCAACATGTTGATCATGTAAGGCATGGTGAAGTCGTTCAGCCCGTTGCGCCAAGACAGCTCCAAGATGAGATCGGGGCGCAGAAGGTCGTAGCAGGCGTACAGCATGCCGACATAGCATTCACGGTTGCCTACATCGACGAACTGGTGGAGGTTAGCAGATGCGCTCGAAAATGCCAGTCGTGGCCATGGACTTACGTATCGAATCAGGTCCTCGACAACTTCGGTCTTGCCAGAAATGGCAGACGTCTCAATCGCGTCCTTCCAGAGCTTGTCCTGCTTGGACAGGGCGATGGATTTCTCCCAGCGCTTGTTCTTGCGGTAGATGCTGGCAGCAATTTGTCGGAAGAAGACAAGGTCGTGCTTCTCGAGACGGGAGGCCAAGTCCACGGCGTCGTAGTTGTCGTAGTTCTCAACAGAATCGCGAAGCGTCTTGTAATCCTCTTCCTCAATGAGAAGATCATTGATGGCGTCGTTGACTGTGCGCTTGTTCTGTGTCTGCACATTCAGCAGGAAGGGCTTGATCAATGGGAGATTGTCGGACTTTTGGAACAAGCGAACAACGCGGTTCACGTCGATTCTAGGAGTGAGGGCCTGCAGAAGGTCGGTGAGAAGCGAGGGGTGCTGCTCCAGGTAGAAGTTGATGGCCTTGTAGTAGATTTCCAGGTTGGCAACCTTGACTGCCATCTCCTTGAACTGCTGGTGCTCCCACGAGTTCTCTGGGCGCTCCATAACGGCGAGGGCAGCATTGTCGTACTCGTCGTAGTGGTAGTAGCAGAACACAAGCTCAGGCCACAGGTTGGCCTCCTCGCAGGCGCGGATCATCTTTGGCATGTTCATACGGCTCCAGAACAGCTTCAAGTGCTCCATGAGTCGCTCAGGGTGGTACTTCGACAGAGCAATGCCCAGCTCGGTGAACATGCCCATGTGAGCGCGCTCCAGACCAAGACCCTGCTCCAGCAGGTCGATCAGCTCGTCGAAGTAGCCATTGCGCTCGTACTGCTTGACGAGGGTCTGCAGCTCCTCGGCATCGACGATAAGGTTGAGACCGCAGATCTTGGCCAGGCGGAATTCCTTCTTGTCGACGCACGCACCGTGGACCTGCTTCCACACCCGGATGTTGTTCGCCTTGCGAGCGCACTCAACAGCAGCCTGGTAGTCCTCGAGGTGGACAAGGGTGGTAGCCAACTTGGCCCAGTTGGAAATGCTGGTGAAGAAAATCTTGGCGGCCTGGTAGAGACCCTCCTCATAAGCCTTGTCACCTGACTCCTCGATGTTGGCAACATTAGTGCCTCGCAGGAAGTCCTCCAGCTCACCGATCTGGTCAAGCCGAGCATAGCAGAAGGCAAGGGCGGTATCGATCTCCGGCTCGCGAAGGGTCTTGCGAGCCATACGAAGGTACTTGACAAGCTCCTCGTTCTTGCCCGCATGAACAGCAATTTCGATTACCTCGGAGTAGTTCTTGGGATCCTCAGCCTTGATGTAGGATTCGATGGCATCACTGACGCGCAGACCATCGAGCTGTGCTTTCGCAACCTTGCTCCACACATCCGGCAGGTCAACCTCGTCCGCGTATGCTTGAGCACGGTCAATGCTGACAACATGCTCAACAAGCACCGAAACGGCACCGACCTTGTCACCAATCTTCTTGGCGATCTCGAATGCCTCCTCGTACAAGCCTACGTTGATGCAAACGCCAGAAATTTCCTCGGCATCGAAGCCGTCCAATCGCTGGATGTAGTCCATGACACGAGCCTTGTCAGCCTTTGCGGCGGTGAACATGAGCAGGTTCTGGAGGTTCTGGTTGTCGCTGAAAGGCGATGGCTCGAGGACGATCTTCTCAAGCAGCTCAATGAGCTCACCAGGAAGGTCAGCAGCCAGGAAGCAAGCCACAGCCTCAGAGACCTTGGCGGGATCAGTGGACTCAGGCACTGCAGTCGAGATCACTTGGTCTACAACCGACCGGCGGTGAAGGTTGTTCTCGCTGAGGACGAATGACCACAGCTCCTTGTCCGCACGGTCAAGAAGGTACCGGGCTTGCGCACGGTACATGGAGTTCTCGTTTGTGATGTTGACGAGCTCGAGGTCGTTCTGGCCCTTGCTGTAGGCGATGTACGCCAGGTTGGGATCGCGCTTCTCGCAGTACTTTCCAACGACAAGAGTGTCGTATTGGTCGTTCTCCTTGAGGAACTTCTCAGGGTTGTTGTTGGAGTCGATGTAGATCTTGGCCAGGGCATTGTAAACCGCCTGCTGCTGGTTGCCTGCTGCGAGAGTCGCTTCCAGGAATGGCAGGAGCAACTTGAGGCGGTTGCGCGACTCAACCTCAGCTACGAGTTCATCGATAGGCACTGAAGCTGCGTTGACAGTCGACAGTAGGTTCTTGATGATGTTCTCGTCGCAGTCGACGTCCAAGAGGCCACCAATAACCGCAGGAGCCCTACCGGGGTTCACACGCTGGACGTATGTCTCGATGGACTGGAACTGCTGGTTTTGGTACAGGTAGAGAATGAGGTCGTGAACAAAGTTGTGTCGGTCGCACACAATAATGAGTGGCAGCTGCTCTGCGAGCTTCGCCTCCTTCAGGAAGTTCTTGACCTTCTCAGGGTTGTAGTAGTTGCTGTCCCGGCAGATGCGCTCAACTTCGTTGAATTGGCCCATCCTTGTCGCGGCCTCGATGTACTTGAAGTGCACATCTGGGCTCTCGGAGAGGTTGACAATGCTGCCCAAGTAGTAGAAAAGACCTTCGGCGGTCTTGTACTTCTCAAAGAGGTCGATGAGGCGCTCGGGACCGAGAAGATCAGAGTACTTCGTGGCAATCTGGATGACCGACTGCAAATTCTGGCGGATGTTGGTCTTCATCATAGCGTCAAGGCAGTCAATAGACTGCTCGACTGACAACTTGCCAAAGAAGTTGACAAGCCATTCAGGGTTGAAACCTTGTGTGCCGGCGATGTTGACGACGACTCGCTTGACGGCTGCAGGGTCCTCGTAGAGCTCCAAAGCCTTCTGCATCAAACCAGCCTGCTCGCAAAGCGTTGCAATTCGGGTCTTGTCAAAGTGGGAGAACATGTCGTTGCCAAGAATCGCATCTGCGACCTGGGGTGCGTGCATGAGGTTCATCTCCAAGAGGCGAGTCTGAAGGTGGCCCTGCTCAGGGTTGTTGTCCTTGAGAGCATCGAGCAGGAATGCAGTGGCCTGTTGGACCATGCCCTGGGCCTGGAACACATCTACGACGCGTTCGATATCAACCAACGACCCCTGGGGCTGGTTGACGAGCGAAGTCGCGAATTCGGCTCCCTTCTCGGGGTTGCTGCGCACGATATGCTGCAGCAAGCCGACCCAGTCAGGGGTGTAACCAGTCTGCTGGACATATGGCAAGATCTTGTCAAACTGACCAGTCTCAGCAAGCCCAGCAACAACCTTGTGGGGGACGTTGGCCTTGAGGTAAATTGTGAGGGCCATGCTGAGATCATGTGGCCTAACAAGATCACCCAGCTGCTCAGAGCAGTCCAGCTTGTTCTCCTTCAGCCACTTTTCAAGCAGTTGCTTCCTGTTCTGTGCGAGGACGGGCGTCGCAAGCTCGATAGTCTCATGCTGGTTGAGAGTCCCCTTATCCAACAGCATACCAAAGTATTGCAGGATAAAAGACATCTGCCCAGGCTGCTGCGGCAGCCGCTTGAACTTCTCGATCGTGGCAGGCGTCCGCAGGAAGCCCCGTGGAGAGCTTGCGGCGATCTTGGCAGCGCCCATGTAGTCGCCCGAATTGAAAAGCTGGTCGAACTGGCGTCCATAGAGATCATCAGCGCCTGGAAGGCCAGCTCGGGATGCCATCTTTATAGCCATCTCGGTGTTGGCGGGGTTCTGCAGCAGGTACTGGACGACGTTGGTGTCGTCGACGGACACGAACAAGACCTGGCCCTTGCGGTTGATACCCACGATGCCAGATGACTCGCTGTCTCCGCAGGACGTAAAGATCGTTTCGCTGGAAATGCGGTTCATGAAGATGCAGGAGCCGGTTTCGAGGTCGTAGAGGTGAATAAAACCGTACTTGGTGACAAGGTAAATGACACCGTATTTCTGAGACACCTGCATGGCGACAGGGAAGTCGTTGACTGCCTCGGGAGGGAAGAAGACGTCCACGGCCTTCTTGGGGAAGACGGGGTTGGTCTCAGCGTGGTCGACCTCAACGACGTGCAGCTTTGCGCCTGCGGCAGTCCGTACGGAGAAGGTGAAAAGCTTCGTATCCTGAGGAGCGCCGTCCAATCGAATCGTTCCGAAGCCGGCGGCGTGACCTTCGATTGCCTGGCTGATGCCACGGTCGCGAGAGTAGAGCTGCATCTGGCCGACAACACGACCTTGATCTTGCTTGATACCAACTACCACCATCCACTTGCCGTCACCATTCACGCGATAGTTGATGATTTGGCAGCCCTGTTTAATTTGTTAGCACAAGGCGGTCAGAGCCACATGCAGGCTGTTGCTCACAGTCAGGTTGGCATGTCGGTCGGTGATCTTCTCAGGCATGTTCTGGTTCTCGTCAAACACATCCCAGTGGTAGATGGCGGAGTCTGTGACCAGGCCGAGGGAGCTGTCGGTGATCCACTTCCAGAAGACGACATCCTCGTTCATGGTGGCAGACTTCAACTTCTTCTTGTTATCCAGGTCAAAGATCTGGACCGTCCGCGATTGGGCCTTGAGTGCGATGATGTTGAGGTGCCAGTGCATGATGGCACTGTCAGCCTTGATTGGTCGTCTCGTCACATTGTTGCCGTTCTTCAGGTCGACAATGACGACTTCGGGAGACGCGGCCTCATTCTTCTTCTCTCGGATGCAGATGTAGTGGTCGGATTCGAGTGTCTGGAAGGTGAAAGAGGCATGGTTAGCTACTGCAGTTGCTGTTGCGCCGCCAAGCGCGCCTTTCGGCTTGCTTCTGGAGGTCAAGATGGATGTCGAGGGTCAGGAACGGGGCACAAGCTAATCAGGACGTACGCATGAGTTGAAGCCAATTGCAGCCTGGTCGACGCCTATGCTGGTGAGCTGTAGCAGCTCTGTGAATTTGATGGGCAGCGGTGCCATGTTGATGACTTGCGCCGACTTGCGCACAGCAAGTTCGGATCGATTATGAACTCAAAGCTGCGATGGGGACGAGCTGGATTAAGGAGCGGTATGGGAGAAGCCGGCGGACGGCGGACACAGCCGGTAGAGATAGGGGTGAAGAGGTAATGGAGGGAGGTATGCGTGCGTAAAGTGTCGGTTGTTTGTTTCGTGGCCAGCTTGCTGCCAGTTGGGCAGTAAGAAAGGGGTGGAATCAAGGTATTAGAGGACAGCCAGCCCACGAAGGAAAAGGAACAAAGTGAGAGGGCTCTGGATCCTGATATGGCCTCGCCTTTGATGGTGATCAGAAGGCGGTTGTCGTGGTCTCGTGCAGGGTGAAGGGTGAGGGTGATGGGTAAGGTGAGGTAGGTAAAGTGGCAGGCTGGACCGAGTTTCGCCAATTCATCAAATTGGCGACCTGTTCGCTCAGGACTGGAAACTGTCTGACGCAGCTCACTGGCGACTGGCAGACTGGGCAGGCTAGCCTGGCAGGCCTGAGCGCACGAGCCATCCCAGCCAGGCCAGCCAGCCAGCTCGACCCCTGGCCGGGCTCCCAAACTTGCTTGCTGAAGCTACAGAGCACCCCAGCAGCCCAGGTACGCAGCTCAAAACTGCGCTAGGCCCAGAACGGCTCACCAGGAGCTCTCCACGTATCCTCAGCTTGTGACAGTTAGGTAAGCAGTATCGCACGACGATCCCAATCACCTAAATCTCGTCTCTGTGTAGAGCCTAGATTTGGGACCTGAGTACTTGACTGCTCTGCACACAGTCTCACACGTCTTGAACTTCGCGCTGTTTCTGGGAGCCAATCATATCGGAGCCTGAAATGGCGCTTCTATCCCGGCTCGTAGAGCCCAACCAGACCCCAACCCTCTGTTGTCTCCGCTTTCATAGCATGCCGAATTGTTTGCGGGGGGGGGGGGGGTAAGTCCCAGGGGTGAATGTCTAAGTAATAGGTACCTAGGTACCTAGGTACCCGGACAGAGGGCATTACCACTTGTTGGATACGCAGTGCATTCATTACTCTCGATTTACGTCTGATTTCAGTAGTAACCAACCTCGCGACTGTGATTGTCTTGGCCCCTGAGGTCAACTGCGATCAATGTGTCGCAACAAGATCAGATCGTAATAGTCATCTAAGGCTATCTCGGAGCAAGCTTGCAACTGTCATATGTATACTCCTTCCTCATGTAATACTTGTTTGGTGCTTGGAATTATCCTACAAATTAAGCCTCATTAATGGCCGAGTCGGCCTGAAAGGTGCCATTGGTAGAGAGAGCATTTCTCGCCATTTCCTCATCACAATACTTATAAAATAAGTCCACAGACTCTACATGAGTCCATACCCTTGTCCATGGCGTATTTTCAGAGAATTTGCTTCATAGAACATTCTTTCCAGAGTGTATGTCAGGTGCGCACCTACCTAGGTACCCCCAGCCATCCTTAATCTGCAGCAAACCATCCATTCGCCCAGATATCAGGCCAAACTCGAATGTTTGAGCACAAATCACCCAGGATAATTGAGAGTGGAGCCAAGTTGGTCTTTGCTGTTTTTTTGGGAAAATCGGCAGGTTTCGACAGTGCTACGCGAAGCTGTCTTGTGTGCTTAAAACGCCTATGACTTCACTCAATCTAGAAATTTGCAATGTCTCAAGCGTTCATGCTGTTGGAACATGTGCTATACGAGCAGTACGAATAATAAGATGCCAGCGCATATATACTGAATCTACCATCAATCCCAAAGCAAGATGGTGGTTGTGTGCTACGCCCAAAAGACAGAGGGAAAAAAACAGGCATACGGCATCTGTCCTCGGCTTGGTGATTGAAAAAGTGCCCCCGGCATCACAAGAGGATACCGGCCTTTTGTAAACCGGGTGACCGCGCTTAATATCCGCAGTGGGACAGGTAATTCTCATCAGATATAGATCGATCCAAAGAATGAAGACGTGTAGGAAGGAAAGCAATGGTGTAAAGGTAGGCTCGGTGGCTGAGGCTCGGTGGCTGATGCAAGTCTAAAAAGAACTTGCTTTCTAATATCTTGAAGTGATGTGTACCCCCGGCCGGTCCCGCCTCTGATCTCTTCAGCTCTGTTTCCTGTGCTTGTTTTCCCCCCTCTCTTCTTAATTGGGGCAGGGGGCGGGGCGGAGTGTTGGTTTGGGGGAGGGGCCGTCCACGCTTGCAGCGAGAAATGGGAAACGGTGTGTTGTACAGGCGCTGGTCAAGAATAGACAAACATTACACCATGTACCTCTTCGCCCCCAAATAGTGGATTCCAGCTGGAAAGGCCCCGGGTCGGTGTCCAAGACAGGAAAGTTTCCAAAGTCTGTCTCTTTCGTTCCACAACTTGCGATTCTGTCTGAGCCTTCTGCAACGCTTTCTGACCAAGTGTAATACATGGATCTGACAGAGCTGCAGGTGTGCACTTGGGAAGGCGAGGCAGTCGGTCGGTCAGGCAGCGAACAGACGAGCCTCCGAGATTAGAGCCGCTATGGGGGCGGGGCCAAGGTCATGTACAGCTGGAAATATAGAGGCAGCTGTTGATGTGAGCAGAGAATGGCAGAGAGGGTCTGGTCCTGAAGGGTGAAACTGGCATATTCTGTGGCAGGACTATAATCTCCGTCCGCTTAAGCGAGCTGAACACGCCCCTATGGCATTTAAGAGTAGGTGTTTCCTATTTTCTCCTTTATAAGACCCAGGCCTGTTGCGTGTGTCGAGAATCGATATGCCTATTCCAGCAACCTGCCCCTGGACGCTCCAATGTGATAGGAAGAAATTACACGACACGAGCCGCAGTGCCATCTCTGAGACGACGAGCAGTGCTGGACTTTAAGGTACCCTACGACCTTTCCTTGAATTTATTTTCGGATCTAGACACTATCGAAGAGTCTGACGCTGCGCAAATGGCGTCGTCAACGGAGCCAGTGTGTTATTTTCCGGACGGCGGGGAAATGCCAGCTCATGGTCCCTGCAACTCAACCAGCGACGGTAAATCAAGCGCTTGTTGTGACAGAAATGGGGTATGCACTACAAGTGGGTATTGTTTTGCAGCAAACGGTTACTTGTATCGTGGAAGCTGTACGGACCGGACATGGAGGTCGACGGCATGCCCGAGTCGATGTCTGCAAGGTAAATGTTGTCTCCGTGTCACTGCTATTTATTATTTGCCCGCTTTCATATTTTGACGATAAACTGAACTTTGTATCTATTTGTAGTGAGAGCTAACTCATTTGCTAACCTCTACCGTTGTGCAAGTGGCGCGCGTGGGCTTTTTGATCCCACAGGTACCTATTGCTGCGGGACTGACAGCCCCTGCTGTGACCAAAATTTCACTATTAACCCGGGATATCCATTTTCCCCATTTGGGTCTGGAAATAGGGCTTCCGGTATGTCTTCCCACTCCACTTTCCCAGCTGCGCATACTAAACCGTAGACAGATTCCTCATCAACGTCTTTGCCCGGCCCAGCAATGGGAGCTGCTGTTGGAATCTCACTGACCGCTCTGATACTTGTACTGGGCGGGATCTGGGCATTCAGAGAAAAACGATGGAGACGTGAATTCCAAAAGAGACGAAGGTCCGAGCTCAGAGAAGAGTACGAGTATCCACCACACATAATCGAGCCTATTGGATCATCCGCCTCTATGGCTCAGACAAGCCGGAGAGTAGCTGAGTTGGAGTAGATATGAGTTATGTACCTTGCGAGTGGTAGTGGTACCAGACTGGACTGAGTGAGTGCCCAAAGAGAGAACGAATGTGTTGTTGTTGGGGTAAATCCAGGTTCGATTATAAGGATTCCTGTGAAGAAGCTGCCTGGATCCGTCGCGAGTTCGATGTTACGAAGTAATAGTATTCAATGTTATATTTACATAGGGTCAATGCCAAGGGTGCAAATTTGGCAGCACTGTTTGACCCGTTCCCACGGTCTTTCATTGACTAACTTTAGTACCAGTGGTGAACACAGCATGGTATCCGGGGGTCCTCCAAAGCAGTGGAGGACTATACATCATCAGTATTCACTCTGGCCTGGTTTAAAAAGCTTCAATTACCGGAACTGACGGCAGGTCTTGCTGAGACATGTGAGTGAATTGGACCCAGCGGTCCTTATTCTTGATCTGATATATACATGTAATATGGAGACTTTACATACCCAGGTGATCAAATTGAATCTACACGAAGGCTATCTGAGAGAGGTAAGCCGGCTTACACCTAAGCGCCCGCATCTGCCACACTCCGCCGCTCCTTATCCGAGTGAATTGAGCATACATCCCAATCGCTTGCGACTTTCATCCGAACTTGTCGTGCTTGTGGTTCTGCGCCATACTCTGTGCCTTCAGAAGTTGACTAGTCAGCAATGAAAAACTTCTAAAACGCAGCCAAGGACTTAGAGAGCTGGGTTCAAACCCAGTGCAAATACCTCCAATAGTAACAAGAGGAAACTCGGTGTCAGAGTTTCTTCTCTGGTTGTTGCTCTCCTCCATTCCAGATACATGCCGTGCGTCTCTGGAATGATACTTGTACCAGGGCCGGCGTCCGCTGCTGCTACCACCGCTACCAATGTTCAATTTTGGCCCGAATATTTCCTCCAGGGCTGGTCGCATAGTTGGCAAGGATGCATTTATTATTCCAAGTAGAGGCACGATGGCAGCGATCAGCGCTAATGGCGCAAATGTATACGTGATATCGGTAGGGTCGAGCTCGAGCATGTATTTGATTCGCACACACGTGATCCCTATAATTCTGTTCGCAGTCAGCTTGGTATAGTCGACTGGCAACGAGGTTTGTCTCCATACACAAACCCAAGCCCAAAAACAGCTGTCAGCAAAATTTTCTTTGATGTCTTGAGTTGCAGTGTCCATAGTATGGGCATTGGAAGCAGAATCACGATGACGTCTATGATAAGATCTGCTGAAGCCATGGCTGTGTACATCTGCTTATGTGTTAGTGAGCTGCCATGGGGTCCAAGGCAAAACAGTGCGGAAGTGCTCAGAGCATGACCACTTCGACTTGTTGAAAGAGACATCGGGCTCGAACTAACCATGTTTGCGTTACCGCATGTACCCGGTATGTCGACATCCCACTGTCAGCTTCGTTAGCCTCCTACTGCGCACAAAGCACAAGACGGCATCTTTTGAGGGTGTCGCTCACCGCTTTCCTCGGAGGGTTGCACAAGAATGCATCAGTCCAGAACGTTCCAATCCAATATGCAAGCACTATAGCCATGACGCCGTAGACTACCTTGGCGAAAGCATCTTTGCCTCGAAACACGACTGAGTAGAAGTGTAGAATTGATAATTTGATCAAAGTTACGAGAGTCAACCAGTGGAGGTCGAGGACGTATACGAGCTATTCCTCGTTAGTATGGGATACGGCGGACTCGTCAACACAGAGCAGTCATCCAGGATCGTGGAACTCACTTTGAGGAAAACTGTAATCATTCCTCGTCCTGCTGTCGCTATGACATATTCTTGGTGAAGGCCTTGGCCACACTTGATTACTGTGGTCATTTCAACTCCATATCGACTAGTCATCAAAACCTGCCATTTCTTTAAAGTTAATGTCGATGGCCGGTTCGATATTCAATAATGGAAAAGGAAACATACCGCAGCTATCAAAATGAGATAATCATTGGCTTGTAATCGCATCTGAAGTAAGTTTCTGCTCCACACCCGCAGGCCAATTGATAAATAACACAACAGCAGGAGAAAGCTCTCGATGACAACTGTTGCCGTCCCGACGGTGTTCTGGGGGAGGGAACTCGCCAGACTGTTTGCTGGCATCTTAAGGACCTCGGACTTCGATTTTGCCTTGGATAAATTTGATGACCGTGAGACTCAAGCTTTCAGATTGGGCTCCCATGTTCCTCAAATGGATATTCTGGCCACCAGTTGAAGGCAGTCACGCAATTCAGGCCGTTCTCAGGCCCAACGTGCTTGATGAATTATGGACACTCATTATAAGACCCATCTTATTTATCACCTCACATCGGAACTCGGTGCACATGTGTACTTATTCTATAAATAGCTTCTAGATAAGCACTTGAGTGGATATAAAGAATATAAATAATATAGTATAATAGTTATAGTGATAATTATTCTTATATTATATTATAAGCTTTTTTTCTATTAGTTTTTTCTTTATATATTTTAAAGATTTAAAGATATATAAGTAATTATATATATAAATATAATTTAATACTACTTTTAATATAAATCTCACATGTATTAAGAGAATTTTTATTATTTTTAGGAACTAGAAACAATATAACTTATTTGATCTTACCCTATCTAGTAAAGTGTAGGATACACAACGGGCTGCGAGTTACCCTTGCCGGTGCCACGAGTCATGGTATATATTGGCCGCTGGATCCTTCTGCGGGATGTGTACGGAACTGGTCACAATTGCAACATTACGGACGAACCTGCTACTCAGCCCTGCAGACTGGTGGCTACCTGATCCGCGCTCTACGGCTTTACATATACTCCGTACAGGGCGCTGCGGGCGCGCAAGGGTCGCTCGAAGCAGAGAAAAAGATTGGGATGTCTTGGCCGAACTGACAACTCACAATATGAGTACAGCCCGCATTTTCTGCGCTCCGTGGGCTTGTTCGTCTTCCCCTTAACCTGTTGGTCTTTAGCAAATTACCTACGAATGCTCGCCTACCTAGGCAGATTGCAGAACTTGAAATCAAGTCCAGCCCAGCGCTCGTCCCAGTTCTTGTGACTTCAATGTCCTAGCGAAGTTCTTTCACACATATGTCCTATTTGAACCCCTCATTGGAATGGCTTTCTCGGCTTCGGGAAGTTCTTCCATCCTTTCACGCAGCTGTGGATGGTGGACATTTGGTGCGAAGACTACCACAGTATAAGGCCATCTGCCGAGGGAAGAACAGCTGCCGAGTCCTGCGTTCATGTTGGCTTGTGGAACTTTCTCAAGACCCTCTCATATGCCCCCATTCCCCACGCCGGGCTATGCAAGGGGCTGAAATGCGAGACGTCGAAAAAGGTAACCTGTGCGAGGCATCATCTGGCGGAACATACCACCAACAACACAACACGTTCGGCGGCGGGGGACGCGCGGGTCGTCAAGGCCACGAAAAGTTAAAGTCTAGCCACATTCGGGAGACACTCCTATCTGCCGCGTCTTCTGCAAGGACAGATGCAGGTTGGGGGCGCAGCACGGCACAATCGACTTGAATGGGGGTTACGGGACCCTCGCCCCCTTGAACCCCAGCACCATTGGCTGCTTGAACAGGTCAAGGTGGATCATTGAGAGGGGCGAATGCGTTCGATATGACATGTAAGTACAAATAAATTCACACCCACCATCCTCGGCGCAACTCCGTACGAGAAACAAACCCCGGACTTGACTTACGAGTAGCGCGTGGTGAGGGAAGTCGGTCCTGCCCAGGTTCCCGCGAAGGCTTCCATGTCTTCGTGCCGCGCTTCTTGGGGCGAGGCGTTTTGCTGGATGTATCGTGCCTGGTGAGATACCAGTCAAAATTCTGGTTACACATGAAGGACTCGATATTATATCTAAATACTGGGCGATTCTAAGGCCAATGCAAAGTGCTTCTTCCAGAAGCTACCTAGAAGCAAACCAAAGCGTGGTATCCAAGCCACTCAGCATTGTGATCGGAACCTACGCTATCGGCGCGTAGAAGCTGAACCTCTGTTGCGGGTCGTACTTGTCCTTGAGTTCCAACAACCTGTCCTGCCGCCACTGCTCGTAGCCGTACATTTCCTGCTTAGTCTCCGTACCGAAGGCGTAGTTGACATACGCGTGGAACTCGTCACGACCCGTGCCTTCACGAATGGCATCGCGAATCTCCTGGCCGACCGAAATGGCCTTGGCGTCAAGGGCTCCTCCATCTGGCTCAAACACTAGAACCGGCGCCACGAGCAGGCGATCTCCTCGGAAGCTCACCGCAGTGGACTCCTGGGGTACGGCCTGTACGCCTTGGAGAGCGTACCCTTCGAACAAGAAAATGGACCCATTGAGCGCGGGAGTTTCCTCAGTGGCAGTGGCGAAGATATCATAAGCGTTCTTCAGCGCAGTGACGTTATACTCTAGGAGATCTACTGGGAACCTTAGCCCAGCAGTCCCTGCATCCTGACAAACAATGTCGTCCAGGCTCATAGCAGTCCAAGTGGGGATTTCAGTATAGCTACCGGAGGCGGCGTTTGCGGTTGTGGGTCCGAGTTCATCGAAAGGCGTGGTATACTGAGAGTCTACAATTGTGACTCCCTCCTGGAGAATGTAGAACATGAGAAGAGGCTTGTACGCGTCAGTAAATGTCGTTCAGACCGTTTTGATGTATGCTACTGACCTTGTCACTGGTGGTTGGATCATTGTATAGAAATGCGTAATTGGCTATGTCCACCGGTGGATTTCCATCCATGAAGAGATGTTTGTTCACGTTATTGTAGACGTCGGTGAACTTGTCGCCAGTGAAAATGTAGGATTTGTAGGCCCAGTCGGCGTACTCAACGTCGTATATCTTGGACGTGACCGAAGTCACAATACCGAAATTGTGACCAGCTCCTTGCATAGCCCACCAGAGGTCGGATGAGCTATCGATAGTGGTCAAGGTCCCATCGGCAAGAACAATGTTCATCGAAACGAACTGATCGGAGACTAGACCATGACGGCCTTGCAGCCACCCATGGCCTCCTCCAAGGCCTGGCCCAAGGATACTCGTGCACTCACATGCTCCGGTAACTATTTTGGTCAAAAACGGTACTCGTCATGCCCCTGTAGGATAATAGCTCACCTGTCTGTTTTCCGGCGGCCCAGAGCGCTTTCGTGACGTTCGTGGACAATGCGCCACCACCAATAGTCGCGGTTTTGCCGTCCCCTGCGATCTCCACGCTCTGCAGCTGATTCATCCAGATCTCGATTCCGCTTTGCATCCTGCCGACCGAGCTGATTGCCCCATGGCCGCCGTTGACGGCTAGGAAAGGTATGTTGAACTCGGCCGCAAATTTCACCTGCGAAACGATAAGTCATCCCGAAGCTCTTGCTTCTCTCCCAAACGGAACAAACACACCGTCTCTGCGACGTCGTTCTCAGTGCTGGGAACAACCACGACGCTGATCGTTGGGGTCTCATATGAGGACCATCGAGATGTCGCCAAATCAAAGGCAGTGGTCTCGTTCGGATAAATCACGCGTGCGGTGGGCGAGAGTTTGGGCACTAATGGGGATAGATCGAAGTCGGGAAGCCCCCGGTTGTAGAGCATACCGCGTATGCTGCTACCTTGAGGGAGACTCTGACAAATAGATGAGAGTGCCCAGGCGCCAACGGCGACAAGGGCCTCCATCTGCAGGCGCCGCAACGAGGCAAAAGGGGATCGGCTCATTGTCAGGAAACCTACTTAAGTAGTTGCACGGGTGTCAACCTTGGAACACACCTGGGCATCGATCCATGGTTGAGTTGCGAATGCAGTGGCCTTTACATATGAAAATAAGGGGTGGACCTGCCCACCCTGAAGGAGTTGTTGGTTGCAACTTACAAGGGGGCGTCTGCTTTCCAGGTTTATAAGTGGATGGGGAATTTCTTGTGGATATTCCGCAAAAGGCGCGTTGTGGGAATCGACGCTGGGCAGTGTTAGTTCAAATGTTAAGAAGCGGGGATTGACTCCGACGAAACCGGTGCGCATGCATACAAGGGCCCGGAGACACAATGAATGAAGCAGCTGTCGAGATCACACACAATTGGCCGAACAGAGACAATTATGCATGAAGGGTAATACTGAGACCATGCTCTGGTGCCTCTTGATTGGACGCCACGAGCAAATGATAGATAGTTACTGCTTCCTGTTTACGCCTAATGTCTCCCACCTACAACTAGCCATACAATAAAGTGGTTTCATTTTTAATCCCTATATATAAAAAATATATATAATACCTTTATATAATAATAAATACTTAAGACTTAATATTTAAAGAAAATATAATATATAAATATTTAATTAAATCTTATATTATATAAATAAAGTTAAAAAATATTACTTTTAATAATATTATATTAAAATTATTTATATATATTATTTAAAAGTAAATAATTAATAAAATAATTATATAATAAAATAAAAATAATTAAAAAATAATATTAAATATATTAATAAAAGATTAATTTATTAACTTTTATATTATTATTTTGTTATAAAATAAATTAATATAATTTTTATTTTAAATATATAATTATTAATAAAATAATTATATTATAATAATAAACTTTCTTTTTAATATAAAGTTAAAAGATTTATAATTATAATTTTTAATTAATTTTTAATTAATTGTTTTATTTTATTATAATTTAATCTAACTTTATTTAAACTTTCTTTTAAGTTTTATAAGAGCTTTTATTTTTATAAATATAAAATTTAAATTAAAATCTTTAAATTTAAATTTAAAATTTTTATAAATCTTAATATATTTTAAATTAAATTTATAATCCCTTACTTATTTTAAAAATATATTAATTATTTTAAATATTAATATTTTTTTAAATAAAGGTCTACTTTTATATAATTATAAATTTAATTATTAATAACTATTTCTTTTCTATTTATAAACTATTAAAATTATAAACTTAAATATTATATATAATAATAAAGTATAATAATATATACTAAAATTAGATTAAGCTAACTTTAGGCTAATTTTTAATTTAGTTTTAATATATAAGGCTTTACTATATTTAAAAGGAGTACTTCCTATTTATTTTATTAATATTAAACTTTTAGAATTTATTCTTTTACTATATACTATTAATATATATTAAATAGTAACTATAATATAGTAATAATATCTACTTTTAATAGGTCTTTTAGAATATATCTATTTATAACCTAAAAGGTGAGTTATTTTTAAAATTAAGTGTATTAAGATATTTATAATATATTTATTAAAATTAGGTAAGAGTTAGTATTTTTTATATCTTAAGGTAGTTAGTCTTCCTCCCTTTATAGATATTAAGGTATTTTTTATTGAAAAAAAGTAAATTATTGGAACTGCTATTATTTTTTTAAAAGTTATAATAAGTTTATATATTAAATAATTAAATAAAAAGTATAATATAATTAAAGTTATTATATAATAAAATAATCTTTTTAATAATTATAATATATAATTAAGTTTATTATACTCTCTTTAAGAATTATATACTCTTAAATAAATCAATATTACTAGGTAGCTGTAAGTTATTAGGAGAAAAAGTCGGGAGAAAAAGTCGGGAGGGAAGATCGGGAGAAAAAGCCGGGAAGAAAAAAAACTAATTTCAATCTAGGTATGGCTTCTAAGTCGGGACTGATTTCTTTGCAAAGACTCAGAGCCTATTTCCTAAGAGCTACCTTCCGCGAGTGCCGTCTGGAAGGTTGGGAAGAGGGCTAACCGTAAATGATAACTCATGCGTACCTGCGGTAGTTTGTGGGATCTATAATGTCATCAGTAATTTGCTCTAGGGCGGAACTTATACAAGCCACCATGGGCACGGAATCATTGCCTGCTGCTCAAAGCTATGCTGAATGGTAGATCGATGTTGCAGGTGAAGGTACCCAGGTATCGGAATATATGCGACAGTGCCAGAGTACATCGACAATGTAGGTTTCAAAAGTCTTGAGTGTTTACCGCTGTATTAAGGCGCCACATATGTTTTATATGGATGGGGATTAGAAACGAAACTACTTATTCCCAGGTAGTGCAAAGTACATGCCATGGAAGCGGCGTAGGACCGTCGGGTCTCAAAAATAGTCGTAACCATGCTTGGCGACTAAGAAGAGACATGGATAAGCCACAAATGCAAGGAAGACGGCATGAAAGATCATATCGTCATATTGAGCCAGGAATTTCGGGACCAAGCTCGAAGAGAAAATTGGGAGAGACTCTATGCCATGATTTTAAAGCACTACCGACTGAGGACATTCAAGCCAGCCTTGGGAGGACTTCCAAGGATTTATCTTCAGTTGCCCTCGACCCGATCCACTGGTTCGCCGCAGTAGAGGCATGTTATTCAGTTCAAAGAATGGACTCGACCGAGTCCTGGGACAACCGCTTTAGCCGCTCCGCCGTGACACCAAAGCATTCAGGTAACCCGGTATCAGACCAATTGGCACCGTGAATAATCTTGACGACAGCAGGAGCACAGTTGAAAATCCGTGCCATTCCTATGTCCATGGATCATTAGCAGTGATTTACAATGCTCAAGGGGGGTTGTTCCTCACCATGCCCGTTGAAACCGGCACATATGTACTGCCCAGGAAGATCATCCAGTCTGCCCACGAACGGCACTGAATCTGTCGTCATGCCTAGAATGCCAGACCACGAATGCTGCACGCCCTCTCCGTGTTTCAGCCTTCCACTCTCACACACGGGGAGATATTTCTCAAAGTTCGCAATGATGTCCTGCTTGATCTCCTCGTTGAATCCGGTGTCGTCTCGTGTTGCCATGTCCCCGGCTGTTTCCCGGCTAAGATCTGGATTTCTGATCGAGGCTCCCACGATGAAAATCCCATCGGCTCTGCGCTGCATCACAGAGTAGAACTTGTAGAGGCTGTATCGCAACGACATCGTACTGGCTAACATGTTGTGCCCGGACAAGGCTAACGGTGGGATGAATGAAAGCGCCTGCGCTCTCGTTGGTGTTACGAATGGTTTCAGCTGGGGGATTAGATGACCGACGAATCCATTGGTGCAGTGGATTACTGTTTGCGCTGTAACTGTGCCTTTCGGAGTCTCAACGTCCCACCATGCCTCAGTATTTGAACTCTTGGAAATGTTCAGAGCCGGGCATTGCGTAAACAACATTGCGCCCTTGGCAATGCTCTGGCTCAACAGCCACTGGGCCAGCCTCGCGGGATGGCTGGACCCTGCGGGCCACTCGTATGCGCTCACGGTCTCCTTGATGCCTGTCCTGCTTGCGGCGTCCTTGCCCTCAAAGACCTTCACATGGCTCACGTCGCCGCCGGCGTCCCGATACTCTTTTAAGCTCCGGGCATTGAACTCGGCAAACTCCGGGGTGAGACACACGTCGAGCGTGGTTGCGAGGTTGAAGTCGCACGGGACATTATGCTTGCTCACAAACTCGTCAATCTTATGGAGAACGTCCTTCTCGTTTTCGATTATCTTCACGGCCTGTTCTGTGCCATGTACTCGTCTGTAGGATTGGAATCCACGGAACGCATCGGGCCGGACGTGCCCTGCGTTGCGCGAAGTTGCTCCAGATGCAGCTTCTCGTGCTTCCAGGATGAGGACATCGCTCCCGGGCACACCGGCTGAGTGTATGAGGTCGAAAGCGGTTAGGGAGCCAGAAAGCCCGGAGCCGATTACAAGGTATTTTGTAGTTGGCGGAAGGCTGCTCTGAGAATTGGCCAGGAGATGTGGGAACGATCGCGTGGTCTGTTGCCAGAAGGACAAACACGGGTTGTCGACGGGGAGCCCATGAATGCGGTCGACGGCAGTCGGCGATTTGCCATTGTTTGATGAGGCGGTCATTGTGAAGCCGAGTTAACAGTACAATTAAAGCACACGCGCAGACAGAATAGATGTGCGGTGGTCAGACATGCGTGTGCCAAGGTTACATACGTGCAAGTGTGCACTTGCACCATTCACATAACAACCTTGGGAGACAGATTTGCCGGTGCCAAGCGGATCTTGGTCACTTTAATGAGCCTTCTGGTACTGTTAGGCTTGCAGGTATCAGGTGATTGACAGCGTCTGCAAACAAGAAGAAATGCACACTCCTGTCCGAGCCTCGGAGTGCCCGCAAACCCGGAAAAGAAACGATGTCGGACAAGTTGCCGGGAATAACCCCGGGTGCTTTACCGGTATCTGCTCCGCCGTCGACGAAGCCCCGTGATATGGCTGGCTATCTTGCCCCGGCAGGGCGGCATGCCACTAAGCCGAGAGGGATCGATTGCCGGTTTCCAGGTGCGACTCACCTGCAAGGACCCTCGACCAGTGCTGCTCATTGCAATTGTGAAGTACCGTGTGCCCGCAAGCCGATACCCGGCCGCCCAATAGCCCTTCGAGGGCGCCACGGGCGATGTTACACTACAGTATCAGTATCTGCAGACCGGGTGGTCATAATGTCTTATAAGGAACGGCGCCGTCCGTCTGATCACCTAGACTCGAAAAACTCTTCCCTCTCTTAGACGACGCGCAAGAATCAAACGACAAGTCTCAGTATAGCCAGCGCCATGGGCTTCAAGGCCCTCCTAGGCCGCACCGCGTTCTTTCGCCACCATGCGGAGCGAACTCCCCTCGAGCGGGACCTCGTCCGGCGGCTGGACATCTTCCTGATGACTTTTGGCTGTGTTTCTCAGGTGATCAAGTATCTTGACCAGACAAATATTAGCTCAGCCTATGTTTCGGGCATGAAAGAAGACCTAAACCTCTATGGGAACGAGCTCAACTATTTCACCACTTGGTTCAGCGTGTCCTATTGCATTATGCTTATCCCCTCGCAGGTCATCATGACCTGGGTCCGGCCAAGCTGGTGGCTGCCGGGTTTGGAGATTGGATGGGGCATCATCACTGGTCTCATAGCGCTGTGCCACAATGCAAAGCAGGTGTATGTTTTGCGCGTTTTCCTGGGGCTGTTTGAGAGCAGTGCCTGGCCTGGCATGATGACGTTGTTTAGTAAGTGGCCATCTGAGCATGTGAAATGCTGTGAGCACCGGTGCTGATTAATGTCAGTGTATTGGTACACGCCCACTGAGTTGGCCAAACGTATGGGGTTCTACCATTCCTGCCAGTCTATCGGCTCGATGATGAGCGGTGCTTTGCAGACGGCCATGCTCAACACGCTCGACGGACACCATGGCATTGCTGGTTGGTAAGCATCAACTGTCCACCTTTTACCCATCCCGGTCTTTCATGTTTTGGACTGTTTTGGAATGCAACACTTGAGGATCGGTAGCGGGGCTAACGTCACCACTACTAAAAGGCGTTGGCTATTCATAATAAACGCGGTCATGACCGTGGCCGTTGGATTGGCCGGCTTCTTCATGCTGCCCGACTATCCCTCCCGCCCGAACCCTCGCGCCTTCTGGTTCACTGGAGAACATGCCCGAATCGCGCAGGAACGCCTCGAGCGGCACGGCCAGGCCGGGGTCAAAAAGATCACCTGGGCCGCAGCCAAGCGGACAGCGAGCATGTGGATCGCATATTTCATCCCGGTGCTGTATATTGGGACAGTCCTGGCTCAGTACGGGATCAACTACTTCAACCTGTTCTTGAAGTCGCTGCTGAACCCCGACGGCTCTCGAACGTGGTCGACTTCGCAGGTCAACTCGATACCTATTGCCGGTGGCGCTATCAATGTGGCATTTGTGTGGATATGGGCAATTGCGTCCGATATCTTTCAAACCAGGTGGACGCTGCTGGTTGCTCAGGCCGTCATCGGCCTCGTCGTGTCGATCATCATGAGTGTCTGGGCGCAGCACCCGAACACCACTCCGCTGTCGGCCGCGTATGCGAGCTATTTCATCCTTTACACGTGTCAAGGCACAGCACCGCTGATATTCTCGTGGTTGGCCGATCTCGTACCACAGGACCCGGAGGCGAGGACTTTGGTGGTTGGATATGCAATCGCAGGGCTGTACTCCATCATTGCGTGGTCTCAAGTACTTGTATGGCCTGCAAGTGAAGCACCACATTGTAAGTCTATGTTCTGCCACATTCATCATGGGATTGAACTGACTAATTACTCAAAATCAGATCGATATGCCTGGCCAGTTTCGCTAGCACTGTGGGTGCTTGTGGCTGTGATGGTCGTGGTTTTGAGGATTGTAGATCTTAAATTCCTCCTGTAAGTGATCAGGTTCAAGGTTCCATTTCCAAATTATTCTTATTAACTTGATATATCAATAGGCCGAAGCGTTTCATTGCCACCACTCCTGCGATCGATGCGGCGAAGTTGGATGGTGAGGAGGACGCGGTAGTGGACGCAAATGGCAAACAGGCGAATTCAAAGACGGCAGATGTCGAAACTGCGGTGTGAATGCGGACTTTGTCATGGTCAGCTGGTGATAAGTAGACTGGAGCAAATATGGTAGCAATATATTTCGCCGAATCTCAAGACTCGGCAAGTGACTGCTTGGCCACCTAATTCCCAATCGCGAAACCTGCGGTATTGGATGTCTGTGATAGGACAGGCCAAATGTGTCATTTGAGTGTCGGACAGGCCTATTCATGGGTTTCCAGGGAGGGTTACCCTCTTCAAGCGTCTCAAAGTACTCCAGAGAGATGAACGCCTCGCAATATCTGCGGTGCCTCTGCGCGTGGTGACAGTCTGCACTGAACCCCTCCAGGGCCCTTTGCATCAATTTACGGAAGAATTGCCTCATCTGACGCCTGATTTCAAGAAACCTCCTGGTAGAGCATCAATGTCCTCGCTAATCTCATAGACCGCATGGCGACACCATTGCCTCTTGGATCGCTGATCAAAGGCATTTTCACATAAACCACAGTCAACTGGGACCTGGATATAAGTCATCAGTCAGCACAAAGACACGGAAGCCGCTATAACGCATGTCAGAAGCAACTCTATTCATTGCCATACAGCGCAGGTCATCTAACTGATCATGCATGAAATCAATATCCATCCTTCTTTTCACTCCAACCTGGATCCAGACCATTCGAGTGGAGCATGTCCGTGATGAGTTCCTTTGTCTTCTTAAGTGCCTTGTTCAAATCGTGCCTGGGTGCCGAGAACTGCCACGTTTCCTCGCTCGTCAACGTGTGGTTACGGTCGAAGGTTCGTTGCGTCAGGACCCATTGCACCTTGGCCTCCTCTGGAGCAGGAGGATCCATTGGGGCAGCAGGTTCTGTCGGAGCAATAAGGGAGTTCTGGACCCGAGGGAAATGAACTACCTGCTCAGGCATCTGCTTGTCGCAATCAGTGTACAAGGCGCGAAGCTTGGCCTCTAGCCCATAAAAAAGATCCATTGCACCTAGGGGATGTTGTCAGTTCCCACGTGTGCACAACAATGATACATAGATAAGTTTTGTATTGGAATGTACCTACCAGCGTCAAGCTCGGGGTGATCGTCTGTCGGGTCAAATTCCCCGTCGCTCGCAATAGGCAGCTGGAACAGCAATGTTGGGGATGACTAATCAGGCCGACGGGCCTACACTACTACCTTCCCCATAGCTTCCCGTAGGCTAGCTTCTTCTCTAGACACACACACACAGACGAGATACCTCCAACAGAATTGACTGCAAGAACCCTCATTTGGTTCCTTGTTTGATTCCTGAAGCTTCGTTCCACTCGAGTGTCGCATAACAAGCAACTCCTCGTTCCTCAGTCGTTGCCGCCACAATCCGACCCTCGAGACACCAAAACTCGTGCTTTGTGTGTCTAGTCCGTCTCTCAAAGTCGGCCTTCGATGTCAGACCCATGAGTTCCCACAAAACTTTGTTTTTCCTGCCCCTGTGCCCGGCCATTGCCCACGCTTCCGTGGCGCCACGCAAAGCCTCCAAAAACGTAGTGTCTTGCGGCCTGCAGCCACCCAACCGGCTGCCATCCCAGAGAAGCTTCATGGCGGTGGTGAAATCCAAAAGATCAGTCAACACGTCCGGGTTTTCCAGGTTGTGGAAAGCCTGGATGTCGTCGCAGAAGACACTGCAGAAGACATCCTTGGCAAAGAAGCTGCTGATGCGATTTCGATGTTTTCCGGCCACGTATATGTTGGGGTACAGGGGAGCGCAACAGTGGAAACGCTGCAGGAGGTCGATTGCGTTTTTGAGAACCTCGTGGTGGAACGAGCCGTCGTCCTCATCGTCAATGTCGGCGTGCCGCCTGGTTGTCAGGACATCGAAGAACTCCAGGGTACGGATTCTCAAAAGCTCCAATCTATAATAAGGGATGCCAAATTCGTTTCGGAAGACGTGGCGAATATCCTCTTGCTGCACGGACGTGGTCCAACCGTGTCTGATTGGAGGTTGCGGCGTAGCCATCGTGTCTCGATTATGTTGATGCTACTTGATGCTGTGCAGATAACTTTCTTTATCGTTGTCAACAAACATTGATCGCAAACTTGATGCAGAGTTTCCGGGTCAGACTCCCCACTAGGAAACTCTTTCCCCAGGTGCTTCTGGCAGTGCGATGACCATCCTGGGAAGGAGCTTACCTACTTACCTAGGTAGGTAGTGGCCGCGGTTTCTCTCCCCTGACCTCCGAGGTGACACTCTTTCATGGGACATGTCAATAGTACATATGGGGTATTCTACTATAGTACAGGAGGAGACGCCATACAGGTTCAATTACAGACAGAAAGTACCTAGGTAAGTTATAGAAGCTCTACTACTAGTATTATAGTGTGTTATTATTTTTAAAGGTACAGCACTGGCAGTGGTAAAGAGCATGAAACTTAAGTAAGTAGACCGGTCTACACACAACCCCACCTGAGAATACACATAGGGATTTCATACAACATTGAATTTACCACCTAGCTTCAAACTTAAACTATACAATAACTATAAACATTATACTTACTGACTGAGATCCGCACCACGCACTGATCCTAAGACCTGTACACACACCGCTTGTTTGCGGCCGCTGACGTTGGTACCACGGCCATATTGAAACACCGAGAGAGAACTGTCATGGCTAGCACCCCGTGGGACAGCTTGACGAAAAAAAAGAGGGGGGGTATGAGGCGGCGCAGAGGAATGGGAAGCCGGCCCATTTGGCTTCTTTGGATGAGTTGAGTTGGGCGGAGCCGCGCAGGCTGAATCGAGCCTCGAAAACCTACCATCAGAGACTCGCAGCTGGCCGGGCTCTCCGTGTCCTCAAGCGCTGATGGTGTGTTGGCTCGCGGCTCGCCGGGCTGCCAAGCCGGCCTCGATGCATGCATGATGATGGCAGCCGCTGCTACGTCTGTCGAGACCAACAGAGAACGACAAAGCTGACAGCAGCAGTGCCAATACTCACCGTTATATGGAAATGTCTGCAGGTGTCGTAGATGCACACATCAAGGATTTGGTTCCTGCACAGTGGGGGTATAGGGAAATTGTGGGCTCCAGGACAACAGTGATTTCGGCAGTCAGGCAGCCGTGGGTCTCTTTTAGTCTCTCGACGTATTTGTTAGACTTTGGGAGGCCTGAATTGGTCTGTACCCGCGCACCGAAACCACTTCGCCCCTGCGGGAGAGTGGTGTGCGCCGGCATGAGGTATGAAATTGCCCTTCAAGACGTTGGGTGCAGTAGTCTCGGGTATTTCTTGCTGCCGTCTCAGACTGTAGCATCGAGGCCTCATGGGTGATTTTAAGTGGCTCGATATGGGGACGGCAAGGGTAGTGCTTACGTCCCGAGTGGCACGAAATGGCCTGCCTCACTGGGCATGCGGCCGTCTAATGATAGGCCGCATACCACCAAGACCAATGAGACGTGGCACAACGCGCCGCGAGATGGACCCCTTCGCAGGGTTTGTGCGGCTGAGCCCCTGTTACAACCCTGCGAGCTTGATATTGCGGCACATCCAAGCTGAAGGATCGGGGCCTTGCTGACAGAAGCAAGTATGACGATTCCCAGGTACGCCTTGTCTTTTATTAAGGTCCAGACACCCATGATGGCGCAAAGAGTAGAGGACCGCCTGTGCCATGCCTCTACTTAATATGTCCCGCAGTCATGGCTGGTCAATACCCTGCCCATGAAGGTCTGCAGTATAGTCCACCAGATCGCACTTATAACGCGCCCGAGGTATATCATTACCATGAGTCGGCACCAGAGGTTGCCCCTAAGAGTAAGAGAAGCTACCCTGGCGTGTTACGGGCCCCTCCGTACGTATTTTCTAACGACAAGCAGGTTATGCGAGCCCAGAGAAGGCACCACCGCACCAGGAACAGCATTTGCTGGTGCCAGACCAGCCCAAACGCTGGTGCGGTGTCCCAAAACGAAGGGCACTCATCATTGGGTCTGTGATCTTGCTCGTCATCATCGGCGCCGTCGTCGGAGGAGTAGTAGGTGCTTTGGTTGCCAGAAACGGCACGAGTAATAGCAACAACGCCAGCGACTCAAGCAGCGCCAGCGCCACGGCCGCTCCGAGCACCACCTCCGATGCCCCGGTCACCAGTGCCGCGACAACGACCTCGTTGGCATCCACAGCCTCAACGAGGGCGACTTCGACGTCGGCCAGCACTTCGTCGGCATTCCCGACGCCGTCAAACAACATCTTGTCCTTGAACTGCCCGGCAATCAACAACACTCAGTTCACGGTTGACAGCTCTTCATTCGAAGTATATTGCCTTACAGACTTTAGATCCGGGTCAGGCAACATTGCGCAGTCATTAGAGCCAAGCATCAATGACTGTATTGGCTCGTGCGTGACATACAATACGGAGAACGACAACACAGACAGTCCGTGTCAAGGTCTGACCTTTGGCGCGAACCTAACGAGGTGAGCAGATGCTGCGGGATGATACTGCTTTGCAGCACTAATGAGATGCCAGATACGGGGGAGCAAACTGCTTTCTCAAGACGGGGCCACTGACTAGAGTGCCTTACACGATAGACGATTACCAAGCTGGTGCGATCTTGCTGGGATGAAGACAGCTATACATACCAGTATGTGGGGAGGGATATCAGAGAGCAGAAGCCTGCTGATTCACGAGGCTGTGCTTCCCGAACTGCTGGCTGTAGCAATATAATTACTTGCACATGTAGGGGTCGGATTAAGGGGAAAAATGAGATGTGTCTCAATGGCTATGATTACCCTACTGGCCTTGCACAGCAAGCGTATATAGGCAGCGTTTTGCGCAAAGCCGGGAACCGAGCATCGCGATCGTAAGGCTGCCCTTTGAAAGGCAGCTTCAAACCCGGCCGAAGGACCTGTTCTACAATTGCTCACAAGTTGCAGAATAATAAATCCACCACTGATATGAAATTCAAATGCTTAGAAGATGCAAGCCTATTGTCGATAGATCCTGGCACCCATTGTACACACTTACACATGCAGGTATCTGAGCCTCGGCCACCGGCTTTGACCTCGAGACCTATTTTCGGTGCTTTCCCCTGCCCGTCATGACCCACCAACACCATTTCAAAAGGCGGGACCACCTCGCGTCCAATGACTCCTCCATAATTACTCGCAGCTTCACGACCAGTGTCTTGATCACTTACGGTCAAGTGCCTAGGTATGTTGAAGCACGGATCAGCAGGGTAAACTATAGTCAGGCTCTTGTTGTTGCGTTCCAGGGCATTGAATTCCGCCCACATACTACTAGGTACCGTTCACAAATTCTTATCTATGGAACGGCGACGTCTGAATAACGGAGAATGGCAGATCACTATTATTCTACTCCGTGCAAGTGACAAATCTCCAGGGCTGCCTCTGAAAAGATGTCCAATGTCCTCCGCACCAGGTCAGCCGCAATCCACGCTCGTGAAAGTGAAAGAGGCGGGATTATCGTCCGTATCCCAGCCCTCTATGCACACTTGCATTACTTCTCACCCTTTCTATGTGGCATACAGCCACACTTTTGGTTGCTAGCAACGGCGAATTACGGACAATGACCTCGAGAAGGACCTGCCTCGTGGGTTTGGACAGCTGAGGCACAAGATATCGGCTGGTAACCCCAACACGGACTCCCAAAGTGAGGGCCTCACGGGACTGTATGTCATCAAAATAGATGGGCGTCTGGGACCCAAACCAGTACAGCTGCAAAAGCGGTACAAGGTATTTTGCTCTCAGTCAAGACAGCCAGTTGACATGTCGATAAACCAACTGCATCTTCAAAAAGTTGCAGATTGTCATAACAGAGCTCTGTGGCTCGCCTGGTCCTGGTGTATTGTCTTGTGAAAGGTCACATCACACTATGAGAAACTACTCACAGGAGCTTACCAGGCCTCTAAAAGGCTATCTTATGGGATGCTATCGCATAGTAGGCTGTCTTACAGTACCGTTAAGCAAGTGAGATAGATACCTTGGCCTCATAGCGGACACCCAAGAAAATCCCGTCCATGCAGATGCTTACACTGGTGTCATCATCATGCTCATTTGCACATCGCTATCAAGCTAGAAACAAAGGAAACCATGCCCCCAAGCAGAGGACCAAGCAAGTTGTCGAAAATCGCTCACTGAATGGAGTCCCGCTAGCCCAGGAACTCATATGCCCAACCAGTATCATTCCAACTCCCGCATGCTAACAGCCTCTCCTAATCCAAGCGGTGGGCATGGCGGTGGTCTTTCTTTTCCAAGGCACGATTCATCACCCACCGGTGACAATAACCAAACACACAAATCATCGACACAAAATTCTCATGAGCGTGCACCCGGGTCGGGCCAGGGACACACACACACACACACACACACGCTCAGTCCGACGCCCGCCGGGCATCCTGATAGACCTCCCACCGCCTCCGGTCCTGGTGGAAGTCGAGCACCAGCTCCACGAGCGCCTCGGCGTCCCTCTCGAGCGCGTCCAGCTCCGCCTGGCTGCTGTGCACCGTGCCGCCGTGGCCCCTGGGCCGCCGGTATGCCGCGAACACGATGCCCCGGGTGACCTTGCGGGCGGGGCCGCTGCTACCGCGGCCCGCAGGCGCCGCGCTGCTGTTGTTCCTCGCCCGCGGGTCCGCTGACAGCACCCCCTCGGCGAGGCTGAACGACTGGCGCACGGCGAGCGCGCCCTCCGTCTGCGTCGCCAGGCGGGCTGCCGCCGCCGCGATGACGCTCGGGTTCTGGGTGCTGGTGCTGCCGCCCGGCGCTGACGCTCGGCGCGGCGAGATTTCTTCCGTTGAGGTGTAGTATGACCGGGCGTACCCGCGCGCGAACTCGTTCTCCCTGGCGTCCGTCTTGCGGTACTCGATCCAACCGTCCGTGCCCTCGCGGAGGATCTTCTTGTGCGCCCTCGCGCCGGGGCGGAAAGGACCGTCCAGGGAGCTCAGCCCGTAGGCGGCGAGCAGGCGGCCTGCGGTCGCAGGTCTTGGCGGGGGCCCGGCGCCTGGGCAGCACTCGGGGATGTGGTGGGGGTCGCTGCTGGTGTTGCTGCTGCTTTCGGCTTCGGAGGGGGCCGCCTGGAGGGAGTGGCGGGGCGTCGAGTTCTTTGTTGTTGGGCAGTCGGACGTCGGGGAGTAGAGGACGGAAGGCGGTTTTGAGAAGGAGCTAGTTGGGGATGAGATGGCTGAGCAGCTTGGTAATGATGGGTGACTGGATGCGTCGCTAGGCCGGTGGAGGTGGCTCATCTCCTTTGGCCAGAAGTTGATAATGTAGAGGAAGTCGAAGTCGTACTTCTTGGCGATCCGGGCCGCTTGGAAGGCTGCGACCTCGTCCGGCGCGAGCGGCGCCAGCATGTTGCTGCCCCGTATATGAGAAGAGAAGGAAGGATACCGCACACCTGGCGGGAGCACGGGCGGTGGCGGTGGCAGTCTCAATGGTGGATTTGATGGGGCTTTGGTCCGGACCTCGGCCAGGTCATCGGCTGTCAAGGCGAAGATATCCTGGACCCTGGGCTCCTGGAACACGGTGCTCTTCTCCGGGCTGGTTGTGACCTGGGGATCGTCGACGTACGAGTCCCTCCAGTCGTCATCCAGGAGTGCAGTGCTCGAGATAGTGGCCAGTGTGGTCCTCCTGCTCCTAGACGGGGCGGTGGATACCGACTCGCGTCTGAGATCACTGCTTGTTTTTGGCTCACTCAAGATGGAATCACGCTGTGGTATCATATCAGGGGAAGGCTCTGGCGTGAACGGGCTGAGGATGGCGGGTGGCAATCGACCACGTGTGCTGGAGGGCGGTGAGGGAAAGTTGAACTCATCCTGGTCTGAGGCCGGGGGCGTCTCGACCTTGACTCCCGGGTAGATGGGCAATGCCTCGAGGAGACGCCGTTGGGCTACCTTTTGGTCTTCTGAGGTTGATGTTGTGTCTTCTGCTGGGGACTGGGGAGACAGGGGCGGAGGCCTGTCCGTGCTTGTTGTTCCACCAGGGAGCTGTAGCTGGATTGGCCCACCCGCCTTCCTGTCGTGTCGCCTAGTGAGCAGTGATGAAGCTCGACTGGGCATGTGAAAAGAAGCAGTGGTCGAGGGCCCACTCCGCCGCCGGCCCGCGGTGTCGGTCATCTCCCGGGTGTCAAAATGAGAGTGCCGACGGCTGTTCCGTGCAGAATTGGAAGAGCTGGAATGGGCAACCGAGATGGGCGATGGGAGCTCAAACTCGTCGCGGGCGTGCATGCGATTTGTGGTAGGTCTTATGAAGGACGGCGGAGGGAAAACGACCTCGAGCAGTGGGGAGTCCTGCCCCGGGTGCGCAGGATCTGCGGGGGGCGCAGTGCCGTTTATGTTGGACACGGTCGTGTCACGGGCAGGTGCAGATTTTCTCTTGGAGAACAGCCGCTCCAGCCTGTCCAACCCATTGGCCATGGCGGGCGACCGGGTAGGGGGCTGTGGTCTCGGGGTGCTTCGTGCGTAATCTATACTGTCAGCTACATTCAGCATTTGCGCAGCTGGCCGGTGCCGTGCACTCATGCAGGGCCCAACCTCAGAGGGAACTCAGCACATACGGGGCAGAAGATTAGGTGGCTGTCGGAAGTGTGGATTCTCGTGGACTGAGGCCGTATAAACACTCAATGATATCCTTGCCCGATCGACAGTGGGCGCTCAGCCGAAGCCTGAGTTGGACAGGCGGACTCGACGGCCCTCGGAGGCGGCGGCGGCGGCGGCGGAAAGGGGAAACGGGCGGCCTGCGCTGGCTCGAACTTGTCTCTGGCCCTCGTGGCCAAAGGTAAGCAGTAGCGAGCGTCCCACAAGAAATAGTGTGCGCCCTCTCGAGACTGGCTTCGGCAAGAGTCACAGCCTTCGGCGGGGTGAGGTTGTGCAAGGAACTCAAAGGAGAGAGGCAAAGGTCACTTGGAGGCCCATGAACAACAAGCCGGCCTATAAAGGCATGAAGGAAGCCCAGGCGAGGAGACCTGACCTGCGACAGCTTTCCCCTCTGGGAAACCCTCTGGGTTCGGATGAAGGCTGGCTGACTATCACAAGTCCAAAACGGTCCCTTTGTTGGCGGGCGGGATGCCAGGAGTGAGCTCGTAAGCAGTTTTGCTCTGTGCCAGGTGACAAGCTGGTCTCGGTGTGCCCCGAGGGCTTCGGCTCCTGGTCTGAGATGTCCAAATCTGGGAGTCGTCCAATGGCAGGGGCTGCTGTTCAAGATGCTACATCAGCCTGTTGGACAGAGATGGATATGATGGGAAGGTCAGGGGATATAAGCTAGCAAGAAGAGAGAAATGAAAATTCTCTGACCCATCATGTGATCAGGTGGGCGTTTATCACTTGAAGGGGATGATGATCACGGTGCCAATAATAAACGGGGACTCGCTACCTTAGAACCGGGTGGGCGGGGGGCGCTCAGATCGGTGCTCAGACCAATTGAGGCATGTGGTTGATTTCTGAATACTTCCTGTTGGACAGACAGACCGACAGATAGACGGACAGGCTGGGCGCGGAAGGGTTATGGGTGTCAAAGAAAACCGCGTGGGGCAACAATATATTACGACTTTTGTCCTTTCAAGGATGAAGGGACGGCAGCACTGTCAAAGGGAAATGTGGGTTTGATATTGTTGCGTCCCAAAGCGGGATTTAGCTCGAAGCTGACCAGTCCTTGGGCGTGGCTAGCATCTGGGGCGGGAAGTCAGGCCAGGCCAGGTAAGAAAGATGCTACGCTGAGCATGAGGCTGATGCTGTGGGTGCGGGTGGGTGGCATACGCATTGCCCATGTCGCATGCACAGCTGGCGTGTCGTTGACAGGGTCCAAGTACCTATCACCGGTACATGCAGGACTAGCTGGGCGATGCGAAAGCATGTTTTAGCGCGGGCGGATGGAAGTGGCAGGAGATCGCCAGGCCGATATTGGGACCATCACCGGCCCAGACATGAAACATGCCTCTCTCCCAAGTCTCCCTTTCGCGGACGGTCGTGAGGGTGGGAGCTTCTGCTTGTCGTTGCTTCGGCTACGCATAGCTCGGGCCAGATCGGACTAGCCGGATGCTGCCAGTCTGCCAGTCTGCCAGTCAATCACCCACATCAAGATATCTTGCATGCATGCAGGTGATGAGGGTGAATATGACGATGACGACGACGGTGGCCATGAAGGGTCGCTTGCTTGCTTGCTGTCTGCACAACCCTCAGACCATGCAATCAACCACTCAGCCACGGCATCCGGAGCCGAGAGCAGAGAAGAGAGGGCGTGACTGGAGACTGGAGACTGGAGACTGCAGAACTGGAGACTGCAAAACTGGAGACTGGAGACTTGGAGCTGGAGCACCAGCAGCCAGCAGCCAGCAGCCAGCAGCCAAGCGCCGTCGTGGATCGGCCATTGATCAGTGGGGAGAGGCCCACCCGTCAGTGCCAATGCCAATTCCATTGCCAATACGGATAGGGACTGGCTGGGCGAACCAGTTGACATGCAGCCTAGCGCAGCTGTGACGGTCCACCCGGGGTTGCTCATCCACAGAGGCGTCCGAGGTCAAAAGGTCGGTCAATGGAGGATTGGTAGCAGGGCAACAGGGCAACCGACGGCGGTTGGACGATGGGTGGGCATCGAGGCAGGACGGGTGCCGTCATTCTAATCCCCGACCAGGCTCAGGCTCTGTCTCTGTCTTCCCCATCTGGAACATCTTGGGAAAGGGGTCAACTGGTACTCCGTATACAACATCGAGTCGTCGAGTCGTCGAGTCTGCTGAGCACTGACTGCGTGCAGGACGGAGTAATTAGGACAAGGGCAGAAAGTGGCTGGTTGAGTTTGTTGTCAGGAGCTTTGGGGTGCATTTTGGGGGTGCACGGACTAGCAAGGAAATAAGCAGGCGGGTCCAGAAGCGGGCCGCTCTGGCAACCACGACCGAGTCCACGATCCCCTGTCCACCAAAAAAGCAAACGTCGACCTCATCTCACATCTCAGTCCTGCGATTCCCACCCTGACGCCGGCACATCGGCTTCTGTATCCATCCCAATCCTCACTGACTGGTCAAAGTGAGGAATGGGGAAGGAGAAAAGAAGAAGCACCACGATATCGCCACCATCCCCCAAGCTTTCCAGCTTCCAGCTTCATCGACGACAGTCCAGCCGGAACAGGCATGCTCTTCGTCTTGTCGAACAGACTCAAGATGGGTGAGCCTAGATCGATTCATCATAGACCCCCTGGCAAGACAAAGAACCGATTATGCCAGATCGGTTGGGACGAACCCACCGGCGCCGTGTCAGTGTGTCCTAGCCGTGATCCAGGTCGAAACTACTTAACCTAAGGACTTAAGTAGGGACTGTGTTAGAGCTCAGATCCGGATCTGACAGCTTCGAGACCAGCCAGCCCAGCCAGCCCAGCCTGAGCAGCTCGTTAGCAACATGCCGGGCCTGGCCAGGCCCTACGCCGACCAACGGGACCTTGCTTTCCGCGCACTACAAAGCAGAGCGGCCCGATTGATGGTTCGCATGCCACATCGCAGCACAGCATTGCACTGAAGACCACGGCACGACGACAGCTCGACAGCTGGACGTTTGCGACCCTGCCTGTGCGCTGTACATCGCGGACAAGACCCGCAGCCCGTCACTCCTTTTTTTCTCCTGCCTGTCTGCATGCAAGCCTGGCTCGACTCGACTGTCCTTGCCTTGCTTCTCCTACCCAGAACCTCATAGTCGTACACCACACAGACACCAAGAAAGTGACACGACACATGAACTTGCCCGAAAAGTTCTTGGATCCTCGACGCATCGATCGACATGTACCCTGGCTGCACTGGCAGATCCCCCGGATTGTCCCAAGGCCCCAGGGTGAACTGTAGGCTAATTGCTTTCCCCTCGCCATGTCTCAGCCTCAGTCAACAGAGCTCGAACGGTCTGTTCATCACACTGGCGCAGCACACTGCCAAAGTTCTCTGAGATTTGATGACGTCCCCGGGACCCTGCAAGTCTAAGACGGGTAACCCACCCTACCTCAACGCTCGAGGGGCACTGTGAGAGTGAGGGAGGGGGGGTTTGAGGACCTTCGGAACTGGAGGAACAGGCGCAACTCACACGCTGCAACCCGCCGCATCGAGCCAATGGTCAACCCCCTCAAGCGAGGGGGCTTCCCAAGGCCGTGGTTCAGAGGGGTGCCACGGCATCGGGCTGCTCGAGACAGCCTGTCCAGGCCAGCCAGCCAACGTCCTCGAGCTAGCCTACAAGGGGAAGGCCTGGAAAGGTCTGGGAAACCATGCAAACATTCAGCTCATGTCACTTGTTGGCACAGTTTTGACAGCAATCCTGCCATTTTGCTGCAGGGACTATTCTCATTCTCATATCACCCACCTTGTTGCTTTCTTTTCATCGTTCGTCCATTAATTCATTCTTCCATCCTTCCTTCTCTCGCGGGCTGCAGCGACCAAGGCGGTTATGCCTCATCCAAGACATGTCTTATCCAAATAGTAAAGCTTGTGATGCGGGTCTCGCCTTCGATCTTTTGCACGGACTCTGGGGCCCACCCCACCGGATGGCGAATGGCGGATGGCGGATGGATGGATGCCTTGCGATCACTGCCACTTTCTTGCTTTTTCCGCCCATGAGCGACCTTCCCGTTCTGCCTGTGCTACTGTGATCTTCCCTCGCTTCTGCTCGTTTATCTCTGAAGTCCAGGCTTCCCTGGCCGGAAACTGTGCGGCTCCAACTGCTCTCGCGGAAACGGCTGTCGCGGCCATTAGAGTCTCGGCATGTTGTTTATACAAATTGGCATCTCAGAGACCTGCTATATATTCGCTCGATATCACGAGCACAGCCCAACGCACCTCTTGTTGGCCCCCGGCACTCTTCCCCTGCGGCAATGCACGTATCGAGGATGATGTGGCACAGATGATCAACCCGAGCACATCCCCCACTCCGCATTGGAACACCTAGACCCCCTCCCGACTCACAGTCAATCCCCTTCCATTTTCCGCGCTCGATTTAGATTCCTCCCCCTTGCCTGCAGGTCCATCTCGGCAGTGGGTTGCCTGGCTGCCTTGCTCTGCTGTTGTGTGGGGTCGGTTGCTCCCCTACCGGATCGTGCGAGCGCGCATGCGTCTGCATATCTGCAAGGTCAATGTACTGCGCGGCCAGAACCAGAGCGGCCCACTCCCGCAGGCTCCGAACCATTGACTAACGAGCCGAGTGTATGCAAGCGACTTGACTGCTGTCGGGGGGTGACACCACCTTCAAGGACGCACACACACAAGGCTGTGGGTCTTAGCTTGCTGCGAGCTCTGCATATTATGAAGGGATGATGATGTTGGTGGGGTGTCGGCGTTTGCTGCAGGAGGTGCGGAAGGCACCGATGCCCGGATCTTCTGTTGGCCTTGGGCGACGACAAGAAGATTGTGCGCAGGTAGAGGATGACAACTCTTGCTGATTTGACCTCATGCTTACCAAGATACCCATCTCGTTATGCGAATGGAGGGCCCTGCCCATCGGAAGTTTGAGAGTATTCTGACACTGCAATGCCATTACCATACGACCATGTTCTATGCACTTCTGGTGGCTTGAAAAAGCACGGTATCGAGCAGAGATCGCACATCGTACGAGGCTACCTTGTCATGAGCTCTAGAAGCAACACTTGCATGCCAGTTGCTTTTCAACACGTCCGTAGTTCCTCCAACCTACGCAATCTAGCACCTGAAGAAAATCTGGGATAGCACGCTCCAGAGATCCATATGTGCGTGACAGACAACTACCATCTGGTCTCTATAGCAGGCAAACAGCTCCGCAGGCTCGGCCTATCAAGCTCAAAAGAAGCCTAGCAATTCACCAAACAGTGCCTAGCTGTTCAAGCAGTCGAGCTGCGGATAGCGGCACCTTTGCTCCAGCAACCGTTTCTCCTCCGCAAGCCTGCCGGTCAGACGCGTCCAGGACCGGCCCGAGGATGATCTGCGGCGTAATCATGCATGGCCCATCCGACGCGCTCATCCAACCACTCACATCCACATCCCACGCGTCTCCGATCGAGAGGGCGATTATGCGCGTCACTGTCTACCGCCTGACTCTGCCGCGCCCACCTGAGCCCACCTGGACCAGTAATCATCGCACCTACCAAGACAGCGTCAAGCCAGCAAAGACAAGTGCTGGCTGCTGACCCCCACCCCACGAGATCTGAAGGTCGGCCTGAACAACAAGGGAAACCCAGCTCCAGCTACAGCCTCGGTCCTGCGAGGCGGCGCCCTCCGCCGATGTCTCTGTCTCTTCACCAGCGACGCGGCACCGCCACGTGCAGTCGCGTCACGAGAGGAAGGTGTCGGGTCCCTCGTGGTTGATCCGAGCTGCAGCTTACTTACCTTACGTACTTCCATCACGGCCTGACCCAGAGCAAAAAAGTATCCAGCAGCGAACAGTAAGCCGCCCCCCTCCCCCCAGTGGCGTCGCTTTATTGATATGTTGCTCACGCCCAGCCACCACATGACCACCGTGGCGCCGCCCAGGGCGTTGCTGGTGATATGCCGCTGGTAAATAGAACAAGATTCCATATGCAGGACGGGCCCACCGGCTCCGAGCCTCGAGAACGCCGGCGGGGCGGTGGGGGGAGGGAGGGACAGGAAGGATGAGCAAAGCTGGCTGGCTCGCAGCCACATAGGGCCAGCGGGCCGAGTGGCTCTTTTTTG